ATTATGATAGTAATGATAATGAAATTGCATTTCCAGATTAAATACAAAAACCATGCTTTCTCTTGATGACCTAAATAGTGAAGCAAAAAAACCGGACAGATTCATCAAACTCTTTCTTCTCATCTTTCTAACCTTCTTTTTCATCGTCTCATCATCTTCTTCTTCTTCTTCTTGATTACTCTTCCCTGAATTTTGTTCACAAATAGTATGAAAAAAAGAAACTGTTATAATACATGTTTGTGTGTTAATTTTAATCAACACACCAAAACATGAAAATAATAAAATAAAGTGACCGTTCAGAGCCTCATCTAACATTAACATTAGACTTTTTCTTAGCCTTCTAACTTCACAATGCAACGGTAAATATAATAATAAATGTTAATTTTAATGATCCTGATGCTGAAGATGATCATTATAATAGTATAATATGAAATAAAAATAGGTAACCCAGGATTGGTTGGGTAAGACAAAGATGAGGTAAAAGGTAGGAATGATGAAGACAATGAAAGAGCCACAAGATATTTCCATCTCCGGTCATGTTGGTTTTTTTACGGGTTAAATCGAGGAACCGGTTTAACCGGAGGAGATTGAAAACCCTGTTAGATGAGGATCAAGTTGAACAAAAAGGGATGAAAAAATGATGAGAGAGTAAGAAGAAGATTCTCAATAGATTATCCTTTGTTCGTAAAATGATAAATTTCAAGCTTGGTTAGTCCATTAAATATCAAGCAAAACCTCTTTTTTTGTGAATCAATGAAGAAGATGCAGAAGGAATGAAATTGGTAAGAAAGAGCAGAAACAAGATCGCTATCGATTTGACTGATTTAATCAAATTAGAGCAAACCTTTAGTTCACTTCCTTTGCATATAAGTTTGAACATTACAGGTGAATAGCATAAGCATCGAAGCGTTTTCCATTAAAACCTGTAAAATAAATGTAAAGTCTTTATTAACTCGGTAAGATTTCAATGGTTTGTGCTTAAACTCACCGTTAAGAAAAATTGTCTTGTGATTACACTAAAGTCGCCTGCGCTGACACCATTATAAGGTCCGATAATACGATCGAAAATTTCATAAATCTGTTTAAAAATTGATAAAACAATAATCAAACACTGACATAATAAAAGCAACATGTAACGCTTACTTTGAAGAGCTCATTGTTGTAATTGGTAAACCGTCTCTTCAATAAAATCTGTAGGAAATATCTATAGAGCTTGATCGACTGAAAGAAAAGTGATAGTAAATTGTAGGTAAATGTTTTTAGTTGATATAACAATGATAACAATTAAACCAATTCTTACATCTTGAATAGGATCACCATCAAAATACAAAGCAGCTCCAAGCATACCGAGAATAAGAAATCCCAGAGAACTGAGAATGTATCGGATAAGTATTGACTCGGTTGGAGCAATTATACCAAAAAATATACCCAGATCACCCACCATTGAGATGAACATGATGTAATGGAGGATGAGATACTTTAATGAACGGGACAGGGCATCAGTTTCATTACCCAAACTAATTGTTCGACTAACCAAATAACTAATATCAACATTTGCATTAGAAGCAGTCACTTTAACAATGGACCCTTTTTTAACCAATGACTTGTAGCGTACTAACATTAGAAGCGATATCAAGATGAAATAACCACCGATACAAGAAATACAATTAAACAAGTAAACCATAGGAAATGTTAAACTGATTGACCATAAAGATGAAGTAATTGTGAAAACATAATTATGATAATAGAAAGGATTAGAAAGCAAAGGACCGTTTATCAAAAGGGTTATCATGAAAACGCCCCAAACTAGGAAACGGGAAAAAAAGATACTGATGATGTGAGTGAGAGTACGAAAGGTTGCAAATGAAGAAGCAGTCAATTCATTTTGAAGGGAATTAAAATTGTCCAATCGACATTGGTGAAAGTCGTATAACATGAATAATGATCCTGACCTTTCAGCCCAACGGAACCATTCAAAGATAATGTAAATATTGATCAGCCAAATAGTTATGAATAACGAAGCATAAGGTAGGACATTTGTACCAAACAGCGGATCACCTAAAATTAAGAGATACCAGGAATTGTTGGTTGAAGCTAAAGCCAATCCTCTAATAATGCTGATAACAGCAGTCAAACGAATGGCCCAACTAATATAATCAAACTTAACCGTTGACTTTGCTTTCTTTGATTGGACAAATCCATCGTGAAGACAGCGAAACCATTTGGTGCGCTTTTCAAATACACTTAAAGCTTCGATTGTTGACTGAAGAGGTTCATCCTTTGGATATCCAACAATATTGTAGATAATTTGTTTCAATAATAATAAAGCTTTTTTTGATGAACTATTGAACTTGAAACAAGTCAATTCCATTGCATTCATTTCAATAAGCAAGATTATTTGATTAAAAGCCGTAAGATAAATGAAAATGATCAACTCTAGTTTAATTTTAGAGAGTCAAACTAAATATGTCAGTAGCATTAATCAATATTATTTCGATGGCATTTTAATGTTCAATTTTCATTCCATTTATAACATGATTTTGAACAATTACGTTTTATTGATTTTATAATTTGGTGAAAATATTCAGTACTTTTAAAGATTAAACTATCATGAAACAGACTATTCTTATTATCGTAATGTTGAAGTGAATCAGATATTTCCGCTTTAGCATTATTTGTCTGCTAGTTGAACTTAACTGTGATTGCACTGAGAAAAGTTAATGATGGTAACTAAGAAGGGACATTGATAATGATTTATGAGCGATTTAAACGAGAAGTACAATTCTGGCAATTCACTTATGATTGTCAATCAATGCAGCAGTTTCATTGATCAATTCATTGGCAATAAGATTTACTAACCTGTGGGGAGAACTGGATGTAAAATATCAGTTTAAATGTTTCTCTTTTTATTGTCATTTTTCGAAAAGTCGGTGATTTTGACACTTAATCTTTAAATTACTAGTTGAATGATCACGGAATCAATTTTTCAGTTAAATTTTGAGTTGCATGTAAGTTGGACTGAAAAAGGAATGATCAGATAGAAGATTTGATTGCAATGTTAGTTAAGAATGTTTATTTGTAATCAATCCGATATTTAATTTGTGAGTGAACTGAATTAAAATAATCTGAATGTCTTGATATTATCATTTCAATGAGGTTATTTCACTCTAAACTCACACAATTGATACAAAGTCAAAGTAATCATAGATTAACTTTCCGGTCTTTGGTCATTTGCCTCAATCAGATGCATGAGAAGGATGAAAAATATCACAGGCAAAGAGAGGAGAGAGGAGAGAGAAAGAGAGAGAGAGAGAGAGAAGGAAGAGATGAGAAAGAAGCGATAAAAAGATGATGAAGATAAGATGAAGAGAGGGTGAAAAAGGATGAAAAACGGAGAGGAAACAGATTTGAGTGAATTTTGGGCAAACAAAAAATAACGTAACTAACCTATTCTCTGAGCGATAAACAAGAAGGAAGAACGAGTAAAAGAAAGAAAAATAGACACAAGAAGAGGATGAAAACGATGATGATGAGGGCAAATTAAAACAGGTAATGAAAAAAGAGAGAGAAGAGAAGAGAAAGAAAGATGAAAGATGAAAAAGGATCTCTTCCTCTTCTATGTTTGTGGCCTTACAAGGTTCTTGTTGAATCTCCTTTGGCTAAGAAAAATGTGACTCCCGCACAACCTGAGAATCAGGTTGTGACGATGAAATAGAAAGAGAAAGAGAGAGAAGAGAGGAAGATCAAGTGTGTGTGTGTGTTGAGTGAGAAAGGCCAGAGTGAGCCAGGTAGAACGGCAAGAGTTAGAGTTTAAATGTTATTCAATCTGAATCTAGTGTTGAGTCTTGATGCTGTGACATATCGTCGAGGATCGCTTCTCTTTCTTATAGTTCACCGACTTTTCTCTCACATTTACCTGTTTCTTACCTTCTCCACCTCCTCCTCCTCATCATCCTCTTCATCATCTTTATCGTCATCGTCATCATTCCATTGCCGTTCAATCTCATTCTTTTTTGTTATTTCCAAATGTTAACTTGACATCTTTCCTTCAGAACCAAAAAATCAAAACAACCAAGTTAACCATTGCTTCTGTGTTCGACTAATTTTATCTTTTTTGATTGTTCATCAAATGTATTGCTATCCACAATTAAGTCTATTATTAAGTTCAACTTCTAATCAATATTACCTCGTTAATAAATGGATAATATTATTCAATGTTAAAGGATAACATTTACAAATAATATTTATAGTTTAAAAACCATTGCTTAACTTGTCTACTGTTGCCTTATTTTTGTTTTGTTTTGATTGTTTATTGTTAAAAAATTTTCTCCTTTTTCTGTGAGTGCAATAATTATGTGAATGACCTGGCAATTTAATATCAACTCTAAATTCATGAAATTATATTACAACAGTCATTATTGGTGTTAACTGTCAGAGAGTCATACCAATCATTGCAATAAATTAGATGGACTTAAATCAATACGAATCGACCCAGAAGAGAGGATTAAGCGACTTGAAAAAAATTGATATCTACTGTAAAACAAAGAGTCAAATCAACAAAAAAGGCTTTGCATCGATAAAACTTTGATCACTCATCCATTATTTCATTTTGTGTGTTGACTAATTGTTGTTAAGCTAACCTGTTTCTGCTTACCAGCATTATCATTATAGCAACGTTGTTGATACCAGTGGCGTGTCAACGCACACAAATTTACGGCCAACGACCCTTAGTAACTTCACCAAACATCTCATTAACTGTGTGTTGACTCTGGTTTTATGAAATTACAATTATCCAGAGCCTTATACCAGAAAATATCAAACAAAATTGAACCCTTTCATTTTGTCCATGAGATTTAACCATTGTAATTATTGCGATCAATTTTTTAAACACATTGTTTAACATTTTTCTTCATCTCTTTTAATCAACAATTTAACCTTTTCATAACACAATATGTTGTCATCTAATGGAGCCAATGGAGGTCTTCAAAAACCACTGCGATTACGACGAGTTAATCATTCAGATGAGGTTGTCTCGGGATTCAGTAAACTCCTTAAAACTGAATCTATGACAGATGTTACTCTAATATGTTCAGGAGGACAAACAATTAGAGCTCATCGTGTTATTTTATCAACTTTTTCACCCTATTTTAGGGCCATCTTTGAATCACAACCCTTCTCCAATAATCCTTGTCAGTATCCAGTTATAGTAATTAAGGATTTGGCTCTTAGTGAATTAAGAACCATTGTTGAGTTTATTTACAAGGGTGAGGTTTCAGTGTCAAGGGATAAGTTATCTGCTGTACTTCAAGCTGCCAAAGAGCTTGAAGTCTCTGGTTTATCTGATCTTAAAGTTGATGGTAACTCGTCTTCATCTACATCATCTTCGTCTTCAGCATCACCTTCAACAACATCCAATAATCATCATACAATCAGTGGAATAAACGGTGACATTGAACTGCAGTCTATTCGTAATCACATCTCATCAATGAATAATGGTGGCTCCATTTGGAAACGATCTCATGAGGATCATTCATCAAACCATGGATCGGTTAATTCAATGTTCAACTTGGGTTATGAGACTCAGATGAAAAAATCCCGAGTAACTTTAGAAGGGCCTGATGGAATCGCATTGCTAGGTGATAATGGTTCTTCAATGGGCGATAACAATTCAGTTCGAAGTTTACTCCATCAACCTAACCGAATATCCCAAGAGCTTCAAAATATGAGATCGCTGCACAATTTTTCATCGATCAGTAAACAAAGGTAAGTTGTAAACTAACCATCCTCAAGATAGTCACAGGAAGTTAATTTCTCTAAGAACAGCTACATAGCTTTGTTCATTTACCGCCATCCATTTTTCTCTAAAATTGACCTTTTCCTACGAATAGAGAAAATTATATAATTAGTTCATTCAATAGAACTTGTGAAATTGAATTAGATAACTTGTATGCATTTTTTGGAGCTTAACTAAATCGTATGCATTCCAAACACATGATTAGGTTACTTGACAGGATATGATTGGATACAAAAAGATTTACCGTTAAACCGAGCAAAAAAGGCCAAATATTATTAGAACTAAATAAACTTGAAAATCAAGTTGGTTTGGAAAGAAATATAAAGTAAAATGTACATTAGACTCATTATTTGAAAATTTATTCGGTAAAAAAGATACTCACGAGAGCGCAAAATGAGTAATCATCATAATTATGTTTGGCCTTGGAACAGGTTGCAGGAAAGGTAGTTTTTTAAGGTTAAGAGATTTCAGCTTCTTCTGTTGAGCTTTTTCCCAAATTCCCATCAAGATTGTTTCAAATGTTGACATACGGGGTCGAGCACAATTCATTCATGGTTTGGTTTTATCTTTTAAGAGCTTTGATCGTCTATGATTACTCTGTTGAGAATCCATCAAAGGCTTGGATCATGAATTTTCTTGGCAACTTTGAGCAATCATGATTTCAATTGTAGGAATTTTGGATGCTGGTATTGCTTCTGTTATTGTTTATAATAATGATGCAGTTTCCTATCACCACGTAGCAATTACCTCGGGGCTTTGCTGATTCCCGTACTGGTGAACCAGAACAGCACAAGTAGTTGTATCATTGAATTTTATTTCTGCATGATTTCTGATGAGAAACCGTGTTTGAATTATTTCTATTCCTGTAAGTTAGGCATTTTGTTAACGACTCGCCAAGAAATGTCAAAACTTCATAACCACTTTGTTAGCTGATAAGATATTGAGAGAAGATATTTCAAGATGAAACTTGAATTTAAAATTTTCTCCTTTTTTCTTTACAACTATCAGACAGCTTCTTTGGTTCCATTCTGAAGAAGTTTTTTTTTGATATGGTTTAACAGTAACACGAAAAATTTAACAGGTAATAGCTATTTCGGGCCTCGCTAAACTTTTTTGGCCAGATCATTAAAACAGCTTTTTTATTATCATTGCCATTATATTTCTTCATTCATCCTAATTCCAGTTTCAGTTCTTTTCTCCGCCATTATTCCATTCTACTCCATCTATTTTTTATTCCGATTGTTCTTTAAGCTTAGTAACGTCTATATCAGCAGCTTTCATGATTCCTCCAAATTTATCCACATATTTCGTGTCTTTGCATCTTCCATTTGATAACATTTGATCTTATAAGATGTTTCAAATCTAGTCAAAATTGAATACAAGATGAATCTGGTTAGAGTTAAGAATAAGAAAAACTGTAAAACTACAGGCTTAAGGAAAGAAAGGTTACATGAAGAGGTGTACTCAAGTTGACGTTTCCTGTTAGATGTGTTGGCAAAAAATCTGGAAACAGTGAAAAAAGATGGCGGCCTTCTTCATGGACGATGTTGGTATATTATGGGTTACACGCCACAAACTTTAAAACCGGTTTACGGGTTTCTTTGACCTTTTGCATTCTTTTCCTCTTCAGTCCTCACCAACAGAAACTCACCATCCTTTTACTGATGTTTCAGGTTCAGTTTACTTTGCTTTACTTGATACAATGGATTCATAAAAAAAATTTCAGATGAGAATAAACTAAGTAAAGATGGATGAACAAAAAGAAGACACATAAATAAGGTCCAAGTTTTGATTCAATGAGTTCAGCCTTAGAATCAATGGAATCACCAATAAATGACCTTAATCGAAATTAAATGACATTTGATAGAAAGAAGCTGAAGAAGATTGAGTCAATTAAACAAATACAGAATATAAATCAAGAAAAAAACACATTCTTAGCAAGGTCATAAAGTTTACTTGTCTTACTCAATCTGACTTACTGTTATGTTTTCCCACAAAAAGCTTTAAAAATTTAAAGACAGTCACATGTTTCGATCATATGGTCCGAGTTGCTAATGGCAACGTCGATGATACTCGCTAATGCAATATTGACACTCAAAATAACAGATTATCAACACAAATTAAACCAAAGATTAATGTATTAATCTTTGAATTAAACAATAATGAATTGTGTGACACTCAACGAATGTAATAAAACATTGAATTTAGAAACAAATGTGTGCTATGTGCCTTACATGATGAAAAGTATGTATGATTATGTATGAACTTATGAGTTCGATTATTCTGCCTTGTATTTTTTCATGATTTACCATTCTTAATTCTTTTATTTTTCGCCCACATTGTTGTATTCTGGTCTTATTCTTACTCTTTTTCTTTCTTTTCAGACATTTAACTGTTGAACAACTCTACCAACAAAAGCAGCAACATATTCAACAAAGACAATTACTTCAACAAAAGATTAGAGTTCAGCAACAACAGCAACAGATCAAACAACAATTGTTGCAGCAGCAACAACAGTTGATTCAGAAAAATGTCTCACCCAAGAGTTTACTTCAACGATTTGCCGGATCACCTCAAAGCAATGGAAGTAGCTTTAACCAATTTCAGGAAAAGATAAAGGCTCAAATGGCTGCCCGAAATGGAAATAGCTCGAATGATCAAAACAAAGAGGAAACTGAAGATGACAACAAAAGCAAATCAGAAGGCAATGATAACCCTAATGGAGCAGAAAGTAGAAATCAAGTTGAATCGACTGATGAGACTGTTGATGTTGATGGAAACACAGCTGATGAAGCTGAAGACTTAACCAATGCTAATGATGGTGATGAATCTGAATTGAAAGAATGTAGTGATGAAAGTAAAGAAACTGACGAAGAGCAAAAATCCAAAAGTCGACACAAGAAGTCTACTCCTAGGAAAACTGTCGCTTCTGATGATATGGGTGACTCTTACTCTACTGAGAACGCTCAAGGAGATGAAGAAGATGAAGATGGAAGGAAAAAAGAAGAAAATTATATGAATGATGGTGGGTCAGACGAAGATGATGATAGTCCAGTTATTTTAAAAGCAACAATCGATGATGTTAGTGATTACATTGACGAGGATGATCTAAACGAGGAAAACGATGATTATGAAACAAGTGGAGGTATTGATAGAGATGTTATATTCCAAAGGCAACAACAACTTAGATTACAACAATTACAACAACAACAAAAGTACCAACAACAAATGCAATTCCAATTACTTCAAGAACAACAAGAGGCCAAACTGCTTGAACTTCATCAACAATTACAACAAGCAACAACCAATGATACAATTGTACCAGATCAAGATGACTCTGCACCAGAATTGAGTTTAGATTGGCAAGAAGGTTTCACAGATGAAAGTTTTCCTTTGATCACCGATCTAAGAACAGGATCCGCAGCTTCTTTAACCTCAAACAATCGGTCTGGACTCGACAAGAATGTTTCTGATAATGATTCTACTTCTAATAATTGTAAACAAGCAATGCCTGATTTCCTCCAACCTCGAGGACCTGGTAGACCCAGAAAGGGTAACAAATCAAACGATATCAGTCCATGTCCAGAATGTAATAAGGTATTTGTCCGACCTGATGTACTTAAACTTCATTTCCGTAGTGTTCATCTCAATGAAAGACATCCTTGTAATATGTGTCCCAAAATATTCAAATGGCCGGGTGATTTATCTAAACACAAAAGAACCAAACATCCTGAAGCAATGGCAGCCCTTAATAATCAAAAAAACCAATCTAGTAATAGTTAACCTCTGTTAATGGAAATTAAAACGTAACAATTGTTAATTTAATTTAGTGTTGGCATCTTCACCATTTCATTTCTACATATTACTCTTCCATTCACTCATCTTGTCTCCATTTCATCTTATTCATTTTCTTATCCACCTGAATCATCCTGTTCATCGTCATGGCACCAAATTACGGGCTTCACTTCAAAGATTAATATTTTTATTATTGTTATTTTGTCTTTTGAAATTCTCTTCTTTAAGCTTCCATATAAAATCTTATGTATAGAAGACTCCAGGTTAATTGCCTCAAAAGATCTACTCTAAACGCATCCCATTAATATATATCTGATTATTATTTATAATTTTTTATTTCTACCAGAGTTTTGCAAGAAATTTATCAAATTATCAAACTTATACAAATAATATATTTTTTATTTTTGATGAAACAATGAAATTATCAAAATTCAAACAATAGCAACTCTTAAATCCTAGTGAAAAACAAACAATAAGTCAATCATCACCCTATTGTTAGAAAAGACTTAATTGTTACTTGATTCTCAATTGAATCTCTTGAAGATAATTTTTTAAAGTAAATCAACTTTTTTGTATCACCAATTGCATAGTCTAACTGATAACTGATTCCCATACTTGGGTCACCAAAAGTTAATGAATGTTTATAATTATAATCGCTTCTGCTTAATAAAGAGACTATTAATAAATATTCATATTTTAAACACATTCATTGATCAATTTATATCCATGACTCAAGTCTGAAAAAGGAAGAACCTAAAAGTAAATGCTAATCGAATCTAAATTTATTTTTCTTTAATGTTCAGTAGTAATCTAATTCCGATCACTTCTCTAAAAATTGCGACGATCGCAATTATTGAGCTAATGTAAAAATATAATTATTAGACTAACAATCTTCAGAAACAAACAATCGGATAATAATTCTGTGAAGAATGAAAATGTTGTAAATTGATAATTTCATGAAAGATATATTCAAATTCAGAATACATTAATGTGTGTATAAAATGAGTGATTTAAGCATTTATTTTGTAGCATCTTTATATCACAGTCATGATCCAATTAAATATGAAATAAATGATTATGAGTTTTCCAAGAGCAGGTTTGATCACGTCCGATGAGCCTTAATTTCCGGCTGATTTAATGATTCTCAATATCACTCCATTAAGATTACTGATAATTGGCATTCAAGAAACAGCGCTCATTGATTTCACCAATAATTTGATGAAAAAAAAAATCAATAAAATTGCAGAAAGTTAGGTAATATGTTAATTAAGTTGGTTGAATTCAGTACTTGACAATGAATTGTCATATCTTGGTAATGTATTTTAGCACTCAAATGCTAAGCATATGTTAGATTTTCAATTGTTAAGCTTTGTTACATTGTTACAATTGAATTAAGAGACGATTGATAGAGTTTTAGAGAAGTCAATTTAGACAATTTTTGTTTGATTGATCATTCAAATATTCACTTAATGATTAAATTAGGTTTATTTAGATGTTATTTAACAAAGCATCTGCATCTCTAACCCTAGACTTAATTAAAGTCAAATTGAATAGGATAACAGACAATGAAAACTTATTCAGATGCTGTGAATTTAAATTAATCTTCCTCATTGCACCTTTTAACCTGAAAATTGGAATGAATTTGTCATGAAAAATATTGAACTGGATTCAAAGCAGCTCTTGGTCGTTACTTATCTTTTGGTCACAGTTTAATAATACAGTCACGGTTGTTAAAAAAGCCACAATCACAATTATCCCATTCATACACAAATTGAAAAAATATTGATGGGCAAAATAAATGGGCAAAAACGGGTAAAAACTAATTTCTTGCAAATTTAGACTCTGTAACTTTGTAAAGAATTAAAAATTGTATCCTTTTGTGCGATTTATAAATTTCTCTGATCAATAATTTTCGAAAAAATCGAGTTCAAAGTTGAAACTTCGATCTCTTTTTGTACAATAATGGAAGCAGATTTTTTCATGAAAATTAATATTCCTGAGGAATTTTTCATGGTTAATCGAAAGATCTACTTATTTTACGCAATAAAGATTTTGGTTTCTGTAAAACTTCGATTCTTCGATTTCCAGTTAAACCGATCGCTATCTGTGACCGAAAGAGTTAGCGAGCTGAAACTTATTATTTGTGCATAAAAATTAGTTGTACCCATCATGGATTGAATACTTTTTTAAATCTATCAACAGTTCTCTTGATTTTGGACATTGACCAGTAAATTTTGAGCCACGATATTTCGAGAATGGCATCACTTACAGTTATCATTCTTTCGCCAATCCATTTCTTTGCTGATTAACAATTTAATTCAATGCAATTAATTTTCATTAGCTCATTCGGGTTATTAAGTTTGAGTTGTAAATGAACGAACAACAACTTATTTAACAAACCAAGCTCATCTCAACCCATTTCTTGGTAAATAAACCAATTTTCTGGTTAAACTTGCAAATGAAAGTCTACCAAAGAGCCGAAAATTTGAATTAAGAGTTGAGAATTGCTGGGTTTGTAGGGACATAAAAACTGTGTCCATTGGTACTATTAAATAGTTCATCAGGTAAACAGTTTTCTAAAAAATCGAGGTCAAAGTTGAAACTTGGATCGACTTTTATTCAGCTGTGGAAGCAGATTTTTTCATAAAACTCATCCAACTGATGTAACTTTTGACGGCCAACCAGAAAATGGTCTTATTTTGAGAAAAAAACATTCCGTGTTTCTGAAAAACAGATCAGTTCAATTTTCAGTTAAAGCGATCGTATTCTATGACCGCAAGAGTTAGAGAGCTGAAACTTATTATGCATTTGTAAATATTGTTGGTTCACATCAATGACAGAAAAAATTTTTCAATTTATCAAAAGTTCTCATGATTTTGACCATTGTTCTAAAAACTCTGAGCCTCAATATTTCGAGAATGGCATCACCTACAATCATGATTCTTTGACTGAACATTAGATTACACCATAGACTATAATAAATGAAATATTGAACCATTCAAGATGCTACAGAAAAAGTTGTAGCATTCTTTTACTTATGTTGCCAGATTTGAGTTTGATTTATAAAGTTGATTAGTTTGCTTATGCATTAGAAGGTTCTTCATTATTAAATCAATTAGCTCAGATTTTATTCGGTACTCATTTTTGATATTTTGTCCTATTCGATTCGTTCAAAGCATTCTTCGATCCTTAGAAATCAGTTTTACCCAATTAAACGATGGTAAACCGACATCTGTGTCAAATTACTCATTGAAATTCGATGTGTAAATAAAAACGAGTCGAATAACTTTGTAAAATAATTGTTAATTGTTAATTAGTAGACTGAATAAACATTTCAAAAGATGTATCACTATTAGCTGTTCGTCTCTTTATTTAGCTCTTAGGAAATACTCTCTTCGAGGTTAGTTTCAAAAGTGTTGGAATCAAGTGAAATTGTTTCCAACGTCAAATCTAATTGTGATTATTATTGAATTGATATTGTTATATTTTGTGATTGAATTGATGATGGATAAAAAACTAATAGTTTTACAATTTTATACACTGGTAATAACGATTTTCCAGTTATCGGTAATTCAACTTTGTTCAGGTGAACTTCTAGGCTCTATTTTTGGTTCTCCGTTGGTAACTGACCTTCAAAATGACAGGATTGATGTTTTGAATAAACTTTTGTCTCCGAAAGTGTTGCCAGTGGGCGGTAATGTTGTTGCGTATGAACTGCTACAAACATTGAGCACGCGAGCGATTCAATCTGGAATCTTTGATACTGTCGGTCAATTTGGAACAGTAGTTAGATCATTTCTTGGACCATTAACATTACCGTATTCACTTGATTTCGATAGGGCGGCCAAAACAGAACGTATGTATGATTATGTGATTGTTGGTGCTGGATCTGCAGGGTCCACATTGGCTGCTCGATTAACAGAGGATGAAGATGTTACCGTATTGGTTATAGAAGCAGGTGGAGAAGAATCTCATTTTAATAATGTTCCGATATTCGCAGTGTTAACACAAAGGACTGACATCGATTGGGGATATTATTCTGTACCCCAAACTCGATCAGCTAGAGGTTTGAATAACAAACAAATTCCAGCGTCTAGAGGTAAAGTCGTCGGTGGTTCTTCATCCATCAATCTCATGATTTACAGCAGAGGAAATCCAATAGATTATGAGCGATGGCAAGAGTTAGGTGCTACAGGTTGGAATAGCTCAGCTATGGACCCATACTTCGTCAAAATGGAAAATACGACAGATCCAACAAGTCAACCTGGTTATCACGGCACCACTGGACCCTTAACTATATCAACCGTCAGTGAAACTTTTCCTGTTGATTCAGCTTTTCATGAGGGACTGAAACAATATGGTCTCAAGATTGGAGACTATAATGCCAATGATCAAGAGCGATTTCAGTACTCTCCATTTACCATTCGAGATGGTAGACGTTGTTCAACTGGACGTGCTTATTTAGGACCTGCTTCTTCTCGTAAAAATTTGGATATTCTGCTCTTCTCACGAGTGACTAAAATTATATTTGATGATGATAAGCGAGCGATCGGAGTTGAATTTACAAACAGTGAAAAAGATTACCAAGTTTTTGCTCGAAAAAAAGTGATTATCTCTACTGGTGGAATCGCAACTCCTCAACTGTTGATGTTATCAGGAATCGGACCGAGGGATCAATTGGAAAAATTCAATATTCCAATAGTCCATGAGTCTCCTGGAGTTGGCAATAATTTACAAGATCATCCATTTACCTTTTTCTTGTTTACGACAAAGGCTGATACTAGCATTTTGCTTGCGCGTGATCTTATTCCCAATTTGGCTGTATATTCAGCAACTCATAAAGGAAGGTTCGCATCATCTGGTGCAAACGTAGTTGGCTTTTATAGAAGCAAATTTGCTAATGATTCAAGACCTGATCTTCAGATCTACGAATTTGCTTATTCCTTTGGAGGAGGAGCGCCAGATTTTTATTTAGGTAATTACCAGATCTCTTGAATTCAGTTCAATGTTTTAACAAGTTTTTTCATTTCAGGTTATATTTTTAATTTCGATAGACAGACGCTTGTAAATTATGCCTTGCCAAATACATTTAGTGATGGAACCGCGTATGTGATAAGTTTAGTCAAACCTCGAAGTACTGGTACAATTAAATTGGCTTCTTCTAATATCCGAGATCCTCCTTTGATTGACTTCAACTTTTTCACTGATCCTCGCGACCTCGATGCTATGGCTGAAGGATGTAGATTGGTTCTTAACATATCAATGACACCATCAATGCAGACTGTTGAACCAAGACGTTACAATTCAACATTGCCTGGTTGTGAACAGTATCCACTCGACTCAAATGATTATTTAAAGTGTCTTATCCAAACGATAACTTACACACTTTGGCATTCAGTTGGCACAGCTAGCATGGGTTTGGCTAGTAATCCATTGGCTGTTGTTAGCCCTGATCTTCATGTTCATGGTGTTAAGGATCTCATGGTTGTTGATACATCTGTAATGCCTGCAATAACTACAGGAAACACCAACACTCCCACTATAGCAATAGCCGAAAGAGTAGCTGACATGTTAAAAGGAAGAGTATTGAGAGCTAAAAGTCTTCCCTACACTGATGAATATGAATATATAAATGATTATGTTCCCTATCAAATTGATGATTAAGTTCAAAAGACTTAAACAATAATTGAAAAACAAAATAAAGTTACACTTTTAGCGTCAACTAGACCGACTTTATTATTCGACTAGACCGGCACCATCAGCTATTTGCAGTTTCAAGATACTTTGATATATTTTTCGACCTAGCCTTTACAAATCAACATTTAATTATTACCACTTTATTCGTCCATTCATAAAGGAGTTCATATTTTATTCGTATTTTTGTATCACATATTGTTATTTAAAATAACCATTTACTCATCTCTGTTTGAACAGTCAGTTATCAAGCTGCATCTTTTGAACCAATTTGTTGTAATTAACTTTTTCTGTCAACAACTTTCTACTCAAAATCATGGGTTTTTACAATCATTGCAATTGACACGCATTGACAAAAATGGGTAAAAATAAATTTGTTTCAAATTTAGACTCTGCTTCTGTGCTCTTCTTGAAATAGCAGGAGGCAAAACTTTAAACGATTTGCTATGAGACTTAATCTTCGAACTTGCGTCTTCCTTATTTGCTTCATGATCAAGATGAGAAAAGGTCAATAATTTAGCTCTTTTATAATTCCAATAACATTGCAGTTAATTAGATGTTACTTAAAAGCCAAAATTAACACAAAAATCACATTTATACACAAATTGACAAAATACTGCAAGACAAATGGGCAAAAACGGGAAAAATTAAATTTCTTGAAAATCTAGACTCTGTATTTAAGTAAATACGAATAAATAACCCATTTTTTAATTGATATCCAAATAATTCTAATACTCTTTACATTTAAGGTTATCTGTTCAATTTAAATAGCCAAACTTACTTTAAATACCTTTTGCCCAACTCCAATAAAGATGCAACCATTACACATTATACCATTGTACTAGTGACTTTAGTCAGGCCTCGAAATACTGGTACAATTAAATTGGCTTCTTCTGATATCAAAGATTCTCCTTTGATTGACTTCAACTTTTTCACTGATAATATCAAATAGACTACCGCTAGAGATCAACTATCATCTTTTATGCTCAAATCTTGGAATGGAATCAACACAGCACATATGAAAATAAGAAACTCTTTGGAAACTCATCGACTTATCGAAAATTTTTAAAACATAATGTATTTAAGCATATTTCGTGGTTGATGCATACTTTCACTTCAAAATAAAGTTAATCACAGTTAATCCTGAGCTAAACTTAACTTAACTTAGCCAATCCTAAAAAATATTTGATACATTTGATGCTTAATTTTATATTAGTAATTGAATGCAAATAAAAATTAATCTAAATAGTTTTACAGGTGTTTCTCGGATTCAAATACAAACTGCTTACAAGCAAATAATTTAGACCAATCGATTCGATTGCAAAGCGATTCAATTATATTTTAAACATAACTGTTATAACAACTTTATTGTTTAATTCCTTTATTGAGGAAGAGATTAACTCATTTACTCTCTACCTATGAATTATCATGCTTTAATTGCCATTAACTTTACATTGAATCAATTTTCACACAAAAGTTATAATTTACTGCACTTGTTATAAAATATAAGTCTATTCCTTAAAAATGAACATTTCAATGATTGTTTTTCAATTTACTTTACTTTTATCAGTCCATTTATTAGGGACTCAATTTTCAATACCGTCAAGCTCATTATTTCACGACCATTGCAATAAATTTAGTTGAAAGTTTAGTGCAATTATCATGCAAATAAAGCAAATATAATATAATAATTGTGATTGAAAACGATTAAAAGTTAAAATAGTTTAAATAGTTCTAAATGTGTTTTCCAACTCCACGAACCAATTGAATGAAAATTCTGACTGAATATTTAGTTCGACAACTTGCTGATTTTAATAAGTAAATGCTTCAGAACAATCAATTTATTTGTAAAGTGATTCAAATATTTTAAACAGTTTGAATATTCATTTACACATATCTGTGTCATTCATGTTTGGACAGTTAGTTTTGAATCCTTTGAATGAATCTTCTAATGGTCAAAATCTAGCGATTCCTACGACTGTTCAATCTTCAATAATTTCAAATTCATGGGATAAAAATCACAATAATAAATATAAATAAATATCAAATAATAATTTAAATTGCCTTAACTGTATTGTGCTGAAGCAGTACTACATGCAATATACAAATAAAGAGCGTTTGAATAAACTTTTTGTAAAACTCATTCTCCAACTCTACGAGCCAATTGAATGAAAATTCTGAGTGGATATTTAGTTCGACAACTTGCTGATTCAACTCCTCTTAAACAGATAATCTTTCTACGTTAAACGATGTCTACGTTATGTTGTTACCAAAAAGACACAATCACCACAATTGACACAAATGGGTAAAAATCGCAAGGAAATAAATTTCCTCCAAATTTAGACTCTGTTAGTTTATGATGACATAAAAACTGAGTCCATTTGCTCGAATTAAAAGTTTCTCTGGTCAATAGTTTTCGAGAAAAGCGAATGCAAAGTTGAAATTTCGAGCGGGTTTCGTTCAATTATGGAAGTAGATTTTTCATGGAGCAGCATTTAACTGACGTAATGTTTGGATAGTCAACCATAAAATGTACTGATTTTGAGAAATAAAATTTTCTGTTTTCTGTAAGACAGAAATGTTATGGCAAAAGTCTTCTAAGCTAAACGGACCTGTATACGTAAACGGAAGCGCCACGAAAGGTCAAAACCACACTGGACCAAGCTCTAGTTGTAGATAGAAAGACATCGAATTCGACATTTGCATTTTGTAGCATTTTTTGCATTTTCATGCCAGATGGATGAGGGTAAGACCTCGAGCAATATCTCTATTGATCTAAAAGTTATTCCCGAAAATATGCTACAGATTACTTTAGTCACAACTGTTACTTTAGACAGCTGCTGTAGAGAAGAGATTGATCATTGAATGTCTACGTATTCAAAAGTTTCAATTGCCTTCAATTTTCCTTTAAATCAATTTAACACATTAAGTAACGAAACTGCATCATTACATCGATCATCAAATCAACTCATAAAAATCTATTCCTTCAAACAATATGAACATCTCATTAATTGTATTTCAATTGACTTTATTATTAAAATCCCAGTTATCCGTGGCTCAATTGCAAGTGCCACCAATTACTTCAGCGATAACTCCATTTGAAGATCTCAGCATTGAAGTTTTTAAAAAATTTCTTGATTCGATTCCAGTCTCAGGAGATGTTCCTGACTATGATTCAATGCAAAAAGTATCTGGAAAAGCTTTCAATTCAGAAATGGTTGAAACTGCAAATCAACTAAGTACAATAATTGCTTCACCTCTTGGACCGATAGCGTCTCCTTACTCGCTTGATGTTGATCGACCATCCAACAATAACAATACCTATGATTATGTGATTGTTGGAGCTGGAGCTGCTGGCTCAACAGTAGCTGCTCGATTAACGGAAGATCCGAATATTCGTGTCTTAGTTATTGAAGCTGGTGGAAAGGAGAATAACTTTAACAACATTCCTCTATTTGCGTTGTTACAACAAAGAACACTAATCGACTGGGGATATTTTTCAACACCTCAAACTCGATCAGCTCAGGGTTTAAAAAATCATCAAATTTCAACATCTCGAGGTAAAGTAGTTGGTGGCTCTTCATCTATAAACTTCATGTTATATGTAAGAGGCAATCAATTAGATTATGATAAATGGCAAGAGTTAGGTGCTGCCGGTTGGAATAGTTCAGCTATGAATCCATACTTCGTCAAAATGGAAGATTCAAGAGACTCGAAAAGGGAACCAGGCTACCATGGTACTAAGGGTCCAATGACAATCTCAGAACTAAACGATCCTTTCGAAGCAGACACAGCTATTTTAGAAGGAGCCCGTGAATATGGGTTTAACATTGGAGACTACAATGGTGCAGATCAAATGCGATTCCAATATGGTTCACATTATATTCGAGATGGAAGACGCTGTTCAACTGGTCGTGGTTACTTAGGACCTGCTTCTTCTCGTCGCAATCTGGATATTCTGTTGCATTCACGAGCTGATAAAATTATATTCAATGGAAAGCGAGCGATTGGAGTTGCATTTACAAGCAATAAGAAAGACTATCAAGTCTTTGCTAGAAATGCAGTCATCATTAGTACTGGTGCAATAGCAACTCCTCAACTGTTGATGTTATCAGGAATTGGACCGAAGGATCAATTGGAAAAATTCAATATTCCAATAGTTCATGAGTCTCCTGGAGTTGGCAATAATTTACAAGATCATCTATTCACCCTTCTTCTCTTCAGGACTAATTATGGGACAAGTTTTGCAGTCGAGCGAGTTGATACTGTAAAAAGTTTAGTTGAATATGAAACGTCTCATACTGGACCCTTTGCATCCTCGGGATTGAATGTGAACGGATTCTGGAGAAGCAAATATGCAGATGATTCAAGACCAGATATTCAATTTCAAGCACAGAGTATTAGTTTGGGAAACGCACTTTCAAGTTACTACTTAAGTACGTATAAATAAATAATCCATTTCTTTTGATATTCTAATAATTCTAATACTCTTTACATTTAAGGTTATCTGTTCAATATAAATAGGGAAACTTACGTTAAATATGTTTTGCCCAACACCAACAAAGATGCGACCATTATACTAGTGACCTTAGTTAGGCCTCGAAATACTGGTACAATTAAATTGGCTTCTTCTGATATCAAAGATTCTCCTTTGATTGACTTCAACTTTTTCACTGATCCTCGTGATCTGGATGCTACAGTTGAAGGATGCAAATTGTTTCTCAACATATCAAAGACAGAGGCTATGAAATCGATCGGAGCAGAGCGTTTCGATTCCCCACTACCTGGTTGTGAACAATATCCATTAATACATAATGTATTAAAGCATATTTCGTGGTTGATGCATACTTTCACTTCAAAATTAAGTTAATCACAGTTAATCTTGAGCTAAACTTAACATCTAACCCTAAAAAATATTTGATACAGTTGATGCTTAATTTTATATTAGTAATTGAATGCAAATTAAAATTAATCTAAATAGTTTTACAGGTGTTTCTCGGATTCCAGATACAAACTGTTTACAAGCAAATAATTTAGACAATCAATTCGATTGCAAAGCGATTCAAATGTTTTATATTTTAAACAATTGTTATAACAACCTTATTGTTTAATTCCTTTATTGAGGAAGAGATTAACTCATTTACTCTCTACCTATGAATTATCATGCTTTAATTGCCATTAACTTTACATTGAATCAATTTTCACACAAAAGTTATAATTTACTGCACTTGTTAAATGCCAAATTGGGTGCCACGATTTGCATTTGAGTAAATCTATTAATTTACAGTAAATCATCATTAACCCAAAGATCTAAGTCTATTTCTTCAAAATGAACATTTCAATGATTGTATTTCAATTTACTTTACTGTTATCAGTCCATTTATTAGGGGCTCAATTTTCAATACCTTCAATCACTTCAGAAATAACTAAATTGCGAGATGCTAGGATTGAATTTTTTAACAAATTTTTAAATTCGATCCCGATCCCAGAAAAAGCTTCGAAGCAAGTGTTACTGCGAAAAGTATCTGGAAAAGCTTTCAACTCAGAACTGATTGACGCTGCAAGTCAACTTGAGACAATAATTGCTTCACCACATGGACCAATTGCGTCTCCTTACTCGCTTGACTTTGATCTACCATCCAACAATAACAATACCTATGATTATGTGATTGTTGGAGCTGGAGCTGCTGGTTCAACAGTAGCTGCTCGATTAACAGAAGACCCTAGTGTTCGTGTCTTAGTTATTGAAGCTGGTGGAAAGGAGAATAACTTTAACAACATTCCTCTATTTGCTTTGTTACAACAGAAAACTCCAATCGACTGGGGATATTATTCTACACCTCAAACTCGATCAGCTCAGGGTTTGAATGATGATCAGATTCCAGCGTCTCGAGGTAAAGTCGTCGGTGGCTCTACCTCTATTAACTTCATGTTGTATGTTAGAGGCAATCCATCAGATTATGATAAATGGCAAGAATTAGGTGCCACAGGTTGGAATTACTCAGCTATGGCTCCTTACTTCGTCAAAATGGAAGATTCAAGAGACTCGAAGAGTGACCCTGGCTACCATGGTACTAAGGGTCCAATGACAATCTCAGAGCTAAACGATCCTTTCGAAGCAGATACAGCTCTCTTAGAAGGAGCCCGTGAATATGGTCTAAACATTGGCGACTACAACGGTGCAGATCAAATGCGGTTCCAATATGGCTCGCATTACATTCGAGATGGTAAGCGATGTTCAACTGGTCGTGCTTACCTAGGACCTGCTTCTTCGCGTCCAAATCTGGATATCTTTTTGTATTCACGAGTTAATAAAGTTATATTTGATGGAAAGCGAGCGATTGGAGTTGAGTTTACAAACAGTGAAAAAGATTATCAAGTCTTTGCTCGAACAAAAGTGATCATCTGTGCTGGTGGAATCGCAACACCACAACTATTGATGTTATCAGGCATCGGACCGAGAGATCAGTTGGAAAAATTTAATATTTCAATAGTTCATGAGTCTCCAGGAGTCGGAAATAACTTACAAGATCATATATTCACGATTCTTTTCTTCAGGACTAATTATGGGACAAGTTTCGTACCCGACCGAATCGATGCTGCAAAAAGTTTTGTTGAATATGTAACGACTCATAATGGATCCTTTACATCCTCTGGATTGAATGTAAATGGGTTCTGGAGAAGCAAATATGCAGATGATTCAAGACCAGATATTCAAATACAAGCAGAAAGTCTTGGCTTAGGAAACGTTCTTGCAAATTACTATTTAGGTGCAATTGAAAATACATTTCGTTTGATATTCTAATAATTCTCTTTCCATTTAAGGTTATCTGTTCAATATTGACAAACAAACATTGCTCAAATATTTTATGCCTAATGCCGAAACGGATGGAACAATCGTACTAATGACCTTAGTTAGGCCCCGAAATACTGGTACAATTAAATTGGCCTCCTCTGATCCTAGGGATCCTCCTTTGATCGATTTCAACTTCTTCACTAATCCTCGCGATCTTGCTGCTATGGTTGAAGGATGCAAATTGGTTCTTAACATATCAAAGACACAGGCAATGCAATCAGTGGGAGCAGAGTTTTTCAATTCCCCACTTCCTGGTTGTGAACAATATCAATTCGAATCAGATGATTATTTAAGATGCCTTATTCAAACGCTAACTTTCACTATCTGGCATTCGATTGGCACAGCTAAAATGGGTTCTCCTGATGACCCAATGGCTGTTGTTAGTCCTGATCTTCTTGTTCATGGTGTGGATAATCTCATGGTTATTGATACATCTGTAATGCCTGAGATTCCAACAGGGAACACGGCTGCTCCTACTATCGCATTAGCTGAGAGAGCAGCAGATATGCTGAGAGGAAGAGTACTGAGACCTCAAAGTCTTCCATTCACTGATGAAGAGGATATAATTTCTGATTATGTTCCGTATCAAATTAATGATTAAGTTTACAGGACTTAGACAATAATATGAAATATTATACAAAATAAAATTACACTTTCAGCATCAACTAGATCGACTTTACAGCTTCACTATTATCCATTTGCAGCTTTAAGAAACTTTGATCTTTTAGCCTTCGAAACGCTAAGTTTGTTTTTAAATACACAATCAAATCAATTTCCACAATTGGTACAATTGAGAAAAACAGATAAAAATTAATTTTTGACTTACTTAGACTGAGTTGGTTTGTGGGGACATAAAATCTGAGTCCATGAATAATTTCAAAATTTTCTTTCAGGAACAGTTTTCGATAAAATCAGGTTAAACTTTGATCGCTTTTTGTGTAATTAGGGAAGCAGATTTTGCTATGGAACGCATTTTAATGATGTGATCTTTGGTGAACATGACAAGAGTAAACTTATTTTGAGAAATAAAATTCACAACAGATTAGTTAATCGTTGATTAATGATTACTCAAACTCATGATGTGCTTGAAGGATATTCATTAGTAAGTAAATTCGTTCATTATTTCACGAAAATTGCAATAAGTTGAAAGTTTAGTGCAATTATCATGGAAATAAAGCAAATATAATATATGTGATTGAAGACAAATAAAGTTAATTTTACTAGCTCTAAATGTGTTTCTCCAACTCCACGAGCCAATTGAATGAAAATTCTGAAAATTCTGAGTTAATATTTACAGTAGTTTAGAGTATTTAGAGTAGTTCGACAACTTGCTGATTTTATTAAGTAAATGCTTCAGAACAATCAATTTATTTGTAAAGTGATTCAAATATTTTAAACAGTTTGAATATTCATTTACACATATCTGTGTCATTCATGTTTGGACAGTTAGTTTTGAATTCTTTGAATAATCTTTAAATGGTCAAAATCTAGTGATTCCTATGACTTGTTCAATCTTCAATAGTTTCAAATTCAGTGGGATGAAAATCATAATAATAGATATAAACAAATATCAAATATTAAATTGCCTTAACTGTTTTGTGCTGAAGCATTACTACATGCAATATACAAATAAAGAGCGTTTGAATAAACTTTTTGTAAATTCATCGACTCATCATGAATATAAAATAATAAATTAATTGCAAATTTTATGCACTTTAAACAGTTGTTAAGGAGAAGATTAAATCATTGGCTGTCTACCCATGAGTTCAAAAGTTTTAAATACCATTAACTTTACCTCAAATCACTTCAAAACATTAAGCGACAATCTTGTCGCTACATTGATTATTAGATCCATTGATAAAAGTCTACTCCTTCAAACATTATGAACATTTCATTGATTATATTTTATTTGACTTTGTTGTTAACAGTCCAGTTATCAGTGACTCAATTAAACGGTTCACCGTTGGTTCCATTGGTAACTCCATTTCAAGATGTCAGTATTGCATTTTTTAAACAATTTCTCGATTCGATTCCAGTCTCAGGAGATGTACCTGATTACGAATTGCTACAAAAAGTATCTGGAAAAGCTTTCAATTCAAAATTTTTTGACACTGCAAGTCAACTCGGTACAATAATTGCTTCACCTCTTGGACCGATAGCGTCTCCTTACTCGCTTGATGTTGATAAACCATCCAACAATAACAATACATATGATTATGTTATTGTTGGAGCTGGAGCTGCTGGCTCAACAGTAGCTGCTCGATTAACGGAAGATCCGAATATTCGTGTCTTAGTTATTGAAGCTGGTGGAAAGGAGAATAACTTTAATGTCATTCCTTTGTTTGCTTTCTTACAACAAAAAACGCCCATCGACTGGGGATATTACTCGGTACCTCAAACTCGATCAGCTCAGGGTTTGAACAACAAAAAGATTCCAGCGTCTCGAGGTAAAGTCGTCGGTGGCTCTACCTCTATTAACTTCATGTTGTATGTTAGAGGCAATCCATCAGATTACGATAAATGGCAAGAATTAGGTGCCACAGGTTGGAATTACTCAGCTATGGCTCCTTACTTCGTCAAAATGGAAGATTCAAGAGACCCGAGAGCTGAACCAGGGTACCATGGTACTAAGGGTCCTATGCCAGTGTCAGAAATACAAGATCCTTACCCAGTAGATGAGGCTTTTTTGGAAGGTTGTCGTGAGTATGGTCTCAACATTGGAGACTACAATGGTGCAGATCAAATGCGATTCCAATATGGCTCACATTATATTCGAGATGGTGAACGTTGGTCAACTGGCCGTGGTTATCTAGCCCCTGCTTCTTCTCGTACAAATTTGGATATTCTTTTATTCTCACGAGCGACTAAAATTATATTTGATGATGAAAAGCGAGCAATCGGAGTTAAATTTACGAGAAATAATGAGAATTATCAAGTTTTTGCCCGAAGTAAAGTCATCATCTCTGCTGGTGGAATCGCAACACCACAACTGTTGATGTTATCAGGAATTGGACCGAAAGATCAGTTGGAAAAATTTAAAATCCCAACAGTTCATGAGTCTCCTGGAGTTGGCAATAACTTACAAGATCATCCATTTACCTTTCTTTTGTATAAAACAAATCTCGGGACAAGTTTTGTAGCTCCGCGTTTAGATACCGCAAAAAGTATCGCTGAATATGCATCGTCTCATAAGGGATCTTTCACAACACCTGGATTGAATGTAAATGGATTCATGCGAACTAAATATGCAAAGGATGAGAGATCGGATATTCAAATACTCGAGTTTAGTTATATCATTGGAGGAGCACTTCCAAACTTTTATTTAGGTAAATACGAATTGAATCCATTTCGTTTGCTAATCCAACAACCTTCTTTCAATTTAAGGTTATCTGTTGAATTTCAATCGACAAACCTACTTTAAATATTTTTTGCCTTATTCCGGAAGCGATGGAACCATGTATGCAGTAAGTTTAGTTAAGCCACGAAACACTGGTACAATTAAATTGGCCTCTGCTGACCCTAGAGATCCTCCTTTGATCGATTTCAACTTCTTCACTGATCCTCGTGATCTTGGTTCCATGGTTGAAGGATGCAAATTGGTTCTTAACATAACGAAAACAGAGGCCATGCAATCAGTCGGAGCTGAGCGTTTCAATTCATCATTGGGTGATTGTGACCGATATGCATTTGACTCAGATGATTATTTAATGTGTCTTACTCAGACGCTAACTTTCACTCTCTGGCATTCGACTAGCACAGCTAGAATGGGCTTTTCTGATGATCCACTGGCTGTTGTTAGTCCTGATCTTCATGTTTATGGTGTTAAGGATCTCATGGTTATTGATACATCTGTAATGCCTGAGGTACCAACAGGGAACACAGCTACTCCTACTATAGCATTAGCTGAGAGAGCAGCAGATATGATAAGAGGAAGAGTATTGAGACCTCAAAGTCTGCCATTTACTGACGAAGATGATATAATTAACGACTATGTGCCCTATGAAATTGATGATTAAGTTCATAGGACTAAAACGATTAATATGAAACACAAACATCAAATTCACTTTTAACTAAACTAGATTGACTTTATAACAGGTTTTATTATATTATTATATTTCGTGCTTCACAAAAATTTCGGGTCAAATTATCAAAACAGATTTTTAATATTCTTGCAATTATATTTCTTTCTTCGTCCAGTTAAGGCTATTTCACGCGCAACTACGAAATGGTGACTGTATTAAACTTTACGAATTAAGTTATTGAGTGCAGAGACACTAATTAAGGGAAATTAGTTTTTTATTTAAGCAAATTAAAAAAGATACATTCCAATCTAAATTAATTATTTAGATCAATTTGAAATTCGGTAATACACAGTATTTGGGCGTTACGTTAACAAAACGAATTAGTTGAGCCAATTCATTAAATTAAGCCAAAATTGATTCCACAACATGATGAATAAAATATGATTAGATTGTCATGAAACTTCCTGATCAGAAATTGTCAATGTTATCCTGTTAATTTTTTCTTTAACTAATAGAGTATCAAATAGCTAAAATGTAAGCTTTTGATTAACCCAAATCAAGAACCAATTGACAATTTCTTGGTTAAAAAGTTTTTCTACACACAATTCAAGTGAGAAATTGTTGATTTAAATAATTTACTTCAAAGGACAGAATGATTATATTCATTTTCTCGATATCGATCAAACGACAGTTACAAGTGAATCATTAACGCTTGTTTGATTGATAATGGAGGATAAAGTGGTTAATGCAGCAAGAGTTTGGGTGAGGTTGGCATTAATCTCATCTTCGACTGTATCTGACTGTGACCTTCCAACCCTAACCCCTGAATTTGCAATTGAAGCATCAGAAGATGGTGTTGAAGACGAGTTAATTTCAGTAGCATTGGCAGTTGTTGCCAAAGGTTTTTCGGTGTTGAATAAGGCATCAATTATGGTGGACGAAGATGATGAAATTTCAATTATACCCTCGGTGATTGTGCCATTAGACTCCATTCCTTCTTCAGATATGTCTCTTGGTGAATCGGTAGCATCTTCCTTGATTACTGGTGCAACTGGTGAAGAGGGTGAAGCTGAAGTAGCATTCAAAATTTGTGTATCAATATCATCTTTTGGAAATTGAATGGATGAAGATTTGTTTCTTTCTTGATCTGGATTATTTGGAGATTCTGAGTCCAACTTTACTGATTCTTCCTCTGATCTAGCATTTCTCAAATTTACCATTTCCACGGTTGTTGTCAACTCGACTGGTGGCAAAGTAGTATCCAAAACTGCCACAGAACCATTGATATTTACGGGATCAGGGATAGTTTCATTAGTAGAAGTTGAATTTAAACCTTCGGCACTTATAACAGGGACTTTAGTAAATAAAGACAACATAACATAATAAACACAAATACGAATTAGATTTTTTAACATTTACAAACAATAACAATACTAACCAGCATTAATTGTGGTCACAAGGTTGAGAAGCACAAAGAATAGAAAACAATTTTGCAAAGTTAAAGACATTTTGAACAAAATTGGTTGAGATTTGAAATATCGAAGAATTTTTATAAGAAAATTGTTGGTTTGCTTGGAATCAAGTTCGGCGTGAAGTTGAAGCTGTAATGAAAGGTATCTGAATGTCTGGACTCACTTTATCAATCAAACTGAGATGAGACAAAGTTGTAAAAAGAATGAGAAAGTGAGAAAACGGGAAAGAGAAGCAAAAGTTAGATGATGATGAATATGAATATAAGGTAAGAATGATGATGCATTAGTTTAGGGAATGATAGCCTTGAATAAAAGAGATAAAATTCAAACATCCAGTGTTTTAGTCCAAATCTTACAGTTAGCCCTTTTTGACTCTTATTCATTCTTCCTCTTCATTACTTAACCTAACATCTAGTCAAATTTAATTTTCAACCCAATATATCGACAAAAACGTCAACTCTTTGATGATCAGGATGTCCAAGATAATCGGGACAATCAGTGTAATAAGGAAATGATGCACCAAAATAAATTGGCTAGACAGATACAAATTTAGTCTATTATTAGCTCCTCTCTTTGTGTTCAAATTGGTATTGAACAGTCAAGTTTTAGCGTAAAATTCAGTCATCAAGATGATCATGATATATTATAATTCGGCAATTTCCTCTTTGGTCAGATTGTAGCAAAAATTATGTTGACCCTAAAGATAAAGCCAAATGGACATACCAAAAAGATTTTTTTGAAAGCCATTTTCAATTCCAAACTGGTAAGCTATACAACGAGTTGAGATTGCAAATGGGAAATTTTTGAAGACACCAAACAATTAAAGGATTTAATTTCAAACCCAATATTGTGTGATGTTATTATTTGTATTTTACCTGAATTGAGAGGATAATTAGCTGATGTTAAGACAATTGCATAAAAGAATATGAGAATGAGGGTAGAAATTGATTGAAAACGAATCTCAAGAAGGTAATTGTAAAGAAAAGGATAAGTTGTCAAGTTGGTTTTATTTCAAAGGTAGTCCGACAAATCATTAGATGTCCTCGATCAATTCTATGACCTTTACCCACTTCAATCACCTTAATTGTCTCCGTTAATCTTCACCTGTCTCGATCCAACTCAGCATTGTTGGTGACTTTTATCGCCATGATCAAGACTATTTGGTGAACACCTTCTTTAAGGAAGAGATCAAACTGTTTGACTAAAGGATACAATCAACGGAAATGATCTCATCTTATTAAATACAATTTAACTTTTTCCAATCGACTCGATTGCAAATATAATGATGATATTATTGAAAGTAAAGCCATCAATCTCTTGATTTTTGAGCATTGTTAGTGTTAAATGAGTTAATATGAAACCACTGAAGGCCAGCGGAAATTCAAGATGCATAATTATGATGACTTCAACTTGCAAGATTCAATTCCAATTGGTCAGGAAAGAAGTAAACTTGATTGTCAAAACTTAAACAATTTCATGTAATTTATTGTACAGTGCATTTTATTCAGTTTCACATCTTCGATCGGACATCCAAGAGTTGAATAAGATGAAAAGGATAAAAAGAGTGCTGGTGCTCGAGTGGCTGAAGTAATCGATCGAAAAGTGAAGGTTCCTCTCCACACATTTTTGTGGTTGCACCATTATCCGATGAATCAACGAAATCAGGTTCAGCTGCACAGACAACCACACCAAAACCTTCAACTTGTAACTTTGTCATTTATGGCGTTTAACATGATGACAAAGAGGATAATGAAGGTATTTTACTCAAAAGTTTTCATTGAGCACAAGCGATAAACAACATCTGAATTAATTAAGAATCATCACTAGCTTTCTTCATTGTTAAGGGAAATTATTCCACTCTGTGAATTGTTTTTTATTGTTAGGGAAAATTTTGATTCCATAAGATGCAAACAAATAACATTTGAATAGACTTTCATGGCAATAAATGATAATATCAAGAAATTAAAACGTTTCTGATTTAAATTGAATGGTCACAAGTCCTGATATAAAGCTAACAAGAGTTGAAAATAACAATCAGTCATTTGTATATCAATGGACATTGAGACAATGCTCAAAGAGAATAGAGTTTCAATTCAACAGACAATTTAATGAATTCCAATATTTGAAATTCAAGTATTTTAATTATACCGCGGCTGAGTACATGAAATTAACCGTCTAATGTTTCAGGGTCTCGACTGTACAAGTAAATAGCCTTAATTTAATCCAAACAAACAACTTTGAAGGGGAATAACATCACCGAAAATCGACCCTGGTAAATTGAAAAAAACTTTTGATGCCATCTTTCTTATTTCAAAATTTTGATGGTTTTCAAGCCATGTTTCGTGTCTTATCAAAAGTTTCGTATGTTGTCACATTCGGCTGCCATTCCACATAAAAATTGGTTATTGTTGTCCTGATCTCGTTTATGGTGTAGATAATCTCATGGTTATCGAGACATCTGTGATGCCTGAGATTTCAATAGGGAACACAGCACTTCTATACTTCTCACCATTATGCAGCCAATTGATATTGAAAAGATCCAAATTCATAATGAGATGAACCTAAACCCTTTTGTCAAATCACAAAGATTCATGTCGGAATGAAATGAACTATCGCTTAGTTAATGGCTATGAAAGGTGGATCAAAGTTATTTATTTAATTTTTGCTGGACAACATGCGATTTTGTAACGTTCCAGTTGCGTTCGAATTCATATTCTTCTCTCTTAATCTAATTTTCTCGTCATTAATCAATCATTCAATCGATTGAAATACTCGGTAAAACATGCAAACAATCCTCGCGACTATTAAAACTAGCAAAGTTTTGCGAAATCATAATTGTAATACAATCAACATTTGCAAATTTGTCCATGAATTGACGAAGAACAAATGAATAATTAAATTTTGATGAAATTTCAACCTTTCAATGAACATTTTAAGCAATGTATTAGTTTCAATTCGAGGAAAGGCAAGGAGTTTTTCATCATGAATTGAGATAATTTCAATGTGGGTTGACTGTAAGTGGCAATAGGCATTTGAGGAATGTATCCATTAGAGGAATGATAAATGAATAAACAGATATTTCAATGGAAAATTCGTTTTGTTGTATTCTTGGTGTATCGATCTCCAAGCGAAATCTACTTTCGAATACTTTTCTTTATTGATTGAAAATTTCAATTTAACGTTTGAAAGATTGCTCAAGTAGTTGTGAGGTTTGATGTATTTAATGGGGTAAAGAAGAAGAAAAACATAACTGAGATAAAAGAACATGATTAACCAAACCATTTGATTTTGCAAAAGTACAAGGTGTATGAAAGATGAAGATGAAGATGATAATGTTGATAATAAAGGGCGATTCATAGAGTGGATGAAGGAAAGGAGTAAAACCAATCAATGGAAAAGGGAAAAGTCCAAAGATGAGTTTCGAGGTAAACTAATAAGATTACAGATAGCAGATGATGATTGATTGAAACAGTAAATTCAAAGTCTAACCACAATCACGGCCAACGTGAAATTAATTGAGTTTTTCAAGTTCAAATATTTGATAAAAAATACATGAAATGTGAAGAGATTTGTCATGAAAGAGAAGACAAAAGACAAGAACAAAAAGGAAAAGGAAAAGGTCAAGATGAGTATGAAATATCCGGACCAGGAGATTGATTTTGTACAAGAAGCAATGTTTATCCTCGATTACTAAGCTAAAGGTGAAAAAAGATGAAAACTTCATTGAAAGAGGAACTCAGGAAGGGCAAGAAATAGCTTCTTTTTGGTAGCTGATATAAAAGTAGAAGGAAAATGAGGCGAAATGTGGCGCCAGTCAGGAAAAAGATGATGAGATGAAAATAGTGTGTCATGAATAATTGTGGTTGTTAACACGATGAAGGTAATAATTATCAATAAGCGCTTTTTCCAGGTGAAATATAGCAAGAATATTGAACAGGTAACATGAAAATGGACACTTATAACATTAAATGTATGAAGAATTAATAGTCAATTTATGCTGCTCTTGGTTGAATGATTGAGATTAAGATTGTTGGCACTTAGAATGAAGGAAATGAGGATTTTTCAGCTTTGTCTTTTCGTTAAAGATGAATGTTTTGTTTTCTTGGTCTCTTTTTAAATCTTTGAATCACCAATGTTTGATATTTCTTCATTTTTGTATTGTTTTGCTCAGTTTGTGGACACATGGAAATATAGTTATATCTTTTTAAATTTTCAAATCATAGTTTAAACTCGATAAGCGTAAACTAGACGATAGCCAAAAATATTACAATGATTGTGTACACCACAGAGATTGACAAGATTGATTTGGCTCAAAGACAGTAGAAGTAGAAAGATTAGAATATCGATGTACTAAGGAATTAATTTATCATTTTAGGAATTGGAGTAAACCTACGAGAAAAGGTATCCATGGAGGAGTATTAAGGGTAAGGATAAAGAGGAAGGAAGATAGGAAAGGTTGAAAGATCAAAGGAGCACATGAAGCTTCAGTGGCATTTTGAGAAGGGTTATAATTAAACCCACGAATCTCCAGCAGGCATTGGAGGAGGATAGATGGGTTCATTGGTCGTAGGATCATAACTATTACTCGTGTCAGATCCGAGGAGAGCTTGAGTCGATGAGGTAAAATCTGCTCCAGGGCGGGAATGTTTTTTCCGTTCACGATTAACTTGGGCATAAACTGGTTCCGTACTATTACCACGAATATACTTCTAGGTTAAAATCAAAATTAAATTGAAGAAAAAAAAGGAGAAAATAAGAAAAAAACAAAGGATATAATTACAATATTCAGAGTAAAATAAAAGGAAAAGGGTTGAAATGCATGGCATAAGCAAAATGATAATGAAAAATAGAAATGTAAACAAAAAGGGAAATCAGGATGAAAGAGGAGAGAAGATGGAAGTAGCATGATGGCAAATAGAATCATGATAAGCTTCTTATTATTATTCTTTGCCCAAGTGAATTAACTGTCCTTATGACAATGTTTATATGAGTTGTTGGTTAGATGAATAATTAATGAAATGAAGACAGTTAAGAGGCAATCTTTCTCCATTTTTGTGGATGGGTCAGATTAGTTGAATGATTGGTTATGTCAACTATTATTATTGCAATTATTATTATTGTTATTATTATTTTTGCATCGTTATTAGTATCATCATTATGCATAAAAAATGTATTATTAAGCATAGTAATGATTAAAAAAAAAGGTTGGAGGGAACAAGCTATCAACAGTAAAGATGATAAGATGTTAGTAAAGGTGATTAAGTGATTAAGGAGGAAAAACCTGGGAAGCGAATTAAATTAGCAGAGACAATGTTAGCATAAAGAATGTTATTTGTTATTTAATTACTTAAAAGACATGATGAAATTAAGAAGAGAAATGACAGTGTAAAGAAAACGAAGAAGACAAGTAAAGGGGAAAAGTGTAAAGGTGAATGTTAGTGAGCAATGAGTGATAGTATGAGATTTGTTTAGTGATCGAGATGACAAAGATGAAAATGAAAGTGATGCAGCAAATAATTGGCTGAAAAGGAGAGGTATGAATAAAATAAGCACAGTGAAATTGGTGAAAATATATTGATTACTGCAAAAAAAGGAGTATTAAATATCGAAAGAAGACGCTAAATTATGTAAGTTGATTCTCCTGAGACTGGAAGAAGTAAAAGAGATGCGAGAATGAACAGAGAGACAAATAGATTCTTTGTCAAGCATTGGCTTGTTAATTGAGATACTATTGGTTTTTGAAGAGGAAAGTTCCTCACTTGGACTAGAAAATTTAGTATTCGCTTTCCAGAATACTTGAATAAGAACGATTTATCGTTGGGTTCATTTTGTTGAGTGAAATACGAGTATTTCATTAAATGTTAGTGGGTAAACAAAAGAAGAGGAAAACTCGGGAAAAGAGGAGCACTTTTGAGCTGGCTGGATGAAACTGAGACCGTGCGATTGAGCTTGATGCGAAGAAAAGATAAAGCGGTTAGTAAAGCCATTTGAAGATGAGATTTTTCGCGCAGTTAGTTTGCTCGACTGTATTTTTTTGTTAGTAATTTGGCGTATTTTATTATAAGTTATTGAAATAACTTACAACTCCAGGCGGATAAATTTGTACTCCACCGACAGGCGGACGGTGTTGTTGTTGCTGTTGTTGCTGTTGTTGTTGTTGAGCTGCATTTAATTGTTGCTGGGCCTGTTGTTGGGCTAGTTGTTGTTGGGATGCTAATTGTTGATTTTGAAGATGAGCTGGAGTATGAGCAAGTTCAGGCGCTCCTCTGTGAGCCATATCAGAAAGTTGGTATTCTTCAGGCTAGAAAAAGATTGAGGAGAAAATTATTATTTAATACGAAGATTAAAGATACCATAGAGGTATGATCATTCAATCAGAGCTGTGCTCTAAATTTGAATATTGGTTAAATAAATCGGATTGGATTGAAGAGTCTTCCTTTAACATTTGTCAGTCTGCATTGTAAGAGAGATTGATTTCAATCATTTAAACTTATTTTGTTCAAGCAAAATCATTATTAATGAAAGTTAAATGAAGATCTGGCATAAGTGAGTCGTTTAATTAAACTCATCAGACAAAAATGATAGATTTCGAATAAATTTATCCTGATAACCTTGCTTAGTTTTCTCAAGACTAATAAGCTATTAGTAATAACCTGAATAGATAGTAAATCTATCAAATGATATAACTTAAACTTCTAAATAAGAGAAATGGTCTGATGACAAAAGTAATAGTATTATGAAATAATAATGAATGGAATGGCCAGAGAAGTAGAGTATAAAGGTAAGAATCTCCAAATGCTGATATGTCAACTTCACAACTAGAGATTAATTGAAAGACTAGAGAAATTTAGCACAAATGGACGCACCCTATTAAGTGACATTTGTGTCATATTCATTTCCCGGCCACCTCCTCTGGAAAGGGTGCGGTCCTCGTATCTGGTACCTCCTTGAGTACTCATTGGACGACTTAAGGTATTATTTGCACTTGATGTTGGAGATTGAAGCACACCTCCAGAGGAATTACGGCTCATTACATGGCGGACCAAAAAGTGAGATTCTTTATAACCAGCTTTTCTGTAAACTTCTCTCAGATCCGAATGCTGCCACATATTTGCTAATAACTAAAACAGAAATAAAAAAGCATAAGAATTATGAAATTAATTTAAAGTCAATTCACATTGAAAAAAGTTCAGGATAACAAAATTACTTAATTTATCCAATCGAAAAAATTTTGATTAATTTATCATAAACATATGTAACTAGACTTCTTCGCTGTATCCGGAATGTAGTTATTGATGATTATTGGAGAGTTTAATTCTAATTGCTGATTCGGAATTTTTTCGATTTGACATAACATATGGGATTATTTCATTTTTGACAAAGTAAGTAATTTTAATATCAAGTTTTTCATCTTGACTACGAATTTTTTGTGTAAATTGTGATGTTTACTGATCCAATTTGTTAAGTTGGACAACAAAAAAGGGATAATCGAAAGGTTAAACTTTAAATACCTGAGATGTAAATTTGAATACTCGAGAAGAATATTTTGTTTTGTTTTTTGTTATATAGACTAGCCGTTCCATTCCATCAGCTTCAAGAAGTGATTTAGCGAAATCAGCATTTTTAGAAATTACTTCATTTAAAGTGGCCAACACAGCAGCGATTGTGTCATCTGATGTACCCATGTCATGCTGTGGGTTACCCTCGGGAAGTTTGGATACCAAATCTTTCATTGCATATTTTCCTATCAACTCTTTATTTCTTGGGTCAAGTGCTAAATTTCTTAGAGCAGTGGCTACAGCACAGACGACTCTGTCAACCTCCATTCTGAGTAGTTCAACTAAAACCGGCAAACCTTTTTCTTTGCGAACAGCAGCTCGAATGTCAATAGAGGGTTGCCAATAACAGGCGGCAAGATTTTGAATTGCTCCAGCAGCAGCCTCTAAAGTTTCAGGATTTGAACATTCACTTAGTATCGCTAAGTAAGGTTGAACAACTTCTGGTTGCCACAGTAATTCCATTCCTGCGATCGGTTCATTGGGTCTCCTATTGATGCCTGGTATACCAGTAGTATTTAATGACAATTGTTGTGTAGCTTGGGTTAGACTTTTACTTTCTGTTGGAGTGGCTGCTGTTTCTTTCGTTTTCTTCTTACTCATTCCAAAACATCCTAAATTATCACCAACTTTAGAACTTACAGAACCCATTATAGCAACTGCTCGAGAAGAGGATGGAGATACTGAGCGAGAGTCGTTAGTAATAGGAGCTGGATGTTTATCATATTCAGGATCAATTATTTCTTGACACCGGTAAGAAAGGTTTCTTAAAATACAAACACAATTTTCCACTGATTTGTTATCGATATCATTCTTGACGATGGCTGATCGTATAAGGAACAATAGAGAATCAACTAAGCCATCACATTCACGTAACTTTTTTCTGGCATATTCACCAGCAGAGGAAACATTTCTTAAAACACCACTGGCGTTGCGAAAAATTACCGACCACCATCCTTCGGGATTCCCTGAAGATTGCATCATGGCATCACTGGCATTGGACGATGAATCATTATTAGGGAAATTGCTTGTCCATCCCGATTGGGGTATAATTATTCGATTTACCAATGTACCGAGGGCATCATCAATGATGGACCTTTTAAGAGGGTCGCATGAACTGAGATTCCACAAGACACCAGTAATAAGCTCTTCCAGTTCATTATCAATTGTCTTGCGAAGCAAGTTAACCAGGGCCACTAGACCTCCAGCATTTCTGACTGCTTTTTTATTTTCATCATTACGTCTACCATAACTTATATTACGCAAAGCTCCACAAGCATTCCTTTGAATCTCTAAAGAATCTTGAGTAATTAAGTTGATCAAAGGAGGAATTGCTCCGAGAGCGCGGGCTTTTTGTTTTATATTATCATCACTAAAACATAGATGCTGTAAATGAGCAGCCGCGTTTGCACGTATAACTGGATTAGGATGAGAAAGGAATTCAATAACCTCATGAAGATCAGGATCTCTCCATCTAACACTACCGTCACCAGTTAGATTGGATCCTGGGTCAGCGAGATTGTCTTCAGGAAAAACTGTTCTAGGCGGTGGACCGCGCATAGGTGCAGTACTATAAGTACCATGATCGTCATAGCTCTGCCGGCGGTCTAAATAGCCAGAAGGTGGATGAAGTTCATATGGATTGTAAGTACCAGCATTAGCAGTTGACTGCATCGGTAAACCAGCTCCGGATGATGGCGGAAGAGGTCCAGGGCTTGGAGTCACTCCTTGTAATTGATTCACAGATGAAGAGCCGCCGGTGCTACCGGCATAACCATTTGGAGAGGGTTGAGCTTGGATTAAATAGCCATTTGATGATGGTTGAGAAGCATGTTGGAATTGAGTATATTGTAATGTTGAATCGAGCTCATCGTAACCTGATTGTGGCATGTGATTGATAGGTTGCATAGATGTTGGCTGAGGTGGACCTGCTTGATGTCCTCCATGAAGAGATGGCCCTCTTCTCAGAGTAGGTGGTGATTCGGATGTAATTGATGGGGCTATAGATGGATTGATTTGATAGTCCCGGTAGTTGGAATATTCTACATGCCTCTGGTATGTCTCCATGTTTGGCATATAACCATGAGATTCATAGTTGCTTCCAACGGCTCCATATGTATCATAATTATCCATTGAAAATTATCTTTAATTGAAACCGATCAGGAGTCGAACCAAAACAAAATAAGATGAAAAACAATTAATAATCCAAATTGAAAATCACAGAATTGAAGAAAAAAGACATCATAAATCAATATTAAAGACCATAACAATGACTAACGAGGAATGCTAATAATAGACACAGTTCAAAATAAACAAATACAAGAAAGAAAGTGAAGATAGATATATGATTCGAATGAAGCAAACAATGAACACACTGGAAAATGTAGTTTGTTGTTGATTTGCTAAGTGCTAGAGTTAACAAATGATGGTTTTGCGTAAAAAGAAACAGAGGAACCTGCTTCAGTTTTGAATGGTAAGATGACTAAAATACCTTTGGTACGGTGTGTATACTCGGTTGATTAACTCAATTTGATAGAAAGCACAGAACAAACTGATTGAATGTGAAATATTTACATGAAAAAGTAACAATCAAATTAAAATAGGAAAAGGTACACACTACGAGTATAAGCTGGTGAGAAGATCAAAGAGGTGAACAATGTGAGACTAGCGATTTGAGTGAGCAAATAAAATAGAAGACGTAGAAGAAGATGCCTTGGATGTAAAATTAAGTTGTTTTTTTTATTTACCTCAGTATTGACTATAGATGATAATGATGTAATGATGGTGGAGATGAATTGATTATGGGAATCCTTTAAAATTATAATACAGTCAACATTTGATGATGTGTAAACAATTTGGTCAATGGATTGATGAAAAAGATAGTGAAAATGTGTGGAGAGATGTTAAAAGACAAGAAAAAGACACAGGAGAAAATAAAAGGAAAAGAAAGGTAATGAAAGAGGAGAAAGAAAAAAGACAGTCCAGAGAGTTGAACAGATGAAAGATTGAACTCAGTGAAAGACTGACTGCTGAAATAAAAGCTGAAGACACCACCGGAAAGGAATTTTTTCCATTTTTAAAGAGAGAAAAGAAAGGAAGAAGAGAGAGATAGAAAGAGAGAGAGAGCATACCACAGAGAGAAAGAGAAAAGAGAGAGAATAAGAAATTCTTGAGTGAGCGAGGAAGTTTGAGTGAATAGCATTTTAGCAGTGCTAAGAAATCGTTTCGCTTTCAAGTTATAATTTGGCTTGAGAAGCCTTTTGTTTTCCTAAATCATCTAAGGAATGTATGAAACTGAAGTAGAGTACGAAACGAGATAAGTTAACAAGAAGGTGGAAAAAATTTTCGGTCATTTTGCTTGAAAAATTGAGTAGCTTCAGGTTACAGCTTTTTCTTTGCTACATTTTTTCCTTTTCAATTGTAAAACACTTTCCTAAAACTAATCCAATTTCATCTTCATCTGGTTCAATGGATTCATTTTATTTTACTTTAACCTTTTCTCGTAAAAAAAAGTCAATTGTTATTCCAACATCGATGATGCATTTGTTATTTCCAATTATTATGATAATATTCGTATAATATTTGCATTAAGTAAGCTAATTTTCGCTACAATGTTAGACTCACCTTTGAGATAATCTTTTTAAAAAAGTTTTCAATTTGAGCTTTACTGTAGATTCCTTTATTTCCTTGTTTTGCTTATTCGGTAAAAAACCGGTTATCAGACAATTTTGTTCATTTTCTCTACTAGCTAATAGTTGATCTATTATGTTTTTCACATTTCATCCTCCATCCTCCATAATATTAATACCGTTTTGGTATTTTTCTGTCAAAATTTCTCCGCCCTCAAGCTGTCTATGATTTTCAGTTTATCGCAAACGAAAGGTTTTGGTCTGAATGTCGCCGCAAAAATAAACAAATTTTTAGAAGCCAATCCTGAAACTCAGGAAAAGCTGATAAAAAAGAGAGAAAAATATGAAAGAAATGAAACTTTACATTGTTATACATCTGAATACGCAATATTTGCATATTCTAATTCATATATAAAGTCAAATTTTTGTGTGAAAATTGTGGCTAAACTAAAAGGATTTTAAGGAAAATTTTACGCAACCTGAAAGCCATGGTTGAATAACATGTCAGAAAAACTGTCAAACTTTAATCAGAATTCAGATTACTTAGAAAGTGCTATAAAAATTTGAATTTCGAGTTGCGAGTTTGGACTTTTAAGGGGTATAACCAAATAGTAGACGAGGTTAAAAAGACTCTGTTATCAAGATTCTGGTTGAAGTTGGGTAGTTATGTAATTTTACGTAATTTAGAGACAAGCCCTGTTAAAACCTTTTTTTGAGTGAGCCAAAAATTAAGGGTTAGGTCTTGTTTATATCGTTGTTTACTGTGTTATACAATTAATAAAAATTTAACTTTTTGTTTTATCAATTAATTAATTTTATCTGTCCAATTATTATTATGTTTTGAAGCATATTCCTTACGAATTCAAGCTACCGCCATGTCCAAAGATTTAGAAATGGATGTTAAAGAGCCACTTGCTGGCAAATCATCTGAACCTTCACCATCAAAGGTGCAATTTGTTTCTTCAAGTCCAGATGGGAAAAATTGCGAAGCTAAGGTCAGTTTTGATGGTTTTGACGGGACCAAAGTTGGTTTAAACAAAGACGAGCTGATGAAATATGCTAATGATCCATTTTGGGTAAAGGTTCGAATGATATCTTTCATCTTATTCTGGGTTGCTTGGTTGGCTACACTTGTTGGATCAACAGTTATCATATTCTATGCTCCTAAATGTCCAGCTCAACCAGATCTTGCATCTACAGTTGCTGGTTCCATCACGACTCTAGTTACCATGATGGACAATTCAACCAATGCTCCTGGTGCAATTATTAATGCGCTCGCTTCAACTCTCACTCCAGTATCTTCGTAATCTTCGTTTTGACTCACAATTATCGAGAGCCAAGTCAGCCCCATTCAATAACCGCCAGTTTAAATTCATTTTCATTGAATATATTATTAATATTTAATTAAGCTGTTGGTGATTCTAGTTTTGGACATGACTGCCTGATGAATCTCTGATTCTATTGCTGTGCAATAACCATTAACTCGTAAATCGTTTAACAATGTTATTATTATAAAATAATATCTGGTATTTTCTTTGTCGAGTTTTTTGACGTAACCACAGTCTGACAATTGTCAGTCTCGTTAACTGTGTGTGTATCCAATTTTTGCGAGTTTCACCGACTCTTGTTGACCAACTAATATACAAAAGGGCTATCTCAAAGTCCTCGTTGATTCCTTTAGTATGAAATTTTATTATTAATAACTATTAGTTTTGGGTGAATTTTTTATTGTCAAACTTTCTTATTGAATAAATTGATTTAATTTGCTTGAAACTAATGTCTATGATCATTTCTAACATTTTAAGTAGTCTCAGTTTAATTTTTTGTTATACATCAAGTTGTAAAAATGTCATATCAATTCGTAAGCATTGGATCTAATTAACAATAATGCTACAATTTAGGACGTAGAAATTTAACGTGACATTTTGTGCAATAACCATTTTGTGTTATTCCAGGAATGGGCTAAAATAACTATTTCGTAAATTATAATTGATGTCATCAAAGTTGTTTTCAATGATCCAACGAAGTTAACTTCTCCGATAGCACACTCTGATAATCTGGGTTTGATTTCCTCTATAATCTTGCATACGTTATTATAAAATATCTTCGCTGAGTTTAATAAACCCCTTGAATGATTCAAATAATCTAAGGTTTGATTGATGGTCCAACTTGTCCATTTTTTTAATTAAAGCTATTATTTCATTTCAGCTTCTCCAATTTCATACGAGATGGTAAACTCTGGATTCATAATTATCAAAAAATACAGGTTTTTATTCATTCTCTTGTTTAGCTAATTCACATGTTTTTTTAAGTTCACAAGCTTTTTGATAAGGTGGAGCGATTGGTTTCTGAGTTGGTTCCGAATATTTGTAACTAGAAGATCCAGTCGGAGTCTGCAAAAAGAGAAAAAAGAAAAGGTCAATTCAATTCCGTTTAAATTCAAATTTGATGGAAAGAATCAGCTAAATATCATTTCAATATTGTTGCAATCTCAAGACTTGATCAAGATTTAAATTTTATCTTGATTGAATATTTTAGTGTCCTTACATTTAGAGGATAGTTTCTATCAGCATCAAAACCAGATAAATCACCACAAGCAATGAAAGGGACAATAATTTGGTTGACCGGATTATTTATGTTTTCAAAATAGGATTTACTCGTATTGTCCAATAATAGATTATACATAATTGGCTCGTATCCTTCAGGGGGTTGGAAAACTTTGCAAACAACAAACGCTTCGATAGATGAATTACGACTGCTTCTAGGTTTGGTGACAATTACTTGTTGGAAAAAAATTTTCAATTGGGAATAAAGAAGAGAAATATCTCGGCCTCGAAATATCTGAAAAGAAGAATAGAAAAAATATTTCATTTGATGATTAAAATAATAACCATAATTTGGATGACAACAGACCTTGGCAACAAATGTCCCTCCAAGCTTCAAAATATAAGTTGTTATATTCAAGGCCTGTAATTAAAAAGAACCATAATTTGAATTAAGTGAATTGCTATAATAGTTTGTTATGAGAAAATTGAAACTTACAGAAAGCAACAATTGAGCTTGAATATATTCATCAAGATCGTGGAGACCGGTGACATCAGGGGCTCCATCACACACAACTAGATCAGCTTTATCGCCTTCAAAGTGGCTTATTATTTCCTTAGCAGTGGACAACTGGAAAATCAATTTGATTAGATTTTAATTATCATCTTTTAACAAAGATGAGCCAAGGTTTACGACCTTACATTTGTTATATCACCTTGAATTTGTATGGTTCCTGGAATTGGTGCCATTGCTTGGATATCAACACTAACCGTTTTGGCCATTTCCTGGCAGTTCTCTCTGCGTTAAATATGACAAAATTAGATTTCTTTCTCAAAATTCTAGAAATCACATTTCTTTTAAAGTTTCAAAATTAATATGCAACTGAACCACAGCTTGTGAATTGCTTAATTTAATCGAAATTAAGAATATGAAACTTGAATTCATTGTATAGGATGGTTTACATAACAAATTTGTAGTAGGCAAGACATTTATTTACCTCAATTTTTTGGCTAAAACTTGACTCCAGCTTCCAGGGGCAGCGCAAAGATCGACAGCTTTAGAGACTCCTAAAAAACTGTATTAATTAATACATAATAATAAGAAAGCTAATAGTTACCATTGAAAATTTTAAACTTTTCATCAATATGAATCAATTTGTAAGCACTTCGAGCTCGATATCCTTCTTCTTTGGCTAATCTATAGAAGATGTCCCTTTTATCTTTAGTTGACTTTCCCATGATGTTTAAAACAGATTATAAATTAAATATCAAAACTTATGCTCAACACATGAATTTGTTAGTAAACAATGTTTACTTTGTTTCTCCTGATGATCAGAGTGAAATCAGATTTTGCGTTGTTTACCAGTGTAGCTATGGTTACTCAAGCTGAATAAAATTCAGATGGCGCGCTGTGAACTTTGTATGTACACAATTGTAAACTGAATAGCATTTAAAAACTTTGAAACTAGAGGTACATAAATTAGTATCATCTGATATTTATTTATTAATTAGTTAGGTATTATCTTAACATTTGTATTTTGTTTATCGATGTATTCAAACAATTTCCAAAATTCGGCCATCTTCTGTTCTTTAGTTTTAGTTGGATCGTCAATCTTGATGCTTCTTGTTCCTTTTGCTGTTTCACCAATTTTGAAACATACTGCAAATGCAAAGTAAAATCATTAAGAATATAATCATGAATATAATTAAGTTTTAGGAACCTTACCTAAATAAGCTTTGCTGTCTTCACCAGTTCTATAATTCGCTGCCATTCGTCTACTGAACTCTTTAAAATTTAATTTTGATTGAGCATCAATTGCACCTTCAGTATTCGCGGCCAATCTTTCAAACTCGGCCGATTTTTCTTTCGTGGCAAGAAATTTCGCTTTAGCTTTGACTTTCTCTTTCTCTATTTTTACAATCTCAGCTTTTGTAGCGGCTGTCAGCTCTTTGTATTTTTCAATTTCATTTTCAATTTTCTGTTCAGGATTTTCTCCATCATTCTCTATCCCGAGATAATCGCAAAGCAATGAGTAACAGTCCTTCGTTATATTGTTGTATTGGTTTTGAAGCTCATTCCTTTTACGAGTTAATTCAGGCAGTGATTGAAGAATTTTGATGGCTTCACACATTTTAAACTAAAAACACAATAATTAAATAATTAAATAAGATGTAAACAAATCCCATGTAAAGATAACTTTAACTGACATTTTTAAATTGAAGCGGGAACAACCAAAATAAATTGAAGCAAAATGAGTGCAGCGTCATCTGTTGCTCGTAAATTGTATTTTATTAAATTTGACGATTTTTGTAATGACAAGTGGTAAGACTTAATTGGATGATCTGATTCTGTTATTCAACAAAAAAAGACTGGAATGACATTCACAAAATAAAAAAGAAGAAAGAAATGTGATATTGCTTTGTTAGCTTACAATATATCATTATAACATCGGTTGTAATAAAATATGTAACAATAAAAAGTGAATAAATTAATCTAAATCAGAATTTAACCAAGAATATTCAAGTGTTGGAGAAGAAAATTGAACAATAAATGATTGTTCATGCATTAAAATTGTTTTCTCAATGATCAACAGTAATATTTTAAGGTAAAATATGACCTTATTTTCAAACAGAAATCTTTAAAAGGATTATTGGTTCGTAAGATAGATTATGGAGATTAAAATTCAAGTTGATTTAAATTATAAAAAAAATATTAGCAACAAACACAAATTTATGAATAAATTAACTATAAATAATATGATCACTCAAAGCAAACAGAGATATTTTAAGTTGTTTGAAGTTGGAAGATCACGTAAAGATAACATTTGTATCGACAATTTGATAGAAATGCAATCGTTATTAATTTAAATGAGCTTGAAGTTTTTTTGTGGTCATAGTTCAAGAATATTAACTTTTCTGTTTGTACAAGAAAAATTATTTCACCTTAAAATATTATTGACGGTTGAAAAAACTTGAGATTCATCAAGTTGATTGAAAAGGGTGAATATAAAAACTGCAGAGACTAATAGATCAACAAAGCAAGAATAGTCACTTTCAGTTGTTGAAATACATGAGACTTGAATTTCACAGAAATTAATTTTGCATGTATCATTGAGAATCTGCATTATTTATATTCACCCGAAATGTATTCCATACATTATATTGTATACGCAATTATCTTGCTATTTTACAATGATGCATGTAGATGAATTTATGTTACAATTCAGAAGAAGAAAGTTAATCCAGTGGTTAACAGTTAACTGAGTGATCCAATCAACAGAATAGATGAGATGAAACTGTATTTCATGTGATTTTATCCTGTTCACGATGAGTCCTATGAATATTTGATAATGGTGCAGTCGTAAATAAAAAACTCAATTTCCTTGAATTGAATTTTGTAGTTAATAAATAGATTAAAACTGGTTGGTGAGGTGTTTTATCAACATGGCTTGATCTCAACATAATGACAGTGATAGACAGTATTGATGAATGGGAAACTACCCGCTAGAATCAGGCCATCATGGAATTGATTTGAGTTTATACACAATTATGGAATGATGATGTTTATGATAGGAAGAATGGGCTATCACTTAACGATTGGAGTTACATAGTTTGCTGGATAAAGGCCAACTCGACCATCTTTGCGTCCTTTGCACCAGCCTTGTTCATCTTCATCTTCTAGCTTTTCAAAGATGTCTCCTATGAGATAAATACAATGAGAAAGTTAGTAACCATGTTACATGTTAATATTGATGGCTAAGAAATCACCTGTTTTGAAAGATAATTCATCTGACTCAGCTCCTTCGTAATCGTAAAGAGCACGGACAGGTATTCCAGGCTCTCCATTATCGACTAAGGCATCGTTAGTATAGTCTTCCCATTCTTCATGTTCATCGTCAAATGGATTGGCATCATCTTTACCATTTCTGGGATGAAAAAATATTCAGAGTTTCATTAGTTAAATTAAGGTAAAAAAGGAGTGCGAATTGGAGCAAATTTCGTTCCAATGAATTAATCAATAAATGGCATATGTTAAAATGTAAGTCACCCAGTTAGATGATAAAATAAAAGATAAACTTACGAGGAATCATGTGAGTCTCGTTTTTCACTTATTGATTTGTTAAGTTTGTTCATTGAATTGGCCAAATTCATAGCATTAGTTAATTTAACTTGTTCTATGGTTATTTCGCCTTTCATATTTCGCTTTTCTCTTTTGGATGACTGTAAGTCCGACGTATATTCCTAAAATTTGAATAGAATAAAAAAGAGGAAAAATTATTCCTGATCATGGATCTAAATTCATAATCGTTTGTGTTTTGTAAATTGATTAATAAGCGAGCTAAAGCCAGAGTGAAAATTGCGTTAATAAGCTATTACCAATCTGATATACCGCCTATGAAGCATGAAGTTTTCCTTAACAAGGAAATTGTTAATCAAGGTTAGCATCAACTTTTTTGAATGTTAATTACGAGCAGAAATAAATCAGAGCACTTGAAAGGAGATGAAAATGTAAATGCTCTATCATGGGTTGAAATGCATGCATAGCAAAGATTGATAACAATAGGTGAAGTTAGCATAGTTAGGTTTTTGAGAATAGTAAACTGTGTGTTATAAAACAATAATAGGAATGTGGATTGACTATGATTAAAATAAATGCATGATGATTAAAAAATAAAGCAAATTGAGCAAAAAAATTGCAAAAAGAAAGGGGTGCAAAGAGATAGTTGTTTACGGGCAATTCCTCATTGAATTTGTGTTGATTGACAAGAGTAATGCCAGATTCGCTGATGGTGCTTTCCTTGCTATTTTTACCAATAATATCACGAAATTCTTCAATATATTCCTGAGATTGATGTATGTGGGAAAAAATAGAGAATGATTAAATAAACGAGAAACAAAGTTAATCCATGCAAAATAAAATGATTCACAATCATATTCATGCTTAAAGTAACAAAGATATTGGAAGAGTAGAATGAAGATTAGTTAGAGATGAAAATTTGAAACAGATGAAATTTGGTTTGGTTTGATTTGATAAATATCGATTTGTTGAGAATAGGTTTACTGTCTCAAAAATTTACTGTAAAGTAGAAAAAGTATCATGTATTCCAATGGCTTCGTTTATAATAAGGATTAGTATTAGTGATTTGTTAAAGATGAAGAATTAAGTTTGTTAAATGTTAAAGGTTGATCATTGATTACAGATACGCATCGTGTTGTAAATAATTTGTCAAGTGAATAGCCTTACCTCAAAAACAGGCCAGTTCATTGCCATGCCAATACCACTGTTGTTAGACCACCATTTAAGATCTTTGGAAGCATCAGCGTTTTGAATGGTGTGTCTGTACTCTTCGTATATTAAAGATAAATCAGGATTTTTGGTAAAATTAAGGCAGCCATGGATTGCGAAAAGCATTTTTTTAAAAAATTCAAGACGTTTATGCTCGAATTCTTGGCACTTTTCAAACACTACAGTCATATCTTCAATATACTTTGCATTGTATTCATTGATTTCTTTAAGAGCTTGTTCGTATTTTTCCTTTGTCTTTTGAACTTCATCTTTACACTTTATCACTCGATCCTGAAGTTTCTTAACCTGTCAGAACAAAAGAGAGAAATGAAAAGTAACAAGCTTAGATGAAGTTTGAAGCACTTTCGGATGAACCAAAAATTTAGCATAGCAGAACATGATGTAAAGAGTTGAATGTTTTATTTGGACTGGATCCAATGTTTACCTGATCAGGAGACAGAGAAGTATCGCCAGAGGCATTGCGTTCTAAGTTTACAGCTGATCTTTCATTTTTACAGGCTGAGTGGTAATCTATTTTGGCTTTATTGACTTTTTCGAAATGTTTAGCCCATGTTTTTTGAGCCTGTGAAATAATTGAATAGAAAAAGAATTAATTAATACTTGAAATCAACCTGAAATCAAAAGATATTTGGGTTTAAACAGAAATGAAGATGAAAGATAAATTACTTTTTTAAAGGCATCATCAAAATCTTTCTTTTCCTTTAGTTGCATCATTGATTTATGGTAATTGTCCTTCTGCCATTGTTTAATTTGAGGTACAACATCATCAATTAATTTGTCCTTAATTTGTAAATGAATATTACATCGTCTCTCTGCTTCAGAATTTACAGCTTTCCAGGCTGCCTCCATGGTACCATATTCTGGACCTTTCTCAATTTGTTCATTCCATTTTTTGGCCCATCCTCGTAAAGATTTACCATAATTTTTCTCTATTTCACTTCTTTCACTAATTAATTGTATTAAATCATTACACAGCTTGAAACCATCCTCTGTTCGTTTTGTTGTCCTTTTGTAGTTTCCTGGTTCCCAGAAACTATCACTACTTGGAACCAGCATAGCTTCATCACTATGATGAGACATAGCTATTACAGCAACATGAAATTAGAGATCAAAATCCTTCCAGAATGTAATCGTAAATGTAATATCCAACCTTCCAGATGACTATATGAATAGAAGATAATGAAAATACACAAGAAATAAGCTTTTAGTACAAGTAGGCAACACAGAAATAGAAAACTAAAAGACCAATTATTCAATTGGTCTCCCATATGTGTAGATAGGAGCATAAAGTAAGCAAAACAAATTGTTCCCTTTACTCACCTTGACTATGATAAAAGTGTAATTCCTCAATTGATTCCAATTGTTTTTAATTCAATAAATGAACTAATCTATCTCAGATAGAACAAACATTCAGAGAAAAATAAATAATCTCATGAAGAGTATATTCCGAGAAGAGAGAAGGAAAAGAGTGAAAAACTGACAAGATTCGAAAAATTAAAGGGAACGGAGCACAAGTATAAAACAGCTTCAAGTTGCACTTGTCAGATGACCCAGATCACAATTACAATTTGATTACACTGGACTAAAGAAATATGAAAGAATCACATGAAATTGTTGAACATTATGTTATTTAAAAAGACAACTGTTAAGAGAAAGAAAAAATTAACAAACAAATTATAGCAGAGAGGAAATTTAGCTGTATGTTGTTAAACATTAGTCATTTTGATCAAGAGAGCAAAAAGGATTCAGTTAAAGGAAAGCCCAAAGACGACAATAGACAGTAAAAGAGAAAGAGTAACAACCAGGGAATGAAAAGAGAAACCTTAAAAAAAGAGAAACAAGAGAGGGAGGAGGTGGGTGGTTAGATTATGAAGATGTACATGAGAATCTTGTTCATCATGAAAAAATGATGGTTTCAGCAAACCAGAGTCAGACCTGTTAGCTTGCTTGGACAACACACGGTAACAACTTATCCACAATTTTTTTTAATTAACTTGAAACAGGTTTGAATATTTCTAAAAAGATACTGATGATGGAGAAGAAGAAGACCAAGATGATGATGAAAAGAAGAGGTTAAGAAGAATAAGAAAACAAGGAATGAGTGAGAGAGCGGAAGAGAGAAAGATAAGTAAACGGAAAAACTAACGAGAGTCAACCTTACCTTTACCACTCTATGTACTCCATTTGGTTTGAAAATTTCTTTCACATCATGTTTCTCATATAAACATATCTAACTGTGAGTTTGTTGAACTTGTAAATTAATTTCTCTCTTATCATTAACATCATCCACCACGATAATCGTCATCTCAATCATAAAATTATAATAATAACCAATATTATTCAATTTGTTCAGTTATTATAGTTTTTCGTTTGTCTTGTTCATCTTTTTGTCAACCATAAGGAAATCAACATAAGAAAATAGTTTCGATTCGTTGAGAGAGAAACCCAATTTCTGGTAAGAAATTAAATATATTGTTATTGATCACCACAAAATCCAAGCGACTGTGAAAGTGTTAGATTAACCAATTTGCTATTCAAAAATTCTGGTTATCGATGATATAAACTCCAGTTACCAGAGAGTTAACAGAGTGACAACAAATTTACCCAAAAGATATTGGTTGAAACATAACCAGAAAATAAAGCTTCTGGTAAAATCTTTCTGGTTGTATTGTTTTACTTCACTTTGTGTTTACTGTCTATGAAATTGTTTTAGTTAATCAGCTTTTCAATGTGTATCAATTGATTGATTGTCATTTATTTTTCACCTGATTAACCAGTATTTACAAAAACAATAACCTAAAGAAGAAACGTAATCTTGCCCAAATATTTGCCTCATATTTCCCGCTAAGGGTTTACGCATATGTAGAAAAGGGTTTGAGCTCAAACTTGCCACTGGTAAGTTACCAGTAAAGTTTTGGGTTCAGGCGAGTCATGGTTCAGTCAAACGCATTGATTAATCAAAAGTTAATTTCAAAATTAATCACAGCGTAACCTTTTAAATATAAGATTATCTGAAAAGAAAAGCCACAAATCTTTCCATTATTTCTTTCACGCTCTCATCCTTCTCACTCATAAAAGAATCTCTTCTCTCTTGCAAGCGAGTTCAAGTTTACTTTTTTTACCGCTAAATCTTTATAGTTGAAAGTTGAACAGGTAAATGGTGAGAAAGAGAGAGAGAGAGAAACTTAGTAAACCCGTTCAAAGAAGCAATAGTCAACTGTAATCCTTTTTTTCTTCCCAGAATCAACAGTGAAAGTGACGATGACCAGAGTTGAAAAGAAAAAGAAGTTAATAAACTCATCTTGACAGCCAAGGAATCCAAAACAAAGATTGGTCATGATTTATTTGGAACCAACAAAGTGAAATCAATTTTTTTGCAATCTTGATAGTGATTTTGATCAAGTTATTTCAATTTACTGCCTCAAAACAAGATGGACTTTACAATTATTTTAGATGTTTTGTGTTACATCTTTCTTTTTTCGCCCACTCTCATCTCTACGGCAAATAAACCATCATCTGGTGATGATGCTAGTTTTTTATCAGGTAATTATTCCGTTTACTGTCTTAATTCACTGTCCATCTCCATTGAACTAAATATACATTTAATGAATCTCCATTTTAGTGTTGTTTTTTATTCTAGTTTTTCCTCTTTGTTACCTATCAATAGAAATAGCTTTTCTTTTGTTATACTTTTAGCTTTTAGCCATCACAATTCCTTATATTGACTTTTTACCTAACCTTTGATTTCAATTTCATTGTCAATGTTTGAAAAGATACAATATTATCATCCAGAAATAGCTACGAACTGGTTTTAACTTGTGTCCTTTATCATCTGTGCAATCTTTTCCGGTATTCATTTCTGCAAGATCGAATCAAGTTTCCTACCCTATCTTGCTTTGGTTTTAATAATCTCTTCTTTTCAAGCATTGAATGACTCTATCTTATTGAATTAGATTTTTAATCATAATTTATTTCATCTTTTTGATAGATATTTGGAGCTCTTTAACATTATCTGCCAAGCATCCAAACTGCCCAGGGGAATGTGTTCACATTTTTAAAGCACGATATGCATGTGATCACGTATTAGAAGAAGTTAACTGTGGCGAACAAACTTTACGTTGTTGTGCTGTGAATATTTCAAGTAATGGAATTAAAATGTCTCCACTCTTTGGCACCAATGGTATTCCCGAATCCATGGCCAAGCTAATGAAAAGGTCACTTATTCAAGGACCATCTAAATCATCTCAATCATCTTTTAAAGCACAAAATAATTCATCATTTACATCACTATTCAACTCATCTTCATCATATCCAAGTGATCGATCCCTACTTACATCTAGTACACCCGCTTATGAGACTGAGTCACATTCAAACCTTTTAAGCCGTTCAGTTAGACAAGCTTCATCCCCAGCACCATCAACTGGTGACACTAGTATTTTTTCAGGTAATTAGTTATTTACGCTATTCTTTCCTCACTTGTCATCCTCTCATCTGATCCAAGAGTGTCTCCATTATACTTTAGTTCCTATCCATTGTTACCTGAAATTGAATAGAAAGCCATTTATATTGTAATGATTTATCTCTGTCATCTATCAATAATACAACTGTATTCCTACCTTTAACACAATAGTCATAACATCTTTGATTCCACTTATTTGATTCATACTTGACCTTAACCTTTAATCCCAATTTCATTGTCAATTTGCTCATAAAAATATATATAAAATTATCATCCAAAAATATCTACGAACTGGTTTTAACTGCTGCACTTTATTATCTGTTTCAATCTTTTCCGGTCTTTGCTGTAAGATCGAATCAAGTTTTAAGTCTTCTTAAACAGTAATTTATCCGCTCTCATTCCCCTTGCCAATTAATTTGACATTTTAATTCAATTGTTTGCCATCTAATTTATTTCTTATACTCGACAGATCTTTGGAGTGCTTTAACACAGACTGGTAAAAATCCAACATGTCCAGGGGAATGTGTTCACGCAATAACATCAATTTTATGTGACCATGTCTTGGAGGAAGTTAGTTGTGGTGAACCTTTTCTAAGATGTTGTGTTCCGAATGATTCAAGCTATGGAACAGCCGTTGAGACTTCACCACCTTTTGATATTAACGGCAACAATTTAACATCATCTACTCAATCACCTTCATCTACATCTTCCTATCCAACATCCTCACAGTCACCAACTCCACAATCAGTAACAATTCAAGCATACAACTCTTCACCCCCATCATTATTTTACTCATCCTCATCCTCGCCTTATCCTAGTGATCGACCTTGGTTTACCTCTAGTTTACCTGTTTCTGTGACTGAATCATATCCTCTTTTCAGCCTTCCAACCAGGCAAACTTCATTCCCATTATCAACGACAACTCCGTCCACAACAACAACCGAGCGAATCAATTCTCGATGTCCTGGTGTTTGTGTTCAAGCTCGATTTGTTCGCTATTGTAGTAATATTTCCCTGAGCGGGATCTGTGATAATCATTTGGAAGCATGCTGCCTTCAATCGGAAAAGGATTCAAACAATTTGACGACGGCATTTATTCCTAATCGTAACTCATCATTATCTCAATATCCAATCTCTTCTACAATTGTCAAGTCACCTCCATTGCCATCATCAATATCCCCTCTTCATACATCTGTGTCAACAGCACCAACTTCATCTACACCGTCAACAGTCTCTACTTCAGCAGCGGCTCTTTTTGATGGATCAACATCCAACTCTAATTTATCAAACTTATCTACAACTGAGTCTATAACAACAACGCAGGGTTCGACCACATCGACCGAAAGCAGCTTAGGATCAGCTGCAGTCAATGTCTCAGAATCTGTAAAAAATCAAGATTCACCAACTTCAGACGAGAATACATGTGATGGAACCTGTGTTAGTCCCTTATTTAGTTTACTTTGCGATGAATCAGATTCTAGTAAAGTATGCGCCAATGGAGGTACCTGTTGTATCAACCGAGAAGTGGCAACAACCCCATCTCCAATCCCTGAATGTTCAGGAACATGCATTCCAACTTTTCTGAGTGGAGTTTGTACGCGTCCATCTGAATTAGTGTTGAAAACATCTAATTGTATGTCAGGAACCATTTGTTGCCATTTCCAAGATGATCGTCCCATCAATGAACGTCCACCTCCCTTATTCAATGGCCTTTCTCCAGGCCCTCTACGTATTCCTGCACACCCACCCATGAACAATTACCCTCACGGTCCACCTCCACCAGGTCTCTCAGGACCACCTAACATTCAGTTATTCCAAAGGCCAAACATCCCACTGAACCAAGGTCTTAGACCACCAGTAGGGTATCCTCCACCTCAATCACGTCCACCACCAATCAACTTTGCCCTCTTCATACCGAATCGTAAACCCCAAATTCCATCACCAGCTCCATCACTTTCCCCTCCCCAACCAATGCCACCCCCGAAACAACCTATGCCAGGTCCTATTCCTCCCTCTGCACCGTCTAACCCTGAAGATGTGGATACTTCTGGATTTCCTAGTTCATCATCTGTTCAACCTGAACCTCCTGTTTCAGAAACAAGTCCTGCTGAAATGGAAGTTATTCCGTTACCGGAAAGTTCACCATCACAGTCATCTAATCCTAGTTCAGGTTTTCCTGGAGGTGTTCCATTCTGTCCTGGTCCTTGTATTGCACCCATTTTTCGCTTCACATGTTTCGGTGGGAATGCCATTTATCCTAAATTCTTTTGCGCTAAACAGGGGCAAATTTGTTGTGCGGCTTTAAATGATATTCAAACTTACGAAGCAAACATCAAGGCTAATAACGGTGTTTGGAAACCATCGATTCCTTCAAAAACAAATTCATCATCTCTTGATGAAGCAAGCTCATCTACAAGTCCAACAGTAATTTTACCTCCAATAAAACGTAAGTTAATAGGCATCGCTATATGCGAAAGTAATATCACTTTAAATTAATGACCCAATTAGGATTCATCACATTTTAAGCCTGACATTGACATTTAATGCAACTAAATTGAAAGCTATTTTTGTTTTGATCCGGATCTTAATTTTTCAGTAGATCATCTCGAGCGCGTAAATCTTTTCACCTTTTCATCAACGTTTCTCTTTCATTTCATTTTTACGGACAAACAAATTCGCCATCAAAAGCATTAAATCCTGTTAAAAGGCAACATTTAACACATTCGTTATCATTTGACAAAAATTAGTAATCATTGATAACACATAAAATTGAATAGAAAACGTTTCAACAATTGTATTCTGGATGAAGAAGCTATTCAAGATTTTCATTGTTTAAACCAACTTGAACTTTTCATGGATCAATCCGTTCGAAAGTGTTTAAATGTTTACTTTGACATTCATAAACCGAGAAAGTTTATAAAAAAACGTTTCAATTTGTTCAATGTTCACTTTTGATTTGCACTAAATGTCCTTTTAATATTTTCTAATTTTTGATACAATTTTAAATTTTCCATCTCAAATTAGTTCCACCAAGACAAGCTACACCATACTCTTGTGGCGTTAAAGGTACTCAGCGTCGAGAGTCACCACGCATTGTCGGTGGGAGTGACGCTTTGCCTGGTGAATGGTGTTGGCATGTTGCTCTAATTAATGCCGATAATCAGTATATCTGTGGCGGAGCTTTGATTGGATCCCAATGGATATTAACTGCAGCTCATTGCATTACCAAGTAAGTTTTCTTTTTTCCCATAACTCGATATTCCTAATCAACTGTCTCATTTTTATTTCCCTAGTTTGGTTCGTAATGGTGAATCAATCTATGTTAGAGTTGGTGATTATGATTTATCGGCGCAAATCAAAAGTAAATCAGCTCAAACACAACGAGTTAGCACTACTTATATCCACCATAACCATAATGGAGTAACTTTGGATAATGATATTGCGCTTCTTAAAATTGAAACACCAGTTCAGATAAATGATTCAATATGTTTGGTGTGTTTGCCTGCCAGAGGATCAAATCGTAAGCCAGGTCAACGATGCACTGTTACTGGTTACGGTTATCGAGAAGAAGGTTTGTTTTTCTCAGTAATGTTTGAATTTAATTTAAACTATTGTTGTTTCATTTCACTAATTCGAGTTTTCTATTTTTAGCTGGACCAATTGCTCTTAAAATAAGAGAAGCCGAAGTACCAGTTGTGGATGATCAAGAATGTGCAACCAAGATTCAAGCTGTTACAGAGAAGACATTTATCCTTCCAACAAGTAGCTTCTGTGCTGGTGGTGAACAAGGGAATGATGCCTGCCAGGTAAGTTTTAATTGCTGATTGATGTCTGATAGTTTTGATTGATTCAAGAAATTACCAATGATTGTTATTAATCTTGAATGTTTAGGGCGACGGAGGTGGACCTTTGGTTTGTGAAGTTGATGGTTTCTACGAGCTTACCGGTTTAGTTTCATGGGGATTCGGTTGTGGTAGATCCAATGTTCCAGGGGTTTATGTTAAAGTTTCAAATTTTATTGGTTGGATCAATCAAATAATTAGTGTTAATAATCAATAAGGATTATCCTTACTTATTTATCAAATAATTATATAAATATTTTTCCTAGTTTTATATTATAATTTACTCAACTTTTGATAAGCAAAGTGAATAAAGCTTAACTGTCAAACAATGAAAAAATTGCTAATTCATTACATTCATCAACATGATCAGATTTAAATTAAATGTAAATGCATAGTTCAATGTTTCTGCCATTTTATTGGATCAACAAATGAGTCTTGTATTTAACTTTCAAGATCATAGGCGTTTAAATGAACAGTTTGAGTCCATAATTTGATGCTCAGCTTAACAGTTATTTATTATAAACAATAGATACAATTGGATATAATTATAATCGTAGTAATAATAATGTTGTTTGAATAATGAACATTTGTAAAACAAAAAATGGATATGAAATTATCATGTGAGTTTTGAAGAGAAGCTTCACAAATTAATAAAAAGTTCAATAAACTTAGGTTCGCTTACAAACTTCATTCATGAGAAATGAAGAGTCAACTGGTCTTTTCATCCATCTTTCATCATCATCATACTCATCATCATCATCATCATCGCCATCATCATGTTTCACTTGTAGAACCTGTTTTTACGTTAAAAATTAAAAAACTTTCACCATGTTTATTGAAGTTAAATGGCTATTCAAGAATGGTCATCAACGTTTACCCGGTATCAGTAGCAATTTATAACTCTTTTGTATTGTCTCATGTTTACATCATTCAAATGTGTTATTGAATTTATTAATGATCCATTACATTATCATACATTCACTATCACATGAATAATGACAATTAGCATTGACTCTAAGTCTTTATTATTTTTATTTAGATTAATAAATCTGGGCTAAGGTTATGGTCAAAAACTGTTTCGATTTAAGTATAATAATGAAACCAACAGTAATCGTCCAATTGGTCGAGCAAGTTTTCTTGCGGTATAAGATCTGGAAATAAAATTCGGTAAAAGTCTCATCAACACAGTCTACCCCTGAATCGGACTCTTCTTGCATACAATATGTATATTTGACTGACAGAATTAAATACTCTGACTTCTCATCACCATAATTAACTTCATGTTAAATGTTACATTGTTATCTTTTCGCAATTTTTGTTTCACTATTTCTGACATTCTAATTATTATTACATGCAATGTTTACTTAATCATTCCTCACCCTTCCCTGAGTCGCAATGAGAATCCTAAATCTCTTCTTTATTTTACTCTCTTCATTAACAAAGATTGAATAGGTTGATTATAAATTCTGAAAAAATTATCCAATGCATTATAAAAATCGAATCAGCGTTTATCATGAACACAAGGGTTCTTCTCGATTTATTATCAATTTATTAGGATCGACTGTTCATTTTTCAATCAACATTTAGAGTGCAAAATTGGTAAAATTTTGAATAAAATCTTAACCTAATTTCGGTAAGATCATGTTTTGTCATTCCAAGTGTGGTTGATGTGATTTGTTGACCAAAAACATTTCATTGAATTGTAATTAAAGGAGGTTAGAAGTGAATCTCTTAAATTTTAATTGATGATCAACATTTACCTTTTAATAAGCAGATAAATATTTTTTCATAAAACTGTCTCAGTCAATTTAAATTGGATGTTCAATTGGATTGATAATTTTTCTGTTAACCAGAACTAAAATAAATTACATCATCTTGATCATCCTTTTTTTCATCACCATCAGTTCACAATTTGATAAATACTTAGAATCTGGTTTCTTCCTTTTACCCATTTTTTTATATTTTTCATCTTTGTATTTTGTCTCTCTTTCGCCTATTTCATCTCTTTCTTCTTCCTTGTCTCATTCAATTGTTAATCAACAAGTTAACTCATTTCATTGTAATTTACCAACAATCAACTTGTTTGCTCCTATTTAGTTAACAATTGATCATAACGATAACAATTTTTCTTAACAAAACATTGATTCAACATCCGTTACAAAGCAACGTCTTTTTTGCATCCAAATTTGAAAAAATATTTTACCAACTTGTTCGTCACCAGTTCAAAACCTTATCTGATTACCTTTGAGTCAAAGTTTTGTCTATGCGTTTGATATTTTGTTAAACATACTAATGACCAGCTTACATCATCAAGATAACCAAAAAACCCAAACCTAAACCCAGCTAAATAAAAAACCAACCCAAAGGTACAAACCATTTTTTGTATCAAGTCAATTTTTTCGACTCTTTTACCCAAAAATCCTTGATGCTATCAATTAACCAATTCCTTATTTTTGTCTAGCAGCTGTAATATCATTTTTTTGATAATTGTGTGAAGAGTAAACGCAACAAAAAGTTAAAATGAGTGATTCAAAGGCAACAAAAGACTTTGTCAAAAATTCATCTGACGCTTCGCTCATTAGATCAGAAGTTGACTATGAAATTGATGAAAGTATAATCGATGCTAAATCACCTTTGTCCTCAACACCATCAATACTAGCAACTACAACTATAACCTCTCAACCACCCAATGGTTATCCAAAAGGTTTTATCCCTCTATCAACACCACCAACCGCAACATTGCTCGAGACTTTATTGCCAACAACTCCACCATCATTAACACCATCATTATCCTTATCAAGTCACCAACCACAGTCACCATTACAATCGCAATCGACTTCTTCCTTCCTTGTTTCCAATTCAAGTGACCACCATCCATATTATCATCATTTAAATCACACTCAATATTCACCTAACCCTCAAGAATTATCTCATCACCATTCTAACAAATTTTTCCGGAAGCTTTTCAGTTCTTCAACACCGAAACGTCACCGTCAACGAATTGTCCTGAAAAATGGTGGAATCAATCTGTGCAAGGAACACATTGAGAAGCGATCTCAACGTTATCTTCAAGATACATTTACCACAATGGTTGATCTTCGCTGGCGTTACAATCTACTTGTATTTACCCTTGGATTTGTCCTTTCGTGGCTTCTTTTTGCCTCTATTTGGTACATTGTTGCCTATTTTCATGATGACCTAGGTGACGATGTGCCTCATGAACGCTGTGTTATTGGAGTAAACTCATTTATAACAGCTTTCCTCTTCTCCTTTGAATCCCAACACACTATTGGTTTTGGAAACAGGTATCCTCATGAAAATTGCGTTGAAGGAATATTTTTCATGTGCTTTCAATCTATTTTTGGTGTAATGATTGAATGTTTTGTAGTTGGCTTTGTATTTGCCAAGCTTTCCCGACCAAAGAAAAGATCACAAACATTGATCTTTAGTCGCCATGCAGTTGTCAACGTTCGTGATGGCTCTCTTTGCCTTGTATTTCGTGTTGGTGATGTTCGTGCCCGATCCTACATTATTGGTGCCTCTGTTTCGGCCTTGTTAATATCTAAAAAGATATCTCCAGAGGGCGAAATCTTACCCTACTATCATGAATCATTGAAAGTTTCATTTGATTCTTGTGGGACTTCAGTTTTTCTCGTTTGGCCAGCAACCATATATCATGTTATTGATGAGACTTCACCTTTTTACTCAATGGGACCCGAAGCACTGGCTAACGGACATTTCGAGATTGTGGCCATGTTAAGAGGGACTGTTGAATCAACTGGACAAACAATAGAGGCACGAACTTCATACCTACCAGAAGAGATCGATTGGGGTCGAAGATTTGAAAGGTTGATTGACTTTCGAATGCAATCGGGTATATATCGAGTTGATTATAGTAAATTTGATTCAACTTATGAAATATCTACACCTAGGCTGTCAGCTGAAGAATTAAGTCAACAAAATCGACATCAGCAACAGCAACAGCGACGACAAGAGCAACCATATTGTACTCAAGCAAATCAAGTGCTGAATCAACATCAACGTTTAAGACGACCAGTTTCTTGGAATCCTATTGAAGATCATAATAAGAATAAATTTGCTGATTCTAATGATAGTTGAGTGAGCATAAAGGATAGAAACAATTATTCCGTTTCTTATTGATTTTGGTTTTGCAGATTAACACTGAACAGCAGTGTTCATCGATTGGGTGTCGACGTTCAATATGAGAAAGGAAGAAACACAGAGACAGTAAATATTAGTTCATTGTTGAGTGTGAGGATAAACGAACAGCAATTAAATTATAACAGAAAATTGTCTCATTGTTGTCGCCATCTTAAGGCCACTAATCATCATTAAACATTTCATAGTGACAATGTCTTTAATCAACCTTTATAACAAGAAAATGGTAAAATTGATTGCCAATGATGATTCTCATTATTAACATGACAGGAAAACTGTAAATTATATCAAATGATTGGGAGGGTGAATAGTTTAAGTGATGATGAAAAGAAGATGCTGATTAAGAAATGATAAGGAAGAGAATTGATTATGAAGATGATTATGATGATGATCAAAGACGATCCCAGATGATCTAAGATGACGAGGGTAAGAAAACAAAAAATGACCTGAAATTCAGTGGCCTTGAAAGGGATTGTTTTCTCTGTCATTTTTCAACTCACAGTCAACAAAGGTTTTAACCATTTAAACCAGATTCAATCCATTAATGTCTAATCATAATAATCAATGATATTTCCGTTTCCTTAAACCAATTAAACTCTAATGCGTCTTATTTTCTTCTTCTTATATGATTAACTATTAAATGTGCAATGAACATATGTATTAAATAGTTCAATAAGTTTGTTGTCCTCTTACAATTCACCATTTATATAATAAAATTGTGTCTCAAATTATGTACACGATTTGCAGTTACTGCTTACGGTCATCTAGAAGAATCTTTGTTTTCAGTAATATTCTGATCTATTCTTGACTGTTCAATTCCTTGTAAATAATTGATTTATCTCCTTTATCGAGTTTACTTCCGATATGATCGCCTTTTCAGGAAGCGAAGAATGTAAGGAGACAAGATGTCAAGGATATAAGATTCAAGTGTCCAGAACAGCTTTTGGTTGATCCATTATCCAAGACATTCGGAAACTGTCACAATATAGCGAGTGTTTTTGATGGACAGAATATTTGAATGGCCATCTTAGATCATGAGGTATGCCTTTTAAAATAACAGGCAAATGCTAAGCATTAGTGGGCCACATCGGTGATAATGTTGTTGATACAAATCGATTTGCTTTTGAATACAAAACACAAAATTTTCAGCAAGTCCAAGACTATTAGTACTTAAAAGCAAATAGCCTGAGGTAAGACAATAAATAATTTTCAAACTAAAATTGACTTATTAACTCGGTCCAATCACATGAATATCCTAGCATTTCTTGGAATAGCCTTTTATTCAGTCTTAAGACTTTCAGTCTAGAAGTTCCAGTTCCTTTTGGCGTCGGCTTAGCAGCAAAGTCAAAACAAGTGATCAATTGGATTAACTGGCGGTATCTCAAGCCTGATAATAAAGACAAAGTGAAAGTTAAAAATTAAAAGCTAAACGTATTTTTTGAATTAAGTAAAAATTTACACAAATAAAATACAAAAGCGTTAATTGTGAAAATGGATGAGAGATGGCAAAACAAGAATACAATTTAAATTTAAAAAGACTTCGATATATCGAAAATTGAATCGATATAGTAAACTGATTCAATGTTATATTCCCGGTAATATCACCTAATTCAAAAGAATGTTGAATTTAAATTTGCTGTTTTACATTTCTATTAGCTAAATATACATGTAGTTCCTATGACAAATGATTCGCTCCAGAACAGCCACTGATAATAGAATAGCCAAGAAGAGTGTCAGTTTAGTTTCATGAGGACTCGGTTATGGTAGATCCAATGTTTATGTTGAAGTTTCAAATTTTATCAAATAAATGGTGTTAATAATCAATAAGGATTATCCTTACTTATTTATCAAATAATTATATAAATATTTTTCCTAGTTTTATATTATAATTTACTCAACTTTTGATAAGCAAAGTGAATAAATGAAAGCTTAACTGTCAAACAATAAAAAAGTTGCTAATTCATTACATTCATCAACATGATCAGATTTAAATTAAATGTAAATGCATAGTTCAATGTTTCTGCCATTTTATTAGATCAACAAATGAGTCTTTTGTTTTTAACTTTCAAGATCATAGGCGTTTAAATGAACAGTTTGAGTCCATAATTTGATGCTCAGCTTAACAGTTATTTATTATAAACAATAGATACAATTGGATATAATTATAATCGTAGTAATAATAATGTTGTTTGAATAATGAACATTTGTAAAACAAAAAATGGATATGAAATTATCATGTGAGTTTTGAAGAGAAGCTTCACAAATTAATAAAAAGTTCAATAAACTTAGGTTTGCTTACAAACTTCATTCATGAGAAATGAAGAGTCAACTGGTCTTTTCATCCATCTTTCATCATCATCATCATCATCATCATCATACTCATCATCATCGCCATCATCATGTTTCACTTGTAGAACCTGTTTTTAAGGTAAAAATTAAAAAACTTTCACCATGTTTATTGAAGTTAAATGGCTATTCAAGAATGGTCATCAACGTTTACCCGGTATCAGTAGCAATTTATAACTCTTTTGTATTGTCTCATGTTTACATCATTCAAATGTGTTATTGAATCTATTAATGATCCAAAAATTACATTATCATCTGATTGTAATGTTGAATGGCTTCGAATGGCTGGAAATTGCAAGTTCATAAACTGTCAAGTTAAAAGGCTTTCATTTTGTTCAGTTCAATCAATAAATGACTCTCAACTTGCTTATAAAACAAGTTGATTATTGTCTTGTTTCATTGATCATTAATTTAGAGGTTGCTGTTGTTTCATTTTTCGTTTAAGTCTGCAATCCAACATTACTTTGTATTTGTAAAATGCTTTGTAAACATTTTTCCAGAAAAATAGATCAAAATGTCAATCAAATCATTTGGAATCAAATTTGATAGTTATTCTGTTTATTATTTACTCTATTTTATTGCTCTTCCTGGTTAACTTTAAGTTTAGCAAATCTCAATCATTCATTATCAATTGAAAAAATATCTACGATCGCATTGCGTTCAAATCAAATAGATCAACATTAGAATCAATTTGCTGGGAAAAGGCAATCGACAGATCGTTTGGGAAATAAATGATTGTCGAAGGTTTTAACCCAATTCTGATTTGCTACCAACATTGAATGCAAATAATTGAAAACAAATTATTTAGCATTAAATTGTCAAAAGAGACCATCAAATTAAACAGTTGATATTCAAGTATTGATGTAAACAAGCAATGATGAAAACTTAAATGTTGCTTTGACAGTTCGGTTGCAATTATTGAATGTTGATTCTTAAACTATTTTATCTATTGAATTATCTATTTACATATATTACAAATTATCATGAATATGAAGATGAGCATCAGAATGTTGTTCATCATGAAAAATGATGGTTGTTCAAAGTCAGACCTGTTGCTTGGACAACACACGGTAAACGACTTATCCACAATTTTTAACTAACTTGAAACAGGTTTGAATTTTGCTTAATATAAAGGATGATGATGATGATGATGATGATGAAAGAAGAGGTTATGAAGATGAAAGGGAGACACGGAACGAGCCCGAGAGAGGAAGAGAGAAAGAGAGGTAAACGGAAAAACTAACGAGAGTTAGGTTGTAACCTTCTGCTACAGCATCACCACTCTATGTACTCCATTTGGTTTGAAAATTTCTTTCACATCATGTTTCTCATATAAACATATCTAACTGTGAGTTTGTTGAACTTGTAAATTAATTTTTTTCATATCATCATCATCAGTATAATCGTCATCATCATCACCACAATCGTCCTCTTGATTATCAAATTTTAATAGACTATCAATATTATTATACTTGCCACTTTTTTTCGTCATTGTGTATATACCTCTTTATTGTCCACCAGAGGGAAATCAACTTAAAAAGACTCCATGTGTTAGCCTATTTTCTGGTAAGAAATTAATTATGTTGTTATTGATCATGATGATGATTGATCAATTGATCCAAAGGATATAGTGTTTAGATTAATCAATTTTTTTCATCCAAAAATATATGGCACATCAACCAGAGTGAAAACAAAGTTACCTAAAAAATGTTGGAGTAAAACATAACCAGAAAATAAAGCTTCTGGTAAAATCCTTTTTGGTTGTAAGGCTTTAGTTAACTTTGGGTTAACCAATTGTGTTTCCTGTCACTGAGATTGTTTTAATTAATCAGCTTTCAGCGTGTATCAATTGATTGTCATTGTCAATTTATCTACAAGTGTAGTATTTTTCATCTGATTAACCAGTATTTACCATAACAACAACAACAACCTACAGTCGTAACAAAATCTTGTTCACCCAATGGTTTTCCTTATCTTTTCCTTCTTCTCTCACGCTCTCATCCAGCTCACTCACATTCAAACCTTTTCACCATCTCTTTTTTTCTTCTCTTTTGGCTTTTGCATAATGTGTCGATAATATTTCTTTAAATCTGTCTTCTCTTTTTTTTTGTTGTGCTGTGCTGTTATCGTTAACACCATTTGATTAAGAATCCGATGTAATTGTGTATTAAACCATCTTTTTACTGTTCCAAGGATATTAATATATCTGCTTTATTTAAAGTAATTAAGTTATTTTATATACCTAAGTCATAATATTCATCTACAACATCACCAATCTGGTGTGTCTCCTATTCTGTCTCTATGTTCATCTATCTATTCACTCGGCTTTAATGCATTTTTCTGGTCTGTGATTGTGTTATAAATTGCTTCTTGTCTTTAACTGTTAGCCTTTCCAATTATTACGATTTGGGATTGTAAACCATGGTTGGAGATAAATATCTTAGTCATATAAACATATCCATAATATATACATCCTTATATATAGTTATTTATTTTCAAGGTGTACTTGAATGTCACTCTCATGCCCATTAATAGAACGAACAGTCAATCAGATTCACCTGGGATTTATTATATTGTCTATTCAATATTTTACTGTTTTTCCTTTTTCATTTCTCCGTAAGCAAGAGTGTGTGCAATTTGATGACTAGCTGTGTTTCGTACCTCAGTTTTGGGTTATGATTAATACCAGAATATTGAGAAATGCCATTCTCCGTTTATATTTTATACGTCGGTGACATGTTTTCTAATTGTTGTTCAAATTGTCTCTTCTATTTTAGGAATAAAAAGAGACGTTTTTTACAATCTTACCCGGTTCGCAAGTGGATAATGTCTCAACATAGTGATGAAGCTATGCTGGTTCCTAGTAGTGATAGTTTCTGGGAACCAGGAAACTATAAAAGGACAACAAAACGAACAGAGGATGGTTTCAAGCTGTGTAATGATTTAATACAATTAATTAGTGAAAGAAGTGAAATAGAGAAAAATTATGGTAAATCATTACGAGGATGGGCCAAAAAATGGAATGAACAAATTGAGAAAGGTCCAGAATATGGTACCATGGAGGCAGCCTGGAAAGCTGTAAATTCTGAAGCAGAGAGACGATGTAATATTCATTTACAAATTAAGGACAAATTATTTGATGATGTTGTACCTCAAATTAAACAATGGCAGAAGGGACAATTACCATAAATCAATGATGCATCTAAAGGAAAAGAAAGATTTTGATGATGCCTTTAAAAAAGTAATTTATCTTTCATCTTGGCTGGTTACATTGCCATTTAAGCCTTAAAATCCTTTGATTTCAAGCATTAATTTTATTTTTTTCTCATTATTCAACTATTTCACAGGCTCAAAAAACATGGGCTAAACATTTCGAAAAAGTCAATAAAGCCAAAATAGATTACCACTCAGCCTGTAAAAATGAAAGATCAGCTGTAAACTTAGAACGCAATGCCTCCGGTGATTCTTCTTTGTCTCCTGACCAGGTGAGCATTCGCCCAATTCAAATACAGTAGTCACCTCTCATCACCTTAACATAACCATAATTTTTCAACCTTTTAAAATACCCCAGTTCTATGATATTATAATCTTTTCTTGTCCATTTTACAGGTTAAGAAACTTCAGGATCGTGTGATAAAGTGTAAAGACGAAGTTCAAAAGACAAAGGAAAAATATGAACAAGCTCTTAAAGAAATCAACGAATACAATGCAAAGTATATCGAAGATATGACCGTTGTATTTGATAAGTGCCAGGAATTTGAACATAAACGTCTTGAATTTTTTAAAAAAATGCTTTTCGCAATCCATGACTGCCTTAATATTTCCGCCAATCCTGAATTACCTTTAATTTATGAAGAATATAGACACACAATACAAAACGCCGATGCCTGTAAAGACCTCAGATTATGGTCAAATAATAACGGTGTTGGTATGGCCATGAATTGGCCAATATTCGAGGTGAGACACGAAATCTTAATTTTAGCTATTGTATTTTTTGTTTGCTCCGTACATTGTTTAATGATAGTATTGAAGAAGATAAAAAAGCTTCGACAATAAGTGTCCTTTTCGCATTTAATTTTTACGCATCAATTGTTCCTTCCCCTTGTTTTTTTTCATTCCTTCCTCTGATTGTTCATAGTTAGATTCTAATCTCCCCGTCAATTCCGTTGAGTTTTTTTCACTCACAAATGGGTTAATTTTTTTAAACAGCATTTGCTTTTAGTCCTTGAACTTTTACATTTTTTTCTGTTTAAATCATATCTTAAAAGCTTTTACTCTTACCTTCGCAACATTATCATTACATGATGATTTACCTACATTTCCATCTTCACCATCATGACATTTAATCATATCTCTTTCTTGATAAAATATATATTGTGTAGGTTTGATATTTCAGCCTCTTCTTCATTTATCCCTAGTTGTTCCGAACAACTACTTCTACTACTGACCAAGAATTAACTACAGCTTAGAATCCCACAATTAACACACTTTCCCTTCTTCGATAACTTTCATTTTTGCTCTTATTTTTCACCATTATTCCATTTATCTTACCTTTCAGAAGTAAACATCGTTTGCGTGTGTGTTTTTGTTGCTTATTGAGGTATACCTTTTGTTCATATATTGTTTTAATGTGTGAGTGTTTCTCTCTATTTCATTATTACCATTACTATAACTTGTTACCTCAACATTATCTTTCAATTTATATGAATAGTTTGTAGCAAAAAAAAATTAAAACTCAAGCGTGTTTGCATGTTTAATCATCAAGAAAGTACATCATCTCCTTGTATGGTTACTTTTGATAAAATTGAGATTATTTTTAATTGCTTCATTATTGCGTACGAAAACAAACAGATAAACATCCCCTTCATCATAATCATCGTTTTCGATGTCCTTCAATTCTCAGTCCATCTGCATGGTCTGTGTTGAATCATGAGTTCTCTGTTTCATTTAATCTTTTTCAATCAAAATTAATTCAACACAACAATGTTAACTTAAATTTTTAATTTACTAATTTCTCATCCAAAATCAACTCTTCTCTTCCTTGGTCATTATTTACCGCTTTCCAGGAATATTGTGAAGAGTTTCGAGATATTATTGGTAAACCGAGCAAAAAAAATCCAATCGCCGAGACTGGTATTACTCTTGTGAATCAACACAAATTCAACGAGGAATTGCCTGTAAATTTCTCATTCTATTTTACTTTAATTAACATTTCATATTACTTAACCTTAACGATTCACTGTCCCAGTTGAAAATAATTGCCAAATTTTTCCAATGGCAGTCAATCTCATTTTTTTGAACTTGTCCATTGATTTGCAATTGTTTTCAACCCAAGTTAATAACCTTACAACTTAGCCAGCAGCATTTAAATTACTTCTAATTGCTCTTCATTAACTGTCATCCTATTAACTAATTGTCTCTATTAATAGTGTTAATAGTTTCCACTTATAACAATTAGAATCATCAGTAAGGAATACCTTTTTTGTACATAATTGTCCAAATAATATCTAATCTAATTTTGTATTTTCCTGTTTTTCATTTCCACTTTTCATTCCAACCTTGTAATGTTTCCTAACATTTGTTACTTTTTCACTCCTATTTTTTGGGTTAAAATGGTGTTTTCAATCAAAAATACTCTCCCATGAGGTATTTTTCAGCATCAGTTTGCATGTTTCCACAATATCATTTTCATTTTCATCATTCCTAATTACTTCTTCATTACCTTTACATGTAATATCAATAGTTCAACAATATTTAACCTGAAACCCTTTCATTAACCTTTAACAAGCAAAAGAAAGTTTGATCTAATTACAGGCAACTCTCAATTGCTACTCTCAGTGTTTTCAATCCACAATGACTACCCTTTATAATAATGGTTATGTTTCATTTTTAAACACAAAGAATGTGGATTGTCTTCATTTTTTACTCTGTGAGAAAAAAATGCGTTGATTTATCAGTATCATTATTCAAAGCGAAAGTTGAAATATATTTTTCTTCAGCCCAGATTCATAACCTTAAATTTCGAGTTGACATACATTTGCTGTCTTCACTATTCATTATCAATATCAATAACACGATTATTGTTGTCAGTAGGCTTGAAATGTAATCCTCAATTATATCACCAAATTCACGCTTTTGTTGCTTTGAAACATAACCATGCTGGCTTGAAATCCCGATTAACCACATTTGAAGTTCAACTGATTGTACAATTTATTAATTTAACTAATCTCTTCACTTCATAGGAATATGCATCCAACTTATCTGCAAATAACAAGGAAAAGAAATCAAAAGGAGATTCAAATGTTGAACACAATAATTTAACAAACGGTAACAACGAAGTGGCAGATCATAACAATCAAAATGAGATAAACAACAAGGCAAAAAGCATACATAACGATGATACCGAAATAGATTCTCATATAAATTCGTAAGTACTTAAAATGGGTTAAAATTTATATTGCAGTAAACTATTTTTGACAGTTAATGACAATTTAGTATGTATCAGTCAATCGTAAAAGTATCACGTCAGTAAGCTATACCATAGGAGAGTTATCATGCAATATTTCAAACTTAACTTTTTTCTTGTTTCTACCTCTTGATTGATTTTAATGTTTATTAAGCTATCAAATCAATCTGCTTATAATAGTAACGACCTGTTGAATTATTTGTAATTTTTTTCTTGAGATTATCACGTTTCAGGCCAGTGTCATAAACTGATTTAAATGGTAACTTGGTGACGATTATAAATTATCATCCCTCTAATAGTTGACTGGTAAAAAAATGATTCTTATGTCCAACATTAGATATTATATTCATTGCGTGTTGGTCAATCTGCTTAGCACAATTTAACGACAAGCTAACTGCACTTTTTCAGCTTACAATTCTCAATTGTTTACCTTTTCAAATTTAATTTTATGATTCAGGTTAAAGCGTCGGTTGCTATATCAGTAGTGTATTTAGCATCATAGTAATAATAGCAATAATGATAACAAACTTGATTTGTAAAAAAATTTCTGCATTCACAGAATCCAATATCTAATTGAGTTCACAAATAAATAGATAATCATGAATTTGACCAGTACTTGAAACCTTTTAATGACCTTTATTTTTTTGCCACCAATCTGGTTTCAGACAGCATTTAAATGCTTAGTTTTTTTTATTATAAAATCTTTAAATAGCTCAGAATAATTTACTTTTTGATTACCAAAATCAATCTAATTATCCGCTATTTGCGAACACCGTATCTTAAAACTGTTAATCATTAACTTAGTCCAATTTTTAGTCTTTTTCAGCAAACATCATAACTAATTATTTAATTGTACTCATGATTGCTTTCCAGATTAGTCTTCATATTGACAACCAAATTTACTTTTAACTAATCTTCATCTTTACCTTTCTGTATTGTTTATGATCGATTAAATTGATAGATTAGCATTGCACTAATTATATTGATTGCGTTTTTAATTGATTACCAGGTTATTGGAAGCACAGTTGAAATTACTGCTTCTGATAAAATAGCCTTTCAAGTGAGAAGAAATATTTCAAACTGTAATATTGAAACTGCTTTTGGGTGTTTTCTCATTACCCATTTTACCCATTTTGTTATTTATTTACTGTTAACTGTCTTCTATTATTATTCTCAATCAAGGTTATATGATGATATTAATGTTTGTTTTATCTACTTTCTTGTCTGAACAGAAACGGGAAAACGGAAAACAACCCATTCGATGATGAACGTGAAGAATGGGATGATTATTCAAATGATGTCTTGGTAGACAACGGAGAGCCTGGAGTACCTGTTAAAGCCTTATATGATTATGAAGGAGCTGAAGCTGATGAATTATCTTTCAAACAAGGTATTAATATCAGGATAATGCAGATACAGTCAAAGGAATTGAAGTTCAATGGATTAGTTTCATTTTTTTATCAAATATTTCATATTTGTTTTGAAACAATTTAGACGTAGCTGGTTGAGCAGTGAAATTAAGGTTATAGCAGCAAACTGCTCCTGGATTTTATTAATCTCAGCGTTTGGGTCGCTTTTAATGAATGATTTAGCTCTCGGTGACTTTTCAAATTTGGGTTACTTTAATTGATTTGAAACTTGATCAGAAGCTGCAGAGAAAAAAATTGTTATTGATTTTTTTTGTAATTTGTACTTATTATAACATTTATCATAGTATTATAGTATTTATTATAAGCATTTTCAAAACTCAGTTGGAAATTGCTGTATCACATAGATGAAATTCAATTCTTCTGACATTATCTGCTTTATTTCAGGGTTTTCAGCCAGAAAGAAACACTTTTTAGTTCTATTGTGCAAAGTTCAGCCAAGATGAAACAAACTTAAATACAAATAACTAAAGAATCGAATTAATATTAAGGTTCATATTGCTGCGGCTTATGGGGTTGTCGCTAGCAAGTCGTATTTACTTTTGTTTCCACGTTACTCACCACTTCTTAATCCAATTTAAAAATTTTGAAGCATCTAAAGCATAATTTAAAAGGTTCAAAGTTAGGAATGTAGAGCAAATTGACCTCTGAATTTCGGAAATATCCGGACAAGATTGTAAAAATCATGATCATAAATTAAATTATCTCTAAATATAACAGAGCAAAAGCTCAAAGTGCAGATTGATTGGTATTTAATTACCCTCTTCTTAGCTCAATATAAATATTATAATAATTTTGATTATGAGCACTTTGTTATGTTTAATCGCAGTTGGACTCTGTTAAAATCGAAATGGAAAATGTTGAACAAATTGAAAATGAGCCCAACAAATGTCTAAAAAGTGTTCCAGTTAATTTGGACAATGTTAAAATGTGGCTGGAGAGTGTCTCTTTCTGACTGGAAACCCTGTGATAACAAGAATTATATTTGTCTGTTTAGCTTTACTTGTCATTGGATATTGTTTCATTTAAATTTAAATGCAAATAAGCCAACTAAATGTCTTAAATTAATACAATTGTCAACTGTCACTTTCCTAGTATTCACCAATTGTAAAGCTTATTTATTATTTTATGATAGTCAATTGATGTTGAATTGTTGCTAATTGATTTAACGATTCCATTTAAATCACTTTCATTCCTTTATAAGCTTTTTTTCTCGGAAATGCTAATTTTGATTCTAATTTAAATCTCTTCTAATCTCCTTTAGGTGATGTATTCGAAAAACTAGAAGATGAAGACGAACAAGGTTGGTGTAAAGGACGTAAAGATGGACGAGTTGGACTCTATCCAGCTAATTATGTTAAATTACATGTTTGTTAAACAAATGGCACAAGTGATCATATATTTTGAGGAAGCAAAAAACCGCAAAAAACATCGATATTTCTCTTAAGATAGAACTGTTTTTCATGTATTTATGAATTAAATAGAGTTTATAAAAAGAGAAGAGAAGAGAAAATTGTTTCATTTGTTGTTAAAAATGAAGACAATTTTAACTTTGGAAAAAATGAAACAATCAGTTTTTTATCAAAAATTATTCAACTGTTTTCCCTCTAAAAACCTGTATTGATATTGTAATTAACCTTAATTACCTTAATTATATTAACCCGCAAAAATTATACATATATAATTATATTCCTTACAATCCACACTGATTGTCACCTTCAATTTTCCCGGTCCCTAGTAAAGTTATATTTATCTAAGAACAAAGATGGAAGCGCATTTCATTTTACACTTTCCGAGCTCAATTACTGGTCACAATTCGCAGGTTCTACCTGTTTCACCAATCTTTTAATCTTTTTATGACTTTGAGTTCAACTACTAGGAAAAGAGAAGGGGTTAAAATTACAAGGAAACCACTAAAAAAAATGAATGAAACTTGTTTAAGAGACTTTATCCAATCCTGGCCTAAAGATATTCCAGTGAATCAAATTGAGAATTGAACAGAATTGAAGTGAACCAAGAGAATCTAATTTGTTAAAATTTAATTCAGTTCCTGAGAATGTTTCGATTTCCACTTTACCCTTCTTTCAACTAGTTTTTGTTTGCTCTAAAGCTTAAAAGATTGGTGAAACCGGCAATTACCGTCCATATCAGTGTTGAAGATGTTGCCAAAAAGTTAAAAGAAAAAAGCCGACTTTTCATCTGCGGCATTTTAAGTTTATACTTTTGCTTATTCTTAACTCTCCACCTCCTCCTCCTTAATTTTACTTTCCTCTGTTTCATCTTTTTCTTTTCATCCTCCCTCCTAGTTCTCACTCTCACAAAAGTTTTCACTCAGTCTTTCATCTTCTCCTTCATCATCTTCTTCTTTCTGTCGTCTTCGTCTTGTTACTTTCTCTGTAATTGTACCCGACGACAATTTACAGCCTAACTCTTTCTGCCTTTTCTAAATTTCTAAAGTCAAAGTCAAAGTCAACCTCGTCCCAAACACTTGTCCCTTATAACTTCAGTTGTAACAAACTTCTTAGACAATGGTGAATATTTTGTCTAGATTTTTCATTCTATTTTATTCCATTTTATTTCATTGTGATGCTGCAGTGATACCAACAAAATCATCAATACAATTTGATGATTTACCTTATTCTTCAAACAAAAATGCTGAATCGTTTTATGTTGCATCTTTAGCTAATACAGCCTTTTCCCTTTTACCATCAACGTGCACCACATTGGGAATAGATTCGGATATCTGTAAAACAATCTCATCAACAGCACCATCTAAAATTAATATTTACTGGGCCAAATCTGAAACCAAATCTGGACTATCTGTGTTAACAAATGGACAATCTTTTATTGGCCCTGAATATCATAATGTCCTTGTGCTTAAGCCATTGTCATTATCGCCATCTTTGGCTTTCATCTTCTTTTTTGGAGATCGTTTCCAACACTCTTCTTGTGAAAGAGACCATGGAAAAATAACCGGTAAGTTGATCAGAAACACTCTTCTTTCAAACAAACATTACATTCAACTTTGAGGTGCTTTGTGTCAAAAACTTTGTGCTATCTAGATGTGTAAACTTCAATTTGTATAATTGCTGTGAGTTATTTATGTATTGTATCCCCTTTAACCCTTTTATTGTTATCTTTGTTTATTCCAATGATAGATCATGGTCAAGGAAAATGTCTAATTTCTTGTATAAAAAGTAATAATCATTTAAATCCAATTAGGACTAACATTTGTGCAAGTAAATCACTTCCTTCGGTACATTTGGATCTTGTCAACCATCAAAATATAAACTTAATTAGGTGTATAGATGGAATAATCGGTAAGTTGATTAATAATCAGTGAATATTGACATAGTTTTACTAATTGTTATTTTACTTTCTCGTTTTTTCAGGCGCGGCTCCTTGTTAATCATTTTTTATCAACCAAGATAGAGAATGATCAATTGTAAAATTGTAAAAGTACCTTTAATTATTATTGTATTTTTGATTTCATCTTTTTTTACTCATCTCACAAAGTATATGTACACTATTATCATAAAAATAATGAAAATAATCATTAAACCATATAAAATTAGATTGTCCATAGCACTTCGTTTCTCAATCAATCTCATTACAGTGTTTGACATACCAAGCTGATTAGCAATCTCACTCAAACTGGATTTAATTCTTGAAAAGGTATCTCGCTGATCACGTAATTTACCCATGGTTGCGGTACCAACTGCTAACATTTCATCCACCTGACTGTGAAAATCAATTAATTTGGCATGTTCTTGACTTTCAAAATCAATCGCTGTCTCAGCTTTCACAGTCCTGAAAAGACAAGAAAAGTTGTTACGCATCTTTAACCTTCATAACAGTCTAATCATCGAACCAGAGACCAAAACAAAGCCAATGGAACCAAAAATGTTAATATTGAAGTCACTTAAAATATGCTAATAGATGTTAAAGCATCAAAAGCCTGACACAGTAGTATGGATGCTGAAAAGTTAAAGGTCTGATGGAGGACGTCAATTATCCAGAATTTATCGAATATTAAATAAATCTGATATGATTTAACTAACATTATCTCATTTCTAAAATATTGTACAAAATTAAATAAAACACAAAAAATCGAAAATAACCCAAAAATATTATTGCTACACGATTGGAAATTTGATTTGTTTATTAGTTTCTCTTCTTTGTAGTAATTTCTTTATCACATATTTACAAATTCATCAAATTTATTAATAAACTCATAAAGGGTGTATTAATAATGAGTAATTTCAGTATGTTATTTTACTACTTGTGGGTGATGACAGTTGATGGTACATGGCTCGTACCTTAATTGATTCGCACGCTATGATGAACTTAAATGGTCAATATTCGTCTAGTATTAATAGGTAGTTTGTCTGAATATTTTTGAATGTTTATCTTCATCACTGAGCATAGTTTTCCTTCCTTTTTGAGATCGATAAATAAGTTCAATCGCAGAACCATCATATTATCAAATTTCAATATTTCCAACTGAAAATGGACTTTCAGTTATTCACAGAATCGTTTTTATGTCTATTCCTCATAATCTCCTTTCATGGTAACTTACAGTACAAGTTTAAAAAAAGCTAATGCTGAACATCAGTGCTCATAAGTAACATTGGTTTCTTTCTTTGAATTTGAATAGATTGAAAAAATCGAGAAATCCGACCAAAACAGGCTAAATATGGCCAAAATTCCGAAAAATTTGTTGACACATTTACCCAGAACAGCAGCGCGATTCTTGAATTCACTCAGATGAGTAAATTTTCAGTCAAACATAAATAAGTCAGTAAACCTTTCGATAAAAGGACCATGAAACCACAAAACCAAGAAATTACTCAATATTCATGCATCCTATGCTAATAAATATGTGATGAAAGAAAAGAAAGAGAAGAAAATTTAAAACTAACTGGATAATTTTATCGTGCAGCAATAAAATTTTGTTGCTTTCGATTTTAATTTTGTCCAATTTAATCTTGTTTAGTAGATTAATATATAAGACAAGGTAAGTTATAATCATATAGCTTTAGTTTTATGTTCGATATAATTCTTACTCCCGATTGGAATGTAATCAGGCTGCCCATTGTTTCAAAGCCTCCAGTTCATCTTCCTCGGGTTCTTTTTCTTTTGATTTGGAACCAGAAGCGACCAGGGCTGCTTCAGGAACTTCTGGTAGGCTACCAGCATCCAACAGCTGTTTGTCTAATTCTTCTTGTTCCATTGTTTCTAATTCCTTAAGAAGTTCATCCTCATCTACAGCTGGTCCAAACATGCTTCGATCGGTGATTACGTTCAAAATCTCCTCAGATAACTGTTGTTGCTCACGAACGTCTTCCATCAGATCCTCAACCTTGTCAACATCCATACTACTATGGACAGTCTTCAATGCTTTAGCAGCAAGTGACATATTTTTAACGATTTCAGTATTGGTATGTGCATTTTCCAAAGATTCTCTTTGCAGATCCAATGTAGTTAGTGTGTTCTCCACAGTTTCCGCTTGTTTCTCCAAACGTTTCTTCTTTTTTAAAGCAGCAAGAGCTACCTTTTTATTCTTGGTTCCATTAGCTCTGATGATGGTTTCCTGTTCTTTGATTAAATTGTCAATATGTTCTTGCCTTTTCTTGAGCATCTCCTCCGTGTCACGAAGTTTTTGAATAGCCACTGATGTAGTAACCTTTTGTTCCTGTCTTTCGGCAGTCTTTCCACCACCAAATAATTTACCAAGAAAAGCCATGATTAAAGGTAAAACAAAATATCAATTAAAGAACTTGAAATATAGATGAATACCAAATAAAAACACAAATACAAATGACATTAATATCGCGTTGTTATGACTATGTGTACATTTCAATTAAATAGGTTCAAAAAAGCGGTAAATATAAACAGCCACGAACACCAACATTTAAAAAAACACTTGACACAATTTTAGAGTTTAAACTTGTTGATTTAGCAGTGAATTTGACGAATCAATCACTGAAAATATGGTGATTTTTAAGAAACACAATTCATTTAATGAATTAGCCCTACTAAACTGATAACCAGAATCCGAGAACTAGATTTATAGCTTAGACTGACATCTGGTGAAGATACACTAAATGACCATATCCATTTTACCATTAATGATCTCCAGATGGCACTTGCTTATGCTCAGTGATAATCCTGTTTTGTGGTTTAGTTTTGCTTTGATTGTTGTGAAAATCTTTGTCAATCCATCAATTTAATTTAATTAATCTACTGTTATTAATTACGAATATTCTTAATTGTGTCCATCTTATTGAACCAGTATGGTTGTTCAAGCGAAAGAGAAGAATGCTAAATCTGTAAAACCTGTTGAAGTTGAAACTGAACCGGTGGAGAAAGATGAATCTGAGGCTGGCAGTGACTTAGCGGTTTTGGAAGAAATTAAAGAACATGCTAAATGTATCGAGAAATTTGTCCTGAACAAGGAGCCTCGTTTTATGTTAAGGGTTATTCGGACTCTGGTTTCAACAAGAAAGAAGCTCAACTCAAGAGTTTTGAGAAAATTGATAAATGGATTTTACACGGCATCAGGCGCACAAAAGGATAGCCTTCTCTCCTTCATTGAACAAGAGCCTATGGAAGTTGATTCATCTACTCAAATCGCCTTTAAAGGAAGAACTGGAAAAGCAGCTCAATCGCCTCTTTTAATCGAACTCGATGTTTACTTTCATTTGCTTCTGCTTCTTCACCTGATCGACTCCAATAGCCTCGATAGTGTAAGGAATCTTGTTTCTAACTAGACGTTCAAAATTAGTTTAAGACAAAGTTACATGACTGGAGCTTTTGTTAATCAGCTGTTTCTGTTCTGTGGGAAATTTGAGATTTCTGGCAAACTAATTTCGTATAATCAACCCTCTTTATAACAGATTAGATTATTGAAATTATGAGAGCCTTTTCTCAACTGTCTCTGATTGAAGAAGTTTAAATTGCCCTGGTACTCCCTTTGTCCAAAACGCGAGATGAATATCAATAATTCCTTCTGAATAGTTGGCTTTATTGATTTAATCTTACCTTGGAATTACATGAATTGTTTTTAATTTGCTTCTAATTGACATTTGTTTTTTACTTTCAGGCTGTCAAGTGCTCTGATCTTCTAATGGCAAAAATTAGTTCCCAAAATCGTAGAACACTTGATTTATTAGCAGCAAAATGTACCTTCTATCACTGTCGAGTTTATGAGCTGACAAATAAATTTAATTTTGTCAAAAGCTTACTCCATAGTAGATTGAGAACTGCTACTTTGAGAAATGATTATGAAGGACAAGCTGTCTATCTGAATTGCTTACTCCGTCTTTATCTCCACTATAACTTATACGATCAAGCTGCAAAATTGGTTTCTAAATCTGTTTTTCCTGAAGTGGCCTCCATCAACGAGTGGGCAAGATTTCTATATTATCTTGGCAGAATCAAAGCAATCCAATTAGATTACTCCGAGGCTCATTCCAATTTGGTTCAAGCTCTTCGAAAATCCCCTCAACAAACAGCCGTCGGTTTCAAGCAAACAGTTCAAAAGCTAGCTATAACTGTTGAACTTTTACTTGGAGAGATCCCTGATCGTTCCGTTTTTCGTCAGCAAATCTTTCGACGAGCTCTTGCTCCTTACTTTCAACTTACACAAGCTGTGAGAACTGGTAACTTAGCTCGATTCAATGAAGTTCTGGAAAACTTTGGTCCTAAATTCGAAGCTGACCATACTTATACTTTAATTATTCGTCTTCGTCACAATGTCATCAAAACTGGAGTCAGAATGATTAACCTGTCCTATTCACGTATATCTTTAGCTGATGTAGCTCAAAAACTTATGCTCGACTGTCCTGAGGATGCTGAATATATAGTTGCTAAAGCTATAAGAGATGGAGTTATTGAGGCAACCATTGATCACGAGAAAGGCTACATGCAGTCAAAGGAAACAGTAGATGTTTACTGCACATCTGAGCCTCAAGCTGCTTTCCATCAAAGAATCACTTTCTGCCTAGATATTCACAATCAATCAGTTAAAGCGATGAGATTCCCTCCAAAGTCATACAATGCTGACCTGGAATCTGCAGAAGAAAGAAAAGAACGAGAAAAACAAGATTTGGAGTATGCTAAAGAAATGTCTGAAGCTGATGAGGATGATGCTTTCTAATTTTTCTAACTTGCAATTTATTAACTAATGTAGTCTAACTGCTTGTATAAGCAAAAGGTATAACACTAAATCAGTGGAAACAAATAAATATGATATGGCTCCAAAAATTTTGTCTCGATTCTATTCTAGAAATTTAAACATCAATAATTATTTTGCATATCAATGGAAATTGAGATTAATTTCAGTTCTTGTTTAATCAATTAATGCGTTAAGAACATTCATTTTAATTAAAGCTCGATCCTCCAGCTGTGCAACAATGATTGCTAGAGTGGTTTTAAAAATTTATAGAACTCTGAATGGTTATGAAGTTACGATGAAGTGAATTTTATTGTAAATTTACGTATAGACCTTAATTTTTTGTGCCAGTTTATCTTTATCCGACGGAAGTGATCACAAATTACAATAATTATTGATTAGCAAAAAGTCATGGTGCGAATAAGTCTAAAATCGTACGTGTTTACAGTATTTTGTATATTACTCATTAATATAACCCCGTCTACTGCTCCTCTGGCTAATTATTTCTGTACACCAACTATTAATTCAATAGACAATCTAATCAAAGACATAATTGCTTCTAATGCTAATGAAAGTGTTATCAGTGACATACAAAATTTTTGTGGAAGACGCGATTCTTCATTTATGACATCAAATATAATCCCAGACCGTGTTACAGTGACACGAAATGACTCTTATTGGTTGACATCATTCACCTTTAGGAGTTATCCTATGATATATATTGACTCTTCATCACAATCTACAAATGATAGCTTAAAAAAAATTTGGCTACTTTACATGCTTGCTCGTCGGCCATTTGATTGTCGAACATGTAGAATATCAATTCACCTTTCAATGAATACTAGTTTGGATAATTATCCCCTTGATTTTAACATATCTTACGGTTTCATGAAAACTTTGTTTCCAGCATTTATTGATTATACTGCACACGAAACAGTTTTACGCGAAGACAAATCCGATTTTCATAAAATTAACAGTAGTTCAAATCCATTGAATCAAACAGTTAATTCATCCGAATCTCAAATTTACTTGGATGACAACTTTTTTGGAGGTTTCGATCAACACTTTCTCATCGGTTATGACGCACTTGCAATTCCAGGCCGCAACAATAACCAAACATCAACCAATGAAACATCTTCAAATCTCAGACTACTATCCAGTGGTTCTCAATTAATGGGATATCGGATTCTGTTTTCTGATGACCCGTCATCACATTCTGCACCATTAGTAACTTATACTCTTTGTTATTCACTGGATAAATCTTATGGAACCCAATATATACCTTTAACAACCTGTTATCCATACGTTAATGAAAATGTTAAGCAATGTGTTTGTTGGGAGACAACAAATTGGAAAACTTACTTTTTCGTCTCAATAGTGTCTTGTTTGTTCCTTGTCCCATTATTTTTTACAATTTATCGTCGCTTTCATAAGCCATCCATAAAAAAGATCACTGAATATGAGTTACCCGATGCACCAGTGGCGTGTAAAAACGTCAGCCAAATAAGAATCCGTTGTGGTCGTTTGGTAAACAAGAGATTACCAGGATATTTCGATATAAATTTGATAAGAGCTAATGGAAGCTCAATAGGATCTTTACAAATCAACCGATCAACAATTTGGTCTTCCAATAGTCTTATGTCAAGTGATGTCACTGACCTTCTAATTGATTTCTATTCAGTCCGACCTCTGGATAAACCTCGTTTCATTGAAATAACCTTCCACAAATCACCAGCATCCAAAGTCTCGTTAATTTACTTGTATGGGCTGGTAATTAAAAGCCAAGACTTCTACCAAGTTTACCCTTATTGCCATTACTTACAACACAACCGTAACGTTAGGCTATCTGATTCAGCTGATTGGAGTCGAGCCATGACAAGAATTAATATGATAACCAGTTTACCAATAACCTTACAACGAGTTCAATCTTTAACTTGGCTGGAAAGATGCTTAATAAGTATATTTATTATCCAATACTTGGCAAGTAAATTACTAAGCACATTAGAAACACACGATCAAAATTACATAACGGCCAGTCTGGTTGAAGGCGTTGGTGGCGCTATCTTTCTTTACACTTGGGTTCTTTTGGCCTACATAGCTGTATTCAAAAGGCATAATTCTGATCGTTACAATTTAATGTCTTTATCATCTAATCATCAACTTTTCAACATAATTGGCTCCCTTCTCGTAATAGTCATAATTATTGAAGTTTTTAATGCAGCTGTAGTGATCAATAAATCCTATTGGAGAGGTGAAACCTTCAATTTATCAATTGCTTCAAATTATACTTCAACCGTACAAACTAATGATATAAACTGGATAATTTCAGTCATATTGTCCTTTGTCTTTTTCCAGATTACCGGATTGATTATTGAATCAATTATCTTCAGATTTTATAAACCCGACAAATCAGGTCCAATGTCTTTTGATCTTGGCTATGACGCCTCTACAAATGCCACTTAAACAACCAAATATGTTTTGATTATATTTCCTCAAATAACACACATTAACTGAATCTAGATAACAGTTGAATTAGAATGAATTCAAGATTTTGATATTGAACTTAAAGTCAAATCAATTGTCAATCTGAAATATTAAATAAAAGAAAAATGTCAATTCAATTCCACATTCAAAAAAAGCAGAAAAAGCTTGACAAGTATTTTGATTGTGACTTTCCCATTTAAACGATGAAACATCATCCTTTTTTTATACCTTTTTTCATCTCATCTTTGCTTCCAGCAACATCATATTCACTTTTTTTCACGTAAACATTAAAAGTCTGGAAACATTGTAAAAAAGGACGACAACATTAAAATATCCTTCATCTTCCTCCTCTTCACCCATTTCAATTTTTACATCCCTCCAACAAAGCAATTAACCAAGTATATGAGGATAAAAAGTGTGAAAGAAACGATGAAAATGATGAAGATGAGGAGCAATGATGAACAAATATGAATGAAAAAAACCTGAAAGCAAAAAGAGAGTAAAATTGAAGAGTTGTAAGATAAATTCAGATGAAGAAAAAAAACTTATGCAGCTAAAACCGTGGGACTTGAAGGAAGATGGAAAATAATTCTCCCTTTCTCTTCATGCTAACTTATGATAAAATGATGATGAAGAGGATGAGAATGGTAAAGGGTTGAAAGTGGGGTTTAAGCAAAAAAAACCATTTTATATTGTGCATTCTGTCAAAATACAGAGTCTAGCACAGACGACTGAAAAGAGATTGAGAATTATTGTAATACGTTTCGTTTTTTTTGTAGCCTTCTCATCATTTTATGCATCTTCTTTTCCTCTTCACTGCTTCATTATCATCTTCATCTTCATCATCATCTTTCTCTCCCTTTAGGGGTCTCTGTTCATCATTTTTTTGCTACCTTTTCCTTGTTCCTCTCATTTACTTGGCTGTTTTTTTTGGCCTACTTTTTCCTTCAACCATAATCATTCTTCTTCTTCATCATCATCCCTTTTTTTGCCAATCAAATCATCTTTACCACCTCTTTCCTCCTCCTCTTCTTCTCATCCTCCAACACCACCACCACCTCCTCCTCCTCTTTGCGTCTTGTTTTGTTTCTTCATCTTTTACTTTTTCATCTTTCTTTCTTCACTTTGTCAACATCTTTTTTAACCCTTTTTTTATCCTCATCATATTAACATTGCCCGTTGAGTTTCCTTCCTTTCCTCATCTTCATCTTCATCTCTTTCTTTTTGCAGCGTTTTTTTGGTACATAGTCATCAGCTCTTTTCTCCCTCACTCATGGAAATCTTCATTTCTCTGTCACTTTTTTGGTCCCAATTTACTTTGAACATTTTCTTGTTTTCATTTACTTTTTTATCCGTGTAACTGTTTATCGCCTTGTTTTAGATCCAATAAATTGTCATTAAATTGTCTTCTTGTTGTAAATATATTTTACTTTATATTGATAACTATTGTAGTTTCCAATAAATGTCTTGATCCTTTGGATTACATTTGCTTCCTACTTATCCATTGATTGTTTATGCTTTCAATTTATTTCCATCTTCACATTCAATAACTAATTGACGCTTTTTAAGGATGCTGTTGATTCAACCCAAATCATTGTAAGTAAATTTTTTCCTTTTCTTGACACAATATCTCCGTCCATAACCGCTGTTTCGGCCAATAACAATAATCATTAATGTTGGTAACGATACATGACAATAACACAAATCAGGCCAAGTGTTTCAGGATTAAATTTTGTCATATTGTCATACATTGTTTGATCATATCCACCAAACTTCTGAACAATCCTCCAGTGTACGGTCAAGAAGTCAACATCTATCCAAACTACAAAAAAAATCAAAACAGTTAGTGACGGTAAAATGTAAACATTATTTCAGTTCATTTCTAAATTTTAGCAGTCAATTACACCAATGTGAGCACGAAATATTTATCATAGCTTTTTATCTAAACAATATTTCCAAAGTTTGTAAAATCATCAGTTTAATATCAGTATTATTCTTGATTAAAAGAAGCATTTCTTTAAACTTGCTTCATTTCAATTTTAAAAAAGCAACTATTAGTTGGTATTAAAATCACCAGGTGACTCTACTCTACTCTTTTTTAGTTCGAGTTGGACTTTAACTGCAGCATCGATCATAACGAAAAAGTAGAGTTCATGATAAAATCTTGATCCAGCGTCATCCAATATTATCAATAATACAACAATGAAACGGTATACAAGCAAAGATTTTATGTTAACTGATTCTAACTGAAATATTAATGTAAAATGTCCATACAATGTACTTGAAAAATCTGGTCAACTATTTGCATTTGCAATGTATTAAATGTAATAAATTGAAAATCGAGAATCTTAGCGCTAATATTCAGACTTTCCCTGTTACTTGACAATAATATTAGTGTAATAGCCAGTTATTGAATTCACTAACTGAATTTTTAATTTGATTACATATTAAGTAGCCAAGGTTAATATCCTTTATAAAATGTTTACGGATTTATATAAAGCTATCAAATCAGTGCCTAATATTAAGTAATAGCATAATGAGTTTCTTGCTTTTTCAGTTGATCAAAATTTTCAGACCTTTCTGTTCAATTTTTGACTCTTGTAAATATACATGTGAGATACAATTATATTAAGATACTAATAGATAAAAAATGCATTTGAAGTTGTTAACTCAGATTGTGAAGTTTATTCCTAGATGACTCTAGTTATCTTACAAGTTGAATGCAATTTGAATAATTCAAAACACTATTTGTTGATTGAAACTTGGAACAATTATCATCATGATTTAAAGGGAGTTGCGTGAAATACCTAATGATTTTCTTATACATTTCTTGTATATTACGATTAAGAGATTGAAAAAGATTGAAATATCCAATGAAAAATCTGATTATTGATCAATTATTAATAAATCTAATAAAATTGCTGTTATCATTGATTATCATATTTCTGATGATCTTTAATAACAATAACCTTTGCCATCTTTCCTTTAAAAGATACAATCAAAAGATTGAAATCAAAAACTGTTAAGATTATAAAAAATCATCTTTTCAAGCCTCTTAAAGGTTCTATTTTGTAAATAATGAAAGGTAGAAGCACCATTTATTAAGCGATAAAAAACACCGCCGATAACTCAAAAAATGAACAGATTTGAGGATAAAGAAATGTGTTCAATTATATCAAAGGTTACATAAATGGTATCAAACTAAGAAAATGAATGCGAATTGAAGAAAAAAAGAGTTAAAAAAATTGTGATAAGAAACCGAATTGAAACCATTTAACCATCGCCTTAAATAAAACGATATTTAAGTTTTTTTCACCTTTTCTTACATTTTGCAAACAAGTAGCTAAGAAAAGGTGAAAAAATGGTTCCATTTTTAATCTTAATCACAGTCAATTCTGGACATATTGGCAAGTAAACTGATTAGCCTTTGCCGTTTAAAAAAGCAAAAGTTGAGATGAAAAAAAGTACGATTTGTTGTTATATCAGTGGATGATAAAAGATGAAAGACACAAAGGAGAAGAGGATAAAAGCTTAAAGTGTAACCAAAGTCAGAATGAAAAAAACAACCTTTTTTGCCGCTGTAAACACACACAAAGAAGATGAAGAGGAGAGAGCGATATAGAGAGATAGAGAGGAGATGATCGCTCTAAGATGATCCGTATCATAGGTAAGAACTGATGTTGATGATGAAGAGTAAGGTTGTAAAGTTTGAAAACAAGACAAAAGAACCTGCTTCGATGCTTTTACCCTTAACTGTCTTTTTCGTCTTGTTGGCCTTTCTTTCATCCCTTTTTCATTCTTCCTCTTCCCTAACCTACCTCCTTCTTCCTCCCTCCTCCCTTAAGCCTCCCTCTTAGTTTTATAACGTCAATTGTTGTACGAAGCTCTATAAAACAAGGAAAGAAGAAAAGGATTTCTCCTCTCTTCTTTTATACCAACATCATCATCTCCATCATCAAGAGTGGTAAATACAGAGCAAAAAAATGAATCAAAATGAAGCATCGAAGCAAATTTAAAATGGCTCCTATGGAGAAAAATGAAACCTTTCTTTTACTTTCCTTCTTCTCATCATTTCTCCCTCTCTTTTTCCTTCTTCCTCCTCATCTTTTTATCCCTATATTTCAACCACCGACGACTTTTTCATACTAGTTTCAAGGCATACTTTTGCCATCGAGCCTAAATAAGAGTAGGCAAAAAGAAGCATCAAGCTTTTTCTATGAGAGTGAGATGACGATGATCAGGAATGATGATCATCATCAGGAATGAAGGGAGAGTAAAGCAAGAGGAATAGCAAAATGAGAATGAGATTGTGATCAGGAGAAACAGGAGAGGCCAGATGAGTAAAGTGTTCAATTCAACGATGATATTACTAACCAAGTGGTATAGCCAAGAGTAACATGTTAACATCTCAAATACTAAACAAAAATAAAAACATACTGCTTCTTATATTCAAGTGTCCAACTTTCCTTATGTTCCTTCCATTGTCATCAGTTTCTCCTCGATGTAAATATTTTTAACCCTTTTAGGCCTTAACTTATTTCTATTACGTGTTAAAGTTTCACGTTTTTTTGTCGACTTTTTCCTTCACCTTCTCCACATAAACATCAGCATCTTTTGTGTGCAGCAAGTGATACCTTTCATCTTTTCTCCTCCTCTTTCTTATTGTGTTTCTTATTGATACCATTGGTGCATCGAGTGAGTGAGATAGGGTTAGGTTGGGTTGAATCAGGCAAAATAAGAACAAGACGAAAAACTTGTACAAGAAAAACAACAAGTAGGAAGGAAGGAGGGTAAATAGCAAGTTCATCGAGGGATAAATCCATTATCATCGAAGTTACTATTGGTTCAATGGTTTTGTCATCATCATCATTATCCTTCGTCCAGCCTCTCATGTAAAGTGTCATTTCATTGGAATTACTTCAACACCGAAGAAAGCAAGAAAGAAGAGAAAGGAGAAGAAAAAGAAGAGTGAAAGAGCATCGAGGAATAAAAAGTTTTTTTCCTCGACGCAAGTTTCTATAAGCGCAAAAGTGAAATAATCGATAGCCTCGAAGCCTCGAGTTAACTTCATCATCATCATCATTCTTCCATATTCGCCATCGTTTTCTCCTCCCTCCATTCACCATCATCATCATAGTCACCATTCCTTATCATCGTTGTTACCATTGAAACATGTTTCAACATCGAGGGAATTTTCAGATTCTTTTACTTTGATTCTCATTTACATCATCTCCTCCTTCCTCTTCCTTCTCATCATCTTCTTTGTTTAAAAGTCCTTTTGCCATCACCATCATAATCATCATCGTCCTTCGTTCGCCATATAAATTCCTTTGATTGCCATTTTGTTTTTAATTTTAACTCCTCCTTCGGTTCGCCATCAGCTTTTTTTGTTTCATCTTTGTCCTTCTAATGAACTTTATTCAGTGCTTCAATTGATTTATTTTTCTGGATGATAAGTGAGAAAGAGAAGATTGGTTAACTAATTGTCTTTCGAGAGTAGAGTGAGAAGAGAAAGAAAAATATCAAAAAATGGAGATTAGAGTTACTTCCAATTGTAACAACACAAGTAATTCCTCGATGCTACCAATCGACCATTCTGCATCAAATATAAGGTCATCCTTAGATCAAAGTTTATCCCGTTCCTCGCCAAATCAAGGGTCACCAAGTTTAACTGGTCATAGTTCATCAATGGGTAATCCATTGTTTTCAGCAAACCGGATTCTGAGTAAAAATTCAAATGGAACAAGTAAGTCTATGGAAACCCTACCTTGATCCAAATTTCCTTTTTTCATACTTCACTGTATAACAATCATCCTACCTTGCATCTCTCCTAGACCTAACATACTTTAAATCATTTGCTTATCCTAACAACGAGTTTTAAACTCAAATAATTGAATTTAAATTTTTGAGTTTCCTTCCTGAAATTACGTCCAAGATAATCCAAGAATAAGATCCTTTTCTCCTCTTCTTTTCCAAACTGTTTCCAATCAGATACATTTTATTGCTCCTTTGTTGATAATTAAATCTAATTAGCTGGAGTAACATGAGATAACATGATACATCAACCCATATCATGAATATCATTCATTGTTGAAAGGTACTTTATCGCTTGGTGAACTTTATCCTTTGATATTTGTATAATCTAAAGCTTGAGAGAAAAAAGAAATATAAAAAATCTGAAGAATAATTATTATCATTATCATGCTCATCGCCATTACCATTACAAAGTTGAGATGAAAAAAAGTAACAGGGAAAAGTTCAAAATGTTTATCTTCAAGTAATCCAATCTGGTTACTTCAAGAATGTGTTTACTTTAATTGATTCCTTTCAGTTTCTTAATTATACCAATTACCATAAATATTGAACATGGTAATGATTATTGGTCAATTGTAATAACTTCAGACGAAAAAAACAACCATAATTCATGATTCCTATAAACCCTATATAAAAGTTATCTCTATTGAATTAAGCTGAATGAGAAGATGAAAAAAAGAAGAATCTGAAAGTTCTTTTCATTTTCTTCTTTTTCAAGGCTCATCTTCTTTTCCAATTACTTCTTTTCTTTCAAATTTTTTATATCTTTCTCCTCTTACATTATCTTCCTCATCATCCCTGTCATCTTCATCTTCTTTCTATCAACTTTTTAATTGGTAGCTTCTTCCCTTAACTTTTTTCATACTCATTCCTGTCTCATTCTCATTCTCATCTTCATCACACTCCTCAGTTTTTCCTTGTTTCCTCTCTTTCTTTTCATCCTTTTTCCTCTTCAAGAATCATTTCTATAGTAACCAAGAGAATATTGATGCTACTCTAATTTGCATCCATTATTTTTCATCATCATCTTCATCACCATCTTATCTTCTTCTTTTCCTTTTTCTCAACTTTTTTACGAATAAGATTGTAAAAACTTTTCCACATTTGATCATGTTTAAGATTTTTCAGCTCTTCTCTTCTTCCACATTTCAACTCTTACGTTTTTTTAATGGTCAACGTATTATTTCACAAAATACTTGATAATCTGGCATCACCTTAGTAATTATAATAATGATGATGAGGATGATAATTAATTCAAAGATTTACTAAAGAAAACAGTCTTACCTCTCAAATTAACTCCTTTTTTGAAAGCAAGCAAAATTACGTTGAATTTTCCTTTATAGAAGACTGTTGCATTCTGAGCCAAACTTCATTGAAGTTTAGCTGATTCAGATCAAGGTAAAGATGCAAAGAAACTTGAACATGTCCGATGCTATTAAAATTATCAGGATTTGATGACACATCTAAATATGAGCTGGAAAAATATATAATATTAATCTGTAAAGAAACAAAAAAAGTGATTCTTAATTTTTGCGTATTCAAAAACAATTTGTTGCTTTTTACACCGATTTAGTTACCTTAGAGTTCACATTGATTGGCCACTTGAATGATTATTGTTACAATTTGGTTGAAATGATTGACTTTGACCCATAATTAATTATATTTCTTTTCATTTCACACTCTATAGTCGCAATGACATCTTGCCCACTAAATGATTCTGAGCTTCAACTTTACCGGGTCCTCCAGAGGTCCAATTTGCTTTCCTACTATGATACATTTATCTGTCAAGGTGAGTCCACATTACCATCAGCTAAACCTATTTAAATATAAAGCATGATTAATAAACTCAATCATAAACATAAATCACAATAAAAGGGAAATACAAATCTTAAAACAGTTGAAAGCACCGTCTTAGAAACAACGCCATCTGATTAAAACATTAATAAGAAAGACACCTTTTTTAATTAATCCTTTTGTACGGGAGATGGCGATGTTACACAAAACAATCTTATTTTCAAACTTCAGCTGAATATTCAAATTGTAACTAAATATTAAACAGTCGAGTGTTTTTTCATCATGATTAACATTTTTTTCTGATTACCATGAAAGATGCGCAATCTCTTCCCTCATTATAATCTCACCCTGATCATCCAATGAAAAAAACAACTTCAAACTTCCCTCCAAAAAAATCACTGTATAGAGTTGAGTGTTTTATCAAGAAATTTTGTTGGACTTTGACAATTTCGCTGTTAATTCAATGGGAAAATCGATTGATTAAACTGTTAAAATGTAATTTTGTTTATTTATCTGTTATCAAAATTTAGGAGGTGATGATGTGCAACAACTTTGTGATGCTGGAGAGGAAGAGTTTCTTGAAATCATGGCTTTAGTCGGAATGGCCAGTAAACCTTTGCATGTCCGACGTCTCCAAAAGGCCCTTCAAGAATGGGTAACCAACCCAGGTAAGATGATCTAAAATTGTTTCTTAATCATTAATCATTACCTTAAATCATCATATTTTCCAAATTCTTTGTTACCTTTGATAATTATAATTGACTATAAACACACTAACCTGATACATGTTGATCAAACTTTACAGCATATGTTTTCATTGCTATTATTTCCAATATTATTATTTAGCTAATAACAATAATCCATTATATTACTGTTACCCTCATTGTTATTATAATTGCTATCATTGTCAAGATAGGGTTTGTGATAACTTTTTTCATAGACAGAAGTTAAGTTAAAAAAATTCTTGAAATGGTTACCAGTTTTTTGCCAAGAGTTACCATTGAAATAATCTTTGGGAAGAAAGCAAAAAATGATTTCGTTTTTTGTACACTTTTTTCAAGTCATTTATTAACAATCTAAAAAATGATTTAATATAATGTAAACTATTCAGTTTTGATGTTTCAGTCCCAAAGATCGAGTTACACTGTCACTTTATCCAAAGCTCTGAAAATTTCTATTCTGTTTGCCTGAGAAATATTTCCAATCCAGTTTCGGTTTTTTGCATTTCATGCTTTATCAAAAGCAATTGTTACAATGTAAACAAACCAACATTTGACCATAAAACTCTGCTTTAATGTATGCAAATGTCCATTCAATTATAATTATGAACGCGTAATCATTTATGAATCTAGATTCATCCAAAAGACCAGAATTTTTTTCAAAATTGTGACTGAAAAAAATTAATGATGAAGATAAATTAGATTGAAAGTTAGAGTTGCTCGGTATTAACATTATTATTATGATTGCATAAAATCTCTTGGGTAAGGAACAGAGGAAAGAGAGGAATGATGATGATGATGGTAATAGTGATGATGAAGATGAAGATGATGATGCTGTACATGAAGGAACCAGAAGAAACCCAAAAACTAGATTAAACAAGAAATGAGTTTGCGTGAAAGATGAACATTTTTTATGTAACTTCCTCTTTCCTCCTCTTACCCAGCATCCATCTTCCTCTCTCTCTCCTCCTTATCCTCATCCTCATCAAATCCTGACCAATGGACTATCGATTGATAATCACGTGACCCATGGCCACTTTTCACCAATAGAATTGACTTTTTTTCCCTAAAAAATGTTACACTAACTCAATGAGTGAGACAATGTATAATATGGTAAAATAGCGACCAATGTTTTCCTATTAATTTATGCCATTTGCTTTTTTCATCCACTTTTTAAGCTTTCTGTTTTTTACTCAACATCATGATGAGTCTCTTGAATTTGCATTCATTTAACTCTTTAAATTGTCTTCAACTGTCATTTGACACAATTTCATGAAACATTCAAACTAATATGAAACCGTCAAGATTGATATTTTATTTCAATTCTAACAGTTTAATTACATTTTGACAGCTTTTGTACAACTTGGACTTTTACAAAAGTTAAAATGTTTTCAAATCTTAATATTTGAATTGTTACAAATTCAAGACTTTTGTGATTTTACTGATTTCAGGGTAAATTTTTGCCGCAAAAGATGGTTAATTAGACTGATCAATGAGAAATCATTAAACTATTTGAGTGTGAAAAGATGTTTGAAGTGAAACATTTTTTTCCCTCAATCTTTTCATTTACAGTTTGCTATTCTGAATAAAATGAATGGATGCTTAAAAGAACCATAAATCATGATAAAAATTAGATTAATTCATTTAATGATTGAGAATGTGATGATAGGGGTCAACAAAAAGTTTACAAAACATGATAGGATGGAAATGAATAAGGGAAAGATTGGAAAGGGTAAAAGATGATGATGTAAAAAAGGAAGAAATGATGATAATGATGATGAAGATGAAAGATGTTGAGAGGATAGAAAGATGATTTTATTAATTACAATTCTTGTGTGATTAGGAATATCAGGGGAAAAAGAGGCTTAACAACTTAAAGTTAATTCCATGTTGGGTTCAACTTAATGGAAAAATCGATCAAAATTTTTTGGGTCCAAAGTAAATGGTTAAAGAACGGAATAAAAAATAAATAAAAAATTCTAGAAGATAAAAGTCTTATTAAGATTGATGAGAAATGAGAAAGCATTTTAATGAATATAATAATTGATTGTAACATTGAACAAGAACCATGATCAATATGGTCAACATAGACAATTAACAATTATAATTATCAGGTAAACTTAGATTATAATCATTCCATTGTTCATTTCAACATTAAATTCTCATCTCTTCACATTAACCATTAATTTACTTTTATCACTTCTCTTTTTACCAGCAATGTTTCAAGCTCCTTTGGTACCCACTTTTACCTCTGGTGATAGACCAACCTTGCCCGGTCCATCTTCAACTGGATCATCGGTACTACCATTAGCACCGCCACCGCCGTCCTCAACTACGATCTCTACCTCGGGTCTTCCTTTGGTCAATGCAACATCAAACAGTACAATTAGACCTGTGCTATGTCCTGATTTATTGGATGCTAAATCAATCAATCCTGTTAACCTTTCCTCGTCGACATCACCTTCACCCTTAAACCTTGGCTCAATGGCATCTCTAGCTGCCTGTCAACAACCACCTTCAATGGGATCGCTTTCGGTTATACCTTCGATAGGATCGATCATATCGTCTTCATCTCAACAACAACAGTCAATTATCCATCCATCTCATCATGTTACCTCATCCTCATCCTCATCTTCATCAACCTCTTCAAACTCCTCTGTATCTTCATCATTAGTCCAAGTCTCTCTTTCACTTCAACCCAAATCGTCAAGCACTCCAATAAGCAATGGATTATCCAATCACACCTCAAACCATTCAAATCCTTCTTCACCCAAGGAATTGAAAGATAATAGTGTTACAATCACACCTAATGGTAATAACTCGTCTGGAAACATAACATCAATCACTTCCCAGAATCAGGTAAAACCATCAATTAAATCAAATGTTTGAACAATTGTCCTGTTTTTTGTCTTTCATTCAATCCTTACCAAACCAAGCAGCCTTTCAACTTTATTTGTTTAATCATGTTAAAGTTAAAAAAACAATAGACAACTGATTATGCAAATTGGTAGTAAAAAATGCTGGTCAATCAGATTAACATTTAATTTTACCGAGACAAGCTTCAATATTGAATCAATGAAATGATTACTTTGAAAGTTTTCACCCACAAACAGTTCAACAATTGGACTTTCAAATTATCTTTCATTTTCCTTTTTTTTATTCACAAAATTTTCAATTAATTTGATAGCAATCTAGACTTATTGACCAATCAAGTATTGAAGTGTCCTAATTGCTATTTCACTTCATTAACTTAACTTTAATATCAAAATTTTCAGGTTTTCAAGCAACTTCATTTTTCCCATCAAAATAATGATATTGCTTTATAATTCACTTGAAAATTTGATTAAGTAAACATTAGGCTAACAAAATCTGTTATATTTATTTATTCAATTGATAATTTCATGATAATAACCGTAAGGCTTTTTGCCTTTAGATGCAATGCTACAAAATCTAGCTGAAAAATATATTAATAAGATGAGACAGAAAAAAATTTCATCTAAATATGAATTGTTTGTAAAGATGATATTCATTATATTTATCATTAGCCTTTGAAATTAAAAACGCAATAAGCAGACTGATTGCTTCAAGTTTCATGTGTTTATTTATTAAATGTTTGCTCAGTTAAATCAACGGTCAGGCTTGACAATTGTTATTAATTTGTTTCATTTGCTTGATTGCCTTTAGACTGATAATTCAATTGGATTGGTGACCAATGAGTACGGTCAACCAGCATCACCAATATCATTGACTCCTGTCCTTGCCGATAACCAGATAACCAGATTGGCTGAAGCAGCTGAAAATCTGGTCAAAAGCTTACCTCCGTTAGACCTGAAACTGGCCAATAACAAGAAAAAAAGCACCAAAGACGAAGTGAGTTGATTGAAACATCTCTGCTCTATTCAGATGCTTTATTAGTCTTTTTTTATTGTTCAATTTTCTTCTGGGAAAATTGATCAAAGATCTTATTTTATTTAATTAATTTAATCCAATCTTGTTCATTCATTCAATTTACATCTTTAATCAGGGTGTACTTAACACGATCATGTTTATGCCTGAAGATGATCCGAAAAGGATGAAATTAATTCGTGTTTATGCTAAAATATATGGAAGATTTGATGCTAAAAGGAATCCTGATAAACCTCTGACACTTCATGAGGTAAGTAATCAATTCATTTTCAATTTATCAACCCTTCAATTCAAAATTAAATAATTAATAAATGATTTGCTTTCCTGTTCAACAAACCAATTTTGTTTTGTTTTTCATTTCAAAGCAAATAAATGGTTAAAAGGCAATATTATTAGTCAAATGCAAACAAACCTTTGCTTTCAGTTTTTTTTCATTTTTGTCTAATTATTTTTGATGAATTAACCTTTTTTTATTTAAAATCATTAAAAAGGCAACAAATTGTCATTGTAACAATAATTTTGCAAGGAAATGATTTAAAACAGGTGAAAAAATCTGTTCATCATTCAACTTTTCTTGATGATAAATTAATTTGATTGCTTTTCTGAATATATTATCATTAAACTACACTATAACTGTCTTGATTGGGTGAATTTGAATCAACAAATATTCGGAAAACTCAACGTTTCCAAAGCAATCGGTTAAGCTGATTGAATTGTTGAAAGCTTACAATCTTTCGATTCTGTTAAATTGACATTGATTTTCATTCATTAATTGGTTTTGCTTTTGATCATCTTCCAGGTCTCTGTTAACGAAGCTGCAGCTCAAATTTGCAAACATATTCCTGTATTATTAACTCGTCGTGATGAACTTTTCCCTCTTGCTCGTCAAGTTGTCCGTGATTCTGGTTATCAATATTCAAAAGGACATTCAAGGTATAACTCAATGAATTAGTGATGTTTTTTGATTTCTAATTTTCTTCCTTTTTCTTTTATGTAGATCTCAATATTATCCAAAATTATTAGACAATTCTGGTTACACTGGAAACAATGATTCAGTCTTAGAAGGGAATGGCTCAACAGCTTCCAAGAGAAGACGATTGTCTGAGAATGATAATAATTTTGATGCTAAGATTCAATGTACTGAAGAGGAGCGATCACGTCGTCAAGTAATTTATTTTTTTAACTGAATGTTTACAATTAATACTGATTGAAATGGGTTTGAAATATTTTTAATGGATTCAGTCATTTCTTTAAAATAATTGTAAACATGTTTATACAAATATTCAGTTATTCTTTATTCTAATTTCGAGATATTTTCTATTTTTTACAGGGTCGATTGGAAAATATAATTGATCAATTGAAAACATTAGGAAGTCAGCAAAAGGAGTTGAAAATTCAATTGCAACAAGCTCGTGATTTACAAAACTTGTCGCACATTAATCAAGTTCAAACGGAGCTTGAACACATCTCAACGCAACAAACGCAGCTAATCAATGAACAAAGTGAAATAAATAAGCAATTAAGGAAATTGGAAAAGTAAGTTTACACTCATTAATAGTCAATCTATTGAACGTGTGCTTGACAAAAAAATGAAACCAATGCAATTTGAATTTAATTTAATTTAAAAATCTTGAGAAATATTTTGATATTGAAATTTATACAGAGAGTAGAGCCATCTAACGATTTGTATGTTAATATCAAATCTTATTCAAATGTGAACATTTTACAAAGTAAAACTATTAATAAATTGATGATTACTGACTCATCTTCATTTTCATTAATCAAGATTTCATCCTGGATTGAATCGAGGACTTAACCATTCATTGCCAGAAGACAAAGGGGACACAGATGATACAGGTAAACAATAAATTGATTAGATTTCATTACTATTTAAAGCAAACCACGGGCGTTTCAATTGAAATGTCATCTCTATTAAAATACATTTTAACGAGAAATTTGTACATCTTTACTTTTAGATTCACAATTTTCTGTCTATTCAAATGAATTATCGCCATGTATGAGTCAAACTGGACATGATGATTCTCCGGCCCAAGAATCGTCGCAAAATTCTGATAATTTTAACCGCATTTTACCAGGTAAGAGCAATCATTCAATCTAGATTAAGTCTCTCAAATCAAAGTGCATCCAAATTTTATTGATCATTTACAAGTTAACAAATTATCACTCTTTGAGATTATTTTTGGTTATGAGGATTCACTTTGATATAGAGAGACAGGAATAAGCAACAAACGGCTTATTTAGATTGAGTTAGCAATTCAAAAGAAAGTATTTTTAATTCATTTAGCTAACAAAACAGGAAATCATCAAGTCTCCAATCAACTAACGCGTCAGTTGGTTCAGGAAACATTATTGGACGAAGGACTTCGTTTGATCAAGGAATTTACTGACGTACAAAACAAGGACTGTGATTTAACAAGCCGAATTAAAGACAACAACAGCCTTGTTAATAATAGCAGTAAAGACAATAAGGATAACAATAATAACTCATCTGATTCTAATAATAATAATGATAACCACAACTCTCAAAGCAATGGAGGCAACAGTGACAATGGAATTGATTTACGCGTTAAGCAGATGGAAAATGGTTCACCTAAATCAGCACCGGTATCCATTCAGAGTACGAATTGGTAATTTGATTGAAAGGATTCATCATTTACCCAACTAATAAACGAACAATTCTCATAAACATAAAATTATTAACAATTAAGGGCGCTGCCGGTCGTTGCAAACCTAACCAAGATTCTCGGTCAATTTGTGATCTTTCAATCGTAAATCAACATGACTAACCAAAATTTCGTTCTGATAGCTTTAGAGTTATTTGATGTTAATCTGATAAAAATTGATTCGATCTTAATTCACTTTTTAAATGAGACTAACCGAGAGTCGGTTGAATATCCAACGACAAGTCATCCTAACCTGGTCAATTTTGTTTGTACCTTCTCTCTCTCAATCCTCTTTAATTTTCTCATCAACAAAAAAACCATAAATATATACTTCATAAATAATTCATCATGTATTTACAAAATTAAATTAAATTGAATAAAATTTATGTTCTCGTAATATAATTGTTACCTTTCGCCTTTCTTATATTTTCATATTTATGGCTAAGAATCGATAGTAACTCTGATTATGATGAATATAAATAATAGTAATCAATGATTTCTCCATGATTACTCTATTTTAAAAATACAGAGATCCAGAACGAATTCATAAACCAATTAAAATGTTCAAGTTTCGTCTTTAAATACTGATAAAGATTGAGATTTTTACTCTTTTTAAGCCTAATTCGCAAAAAGCGCCACAAAATTTTGTAATGAAAATGAACGAGAGATGGCGTAACAATCTTCCCAGGCTTTTTGAAGATTTCACACAAATCTTCTGTAAATTTAAGTTTAATTGTTTTCTTTATTTCATTGCGCGGCTTTGTGACTTTTTAATCAAGGTTAATTGTGTCAGCTCATTTTTATTTTTCATGATTCATCATGACTGCCATCTCATTAGATAAGGATGCCTTTTTCAGGCGTGCTAAAAGGTTTTACCAGAGTTGGAAAAATCCGTCTAATGAAGTTAACCTGAGTGAGGTAGATGCCATCGTCTTTTGTGTTGGCTCGGATGATGATGTTACCTACAGTAAATCAATTGCCCTGCAGACATGGTTGTTTGGCTATGAATTGACTGATACTATAATTGTTCTTGCTGAAAAATCTATTCAGATATTGGCCAGTAGGAAGAAAGTCGATTTCCTCAAAGCCATTGAATCCAGTAAAGAGAATGAGAAGGATGTTCCACCAGTCAGTCTTTTGATTCGTGATAAAGCAGACAAAGATCAAGCCAATTTCGCTAAACTGATTGACACCCTTTCTAAAAGTCAAAATGGCAAGAAGATAGGTGAATTCAGCAAAGATAAGTTCTCAAATGAATTCCTAGATGGATGGAAAAAATTATTTGAAAGCAAGAATTTCAACACTGTTGATGTCAGCTCCCAAGTGGCTTACATAATGGCTCCTAAAGAGGATTCGGAAGTTGAAATTCTGAAGAAAGCTTGTGGAATCACCGTTGAAGTCTACTCTAAATATTTGAGGGAAGAAATAACGGAGATAATCGATTCTGACAAAAAAGTAAAACATACAAAATTAACTGAGGGAGTCGATAAAGCTATGCAAGATAAAAAGTACATCAAAAACCTGGATTTACAGTCTGTTGATGTATGTTACACACCAATCATCCAATCCGGGGGTAATTACAGTCTCAAGTTTAGTGCTACCAGTGACAAGAATAATTTACACTTTGGAGCTATCATTTGTGCTCTTGGCGCTCGTTATCGACAATATTGTTCGAACATTGTCCGGACCATTTTAGTTAATCCATCACAAAAGCAACAAGATCTTTATGATTTCTTGATAACCGCTCTTGATGAAGTTATTAACAAGCTTCAAGATGGCGTCAAGCTGTGCGATGTATACAAAGTTGCTCAAGATATGGTCGAAAAAAAGTATCCAGATTTGTTAGATAAAATGACCAAGAACATTGGTTTCGCAATGGGATTGGAATTCAGAGAATCTTCCCTTCTTATCGCTCCTAAAGTAACCGCTGTAGCCAGAAAAGGAATGGTTTTCAACGTAGCCATAGGTTTTTCAAATCTCATTAATGATGAGGCTAAAGATAAAGAAGCAAAGGTTTATGCTTTATTCGTTGCTGATACAGTCTTGGTAAATGCTGGAAAACCAGCTGAAATTTTAACCAATGCTAAAAGGAAACTTAAAAGTGCGGCTATCTTTTTAAAAGACGAGGAAGAAGGGTCCGAAGAAGAGGAAGAAGAATCAAAACCACAAATTGATGAAGAGTTTTTGGGACGAGCTGGTCGTCGAACTGCTATTCTTAATTCAAAATTGAGAACTGAGGCATCAACTGAGGAAAAGAGAAAATTACATCAGAAAGAGCTTGCCGAGCAATTGAATGAGGCTGCAAAAGCCCGATTGGCTCAAAAGTCAGGTGGAAAGGAGCAGCAAAAAGTCAGAAAATCAAACGTCTCTTACAAATCGATGAATCATATGCCTAAAGATCCTGAAATAACTGAATTGAAAATATTCGTCGATCGAAAATATGAAACTATTATTCTACCAATTTATGGTTTACCTGTACCATTCCACATATCTACAATCAAAAACATTTCACAATCAGTCGAAGGTGATTATACTTATCTCCGAATAAATTGTTTTCACCCTGGTTCTACGCTATCCAAGAATGAAAGCGGAATGTATTCCAATATAGATGCTACATTTGTGAAAGAGATAACATACCGTGCCACCAATGTTAAAGAGCCTGGAGAAATATCAGCTCCGTCTTCCAATCTGAATACTGCTTTTCGTTTAATCAAAGAGGTCCAAAAGAAATTCAGAACTCGAGAAGCTGAAGAAAGGGAGAAAGAGGGTATTGTTAAGCAAGATACCCTGGTCATTAGTAACAACAAAGGAAATCCAAAATTGAAAGACTTATATATCAGACCAAACATTTATTCTAAACGAATTTCTGGTACTTTAGAAGCACATGTGAATGGTTTTAGGTTCACCTCTATAAGAGGAGATAAAGTGGACATCCTTTATAACAACATTAAACATGCATTCTTCCAACCGTGTGATGGTGAAATGATCATTTTGATTCACTTCACTTTAAAAAATGCCATAATGTTTGGTAAAAAGAAACATGTTGATGTTCAATTCTATACTGAGGTGGGAGAAATTACAACAGATCTGGGAAAACACCAGCATATGCATGACCGTGACGATCTTGCTGCCGAACAAGCTGAAAGGGAATTACGAGGAAAGCTCAAGTCTGCTTTCAAAAACTTCTGCGACAATGTTGAAGCCAAAACAAAAGGAGAAATTGAATTTGATACTCCTTTCCGAGATTTGGCATTCCCTGGTGTTCCTCATAGAAGTATCGTCAATCTTCAACCAACTTCCTTCTGTTTGGTTAATCTTACTGACTGGGTATGTAATTCTAATGATTTTCTACTTTAATATTATTTATAACTTTTACTATAATCAATGTTTTTTATCTTTTTTACAGCCTCCGTTCGTTATCACCTTAGATGAAGTTGAGTTAGTTCATTTTGAAAGAGTTCAATTCCATCTCAAAAACTTCGACATGGTTTTTGTCTTTAAAGATTACCACCGTAAAGTAGCCACGATTGGAGCAGTTCCTATGGCTATGCTAGACCATGTAAAAGAATGGCTTAAGTAAGTATATCGAATTAGCAATAGATTTGAAATCACCCCTGACTTTTAACCACAAATATAATATTCTTGGTTAATCATACAGAACGTTAGCTTAATTCTATTGAGTTCATAATTTTGAGTTGCTGAGTCTCAGAGCATTCAAGGTTCATTACCCAACATACATTTTCAATTCATAAATCATAATTGAATTGAGTTACAATTATGGTTATGGGTCAACTCTTTTCATACTAAATAGTCGAATATTTTGTTTTAATCAACAAATTTATCTACTCTTCACAGTCAATGTGATATACGCTATACCGAAGGTATCCAGTCTTTGAATTGGGCCAAAATTATGAAAACCATCACTGATGATCCTGAAGGATTCTTCGATCAAGGAGGTTGGTCGTTCTTGGATCCAGATAGCGATGCCGAGCAAGAAGATGAAGACGACGAAGATGAAGAGGATGAACAATATAATCCGACTGAAGAGAGTGATTACGAAGATGAATCAGAGTCTGATGAATCAGGCTCTGATGTTACTGAAAGTGAATCTTATTCAGGTATTGTAAATAGCAACTGATTGCATTCTTATAGCACTTTTCCTTTTCAAACTTTAATTTATATCATATTCTTTTAATCGATTCGAGCAGATGACTTGGGATCTAGTGAAGAAAGTGGCAAAGATTGGTCTGAATTAGAAGAAGAAGCTGCTCGCGCTGATAGAGAAAAGGATTATGAAGATCAGGAAGTCGACCAAACTCGGGGCAAAAAGTATTCTAAAACTAAACCAAGTTCGTCATCATCATCCTCTAAGCATCATCATAAAAGTCCTATGAAGAATGGATCTAAAAGACCGCGAGAAGGTTCCGATCACAAGAAAAAGAAGTTCAAAAAATGAAAACAACAACAACCTTAACATTGCGTTCAACCGATACTCTTAGGAATTTTAATACAATTTTTCGTTACAATCACTGTTCACTATGGGATTATCATTCGTGCGAATTCACAACTATGCATGAATGCATAGATTTCTCATACAACATTATTACATTCATCTCTAATTTTTCTGATACATCACGTGAAAAAGCGAAAGTTAATTTTATTAACTTAATTTTCACATAATTTACGTCATTTGTTGCAGTAAAAAAGAAAACCCATTGTACATTGATCATTCATCCAAGCACTTCAAAACGTAAATTACAGTAAAACTGAGCAAAACATTTGATTCTTAGAAACAAGAAAATGACAAAAAATGTTATGTTCAATGTCAACTTTATATACAAAAATGAATGAATTCTTTACATGAGTAAATAAAATTTCGTCCAATAAATTGTGAATCTTATTTTCTCCAAATCATTCCTTCCATCTATATCCACATTCCTTATTAGCACATCGATAAAAATTGGTCATTGGTTCATCAGCTGAACGCGTTTGCATTTGCATAAAATACGCTTCACCATATTCACATTTAGGACATTTAACTTGAGTCTTATCCACACTATCCCAAATCTTCGAGTCGGCCAATATTTCATCCACTTCCTTTAATCTCGGATATTTCCTATTGATAACTTTTTGATTAACATTGTAAACATATGGGCACGTTTTACAGTAAAATCTAAAGCACTTTGGTCCTTGCTCTAAAGTTAATCTTATACCACAGAAATGACAAAATAGAAGGACCATTTTGATACAATCAAATCGAGATAAGTCAATAGACAACTCCAACTTCGACACAATTGACAATTAATCAAAATTCAAAATTAAAGCGAAGCAAATGTCAAAAATAAAGGCGAGATATTAAAAATTGTCTCTTCCATGCATTACCAGAAAAATCACCTGTTTACTTAGCTTTCAAATTTTATTTCTTTACATCATTCCAATTTACCTCCCTAGATGGCCCCAGTAAAAGCTAACATTTAAATTTTTCCCGGGTTTTTTCATCCACCTTTACTCATCGGGTTTTTAAATCTGGTTTCTTGACTGACTCTTTAAAGATGTAACATTTTTGCTCAGCAAATCTTGATTTGGGAGTCAATTTAACGGCCATTTTAAGATATTGAAATTTATCCAATGACTTTCAAGACTCTCATACAACGGAAAACTCGTTAGTTTCCATGTAACCAAATTTAAATTGCGATTCATCCCTAATCAACTGTGCCAAATTATGAAACTAATTTGACTGATAAAGTCTATTTCCAATGAAGGTCACTATTACGATAGGTTTAACTAATCATAACTAGTCTATCAAACTTGAAAGTTGCAAACCTCCATCGAATCTTATATCGCGTAATTTAATATACTTTCCAATTACCAAGATTATCAGGTCAAAATTAGAGCCTAAAAATTGTATTATGCTAAAAGTGATCAGGATTATCTGAATTTTTGCCAAATTTAAAGGTTTATCAATTTTTCAATCACTGTTAATATTTAATAGATTTGTCAGTAAGTTTAAAAATTATCTCTAATCTGTATCAATAACAAGGTTGTCTATTAATCGGGCATCTTGCTGTTAAAGTTACTGCGGAAAAACGTGATGCTTCTGAAATTAAAGTTTCATTTAAATCAATGAAAATTAATAATCTTTAAACTGTTTTCATTTATTTATTTTTTAACCACTTTCATGTTGACATTTCACTATGTAATTCAAAATTAATCAACTGTAAATAATTTGAATTATAACCATAATTCATCTAAAAATATATTACATCCATTATAATTTGAGGATATCTTTGCTTTGTTCAATAATATTCCCGCTCGCTTCTTCCTTCTCTTCCCACAAGTCAGTCTCTCTCTCTCTCTTTCTCTCCTCCCATTCTTCTCTTTCTTCAAACATCAAACAGAGTGAATGCTATATTTTTGCTATCTTTGCTTATTTTGTGCTTTTGTTGTGTGTGATTTGTCTGTGTTTTTACTGAATTAACTTATTTTCAACATTGTCTAATCATCTAAAGGACGCTGGTTAATCATATTTTATGATTTAAAATGGCTTCCTCGTCATCCTCATCATCATCTAATGTCCAATTAAGTCGCAAGTTTCGTGAAATATGTTCTGATCTCAACCTAGATCGGGCTACTGCTGATGAGGCCTACAACTCTTTCCAACGTATTCAGATCAATTACACTCTTGAGGTAAGTTAATTAGACTGTGCATTGCCTGAGATAAGAAACAGAGTCCTCATTAATGAGTACTGATTGAATGTTTTAAATCGTTCCTCCTTTTTCTGATAACTGTCGTCCATGTTTATTTCAAGCATTACTGAGTATTGTGCATCTTACCCATGTATTTAAACTAGTTAATTGTTGCTCTAAATTTTCTCTTGACTATATTTTATCCAATTTTTGTTTATGCGTCTTTGACTTTTCTGCTGTCACAGGGTGAAAAGATACATTGGCTTGCTTGCGCCCTTTATGTTGCTTGTCGCAAAGGAACTACTCCTACTATTGATGGAAAAGGTGGATATGTTGAAGGAAATTGTGTTTCCCTTACTCGATTATTGAGATCCTGCAAATTAAGGTAAAATATATGACAGAAAATCTTATGGTTTCAACAGTTTCTAACCCTCTTTTTTCATTTTCAGTTTGATTGAATTTTTCAACAAGATGAAAAAATGGTCTGACATGGCAAATTTACCACACGAGATGAAGGAAAGGTTGGATCTACTTGAACGCAATTTTCATGTATCAGGCGTCCTTTTCGGCAAGCTCGGAAACATATTCAAAGATTTATTCAAGAGCCCAATTCTTTCTCCGACTAAACAAGCATCAAACCGGAGTCGTAAACAAAGGTTAGTTTTTATTGCATATGCAGGTCTAGATCAACATTATCTCTTTTTTATCTCCATTCTGCTTTTACTAATCAAATATTACTTTATTTCTTGCAGGAAGCTGAGTCTAACCTCTGGCCATGTATTTTCTTTCTGTTGGACTCTATTTGTTCGCGTTAAGGCTGAATTTAAAATGATTAGTCATGATCTGATCAACTCTTATCATCTTTTATTAGCATGCATCGATTTTTGTTTTAGTAACGTCCTTGTCAGTGAAAACGCTAAAGAATTATTGAACTCAGAATTTTCCGGTAAGAAGAATGACATCATTTCCTATGAACGTTGATTAATAGCCCCTTGTTTTCTATTTTAGAACTTCCTCCTGGATTCTTTCAAGACGAATTCATTGCTCCTGAGCCCGTACCCTGCATACTAGAGACTTTATGCAACAGATGGAAAGATATCTGTAAGGAGGATAGCTGTGTCGAGGCTAAAGGAATTAAAGAGTACTGGTTTAAACCTTGTATCAAACGAATGATTGATAAGAAAATATTCCGTTGTCGTAATCCAACTCATTTTCTAGGATTTTTAGACAATGCGTATTTCGAAGCTAATTTGTAAGTTTGATTGCCTTAACTTTTAGACCATTCCAGTCATATTTTGTATTTTTTTTTTATTTTTAGGAAAGCTATTACTAAAGAGTACGACCACTTTGTTCTGAATATTGGTAATTTTGACGAGAGAAACTTCTTAAGTGATAATGCTGATGAAGAATTAGGTGCTCCACAGGGTGACTTTGAAGTATATCTCAATAATGTTCAACAACGAATCAAAGATTCAAAAAGCTTAGCTCCACAAACACCTCTCAGCAATCGCCATTATTTGGCCAATAGAGAAAATATGGGCTCTTTTACTCCTGTCACAAATGCTGTTCGAACAGTCAGTCGTTTACAATCTCTCCTTTTGGACTGTAAGCCAGAACCAAGTCCCGGGCTAGTTGAAATCTTTGCACAATGCACCACAAATCCTAACGATAGAATCGTTGAAAGAATCAAAGAGCTTGGAGATGAATTCTTGAAAAACTATTGTCAACCTTCAGAGGATCATGGATTCTCATCTCCATCAGCCTCAACTCCATATGATCCTACAAAGAAAATGTTGAACTCTGGCATTACACTGTACTTCAAATGTTTAGAGAAGATCATCGGACGAGAGTTGAAAAAGTGGTCTGAAGCTGAAAAGAAGAGCAATCTTACCAATTCATTATCACACGAGCTTTTCCATCTATCTTTATTCGCATGTTGCATGGAAATTGTTTTATTTGCATACAACTCTGAGAAAAGATTTCCCTGGATAGTGAATATTCTTAGTGACTATCATGGTTTTCAACCACTGCATTTTTATCGAGTCATTGAATTAATAATCCGAGAAGAAGACGGATTATCGAGAGATATCGTCAAACACTTGAATACAATCGAGGAGCAGATCTTGGAAAGTGCAGCATGGAAGACTGGGTCAGTTCTTTGGGAAATGATTAAAGTTAATGGCTCAGTTCCTGCTTGTCAAGATGTTTCTCTAGCCAATCCATCTCATGATTCTAATACTATGTCTCCGGCACCAGCCACACCCCGTCGTTTAGATGGAATTTTTGCATCTCCTTTGCCACCAAGTATGAGCGATCGATTTATATCTCCTATGGGTAACACTAGGCGCAGGTTATTTGACAATGAACAATATATTCAAGTTTCTATCCCAGGTATGACTTTTTTAATAATATTTGATGAATGTCTGTTCCATTTATTCATAAACTTTTGTCTTTTTCATTAGCGCAAACAAATACGGGCGAAGTTCGACTTATCCATGTTACCTTACAACCACAATCTACTACAAACCTTGAAACTAATTCTTCAGTACCCAAGTCTGAACCACCTAAGGTCAACAAAGCTGGATCTCTCGGACTATTTTTCCGAAAAGTTTATCATCTGGCTTGGCTGAGATTGAGAGATTTATGTGACAAATTGAATATTAACGATGAAGATCTTCGTCGAAAAATTTGGACTTGTTTCGAGTTTTCGATACGTAATCATACTGATCTCATGCGTGATCGTCATCTAGATCAGATTTTAATGTGTGCTGTCTATGCTATGTGCAAAGTTACCGGACGCGATCAAAGTTTCCAAGATATCATGAAATGCTATAGACAACAGCCTCAAGCCTCCAGTCATGTAAGATTAATATATTGACTTTGTTTTTAATCGTATAACAGCAAATGCATCTATAATAATTGATTTTCATTTTTATTTAGATTTATCGAAATGTGCTATTGACAAATCGAAAAAGACGAAACTCTACTAGCTGTGAGAATTCTCGTAATTCTGAATCTAGCTCCCCCAACCAAGAAGACAATAAAGAGCGCATTAGATCATCAAGTACTCTCCCCGTTCCACATCCTAACAGTCAACCTCCAACCCCTACTCGATTAACTGGAACAGGATCTAATTTTGATTTTCCTGAAGAAAGGGGAGATCTTATCATGTTCTACAATCAAATTTATATTCCCGAAGTAAAGCAATACATTATGAAATTTAATGCAGAGGTAATTTTTTCTCCGCCTATTTAGCTTAAATATTTTACAATTGTTCAATTTGTACTAAATCTTGTTTTATATTTCTTTTTCTACTCTTAGGCTGGTTCTCCTCCGCTCTCACCTCTTCCTAAACTCGCAGCTAATTCTATATCTCCGTATCGCCGGCTATCAAACAAACACTCTTTATTTATCTCTCCTATGAAGGCTAATCTTTTCCCTCCCTCACCTCGACGTCCTATGTCTTATCATTTCTTACGAAGCCCTGCTAAAGACCTTAAAGCTATCAACTCAATGATGAAACTTAATTCCTCCTCTGGTAATGAGAAGAAAGTTATCAAGAGAATATTGCAAGATGATACTAATGAAACAAATTCTGATACTCGACGACATGGTGCAGAAAAACCTGTACTACGATCCATGATCGACAACATTTACACTGAACGTCAAGAAGATGGTGACGATACTGAAGATAATGGTGATGTTGATATGGAATAAAAGCTCATTTCATGTCATTATATTAATAATCTCTCCTTTATTCCTTTCTGTCTAATATCTTATTGACTTTTCTTGTGTCTAGGCTTTTTGGTTTCTTTGTGCCTTATAATTTGATTTATTCCTGTGTTGTTATTTCGCAGCAAACATTAATTAGATGATAATTCACTAATTTACTTCTCCTCCTCCCCTTCGCTTCTTCCTCATTTTGTCTCGTGAACATTTTCAATTAAATAAAATATATCTATATAACGGTGATCATTCTCATAGAATTAAAAAAGTAATTTTCATTCACAATTATGACTCTTTATTGTTTATTGAGACCAAAATTTTCAAAATCATATTAGCTTGTAAAATTTGAAGTGGTATTTCGTGATTTGCATCAATCAAATATTCAATTTCAATTATCTAGTTGTGAATATATGATCATGTAAAATCGTATTAACAGCAGATTTAATCTTCATGTCTTTTAGGAAATTTAAAGTCAATTAAATTTGAAAAAGAGACAAAAGATCACAATTGAATGACAAGAAGCTTTTTTAGATAGGTTTGTGGTTCCTTAAAGCTTGATGCGATTATTGAAGCACGCAAATATTTGCAAATTGCAATTAAGATACAACGAAAAATGAACAATACAATGACACAATACGACTAACAAATGACAGTGTTGATCAGGCCCACATTAAATTTGACCTATGAAGTGGATTAATGGCTAAATTCAAAATGCCTTCTAAAGAGTCACCAGACAAAGATTGAGGGTCAATATTGATGATACTCTTTTTGCCATTAAAATAAGTGAATTCGCCATCTTCTTCATTTTTCATCCTTCTACTATGAACTTGATTATAAGGAGATTTGGATTGAATAACTTGACTAGTTGATTCATCAAAGAATATTTGACCAATGTGAGCAACATTTCCATTTGCATGAATTCGGTAGTGAATATGTGGAGTCCTTCCAGGATAATGGCCAGGGAACAATGTTTCAAAAGTTACGGTTCCGTTCTCATTGGTAACTTGAGTTCCTCGTAAGAATCGTCGAGGATCTTTAGGATACATTTTTTCTCTTTTCACTCGAGGTTTGTCCATGAAACCAGAGTAAATGCCTGATGACGAGAAAAATATTTAAAATTGTTTTGAGATAAATTAGTAACTTATTGCCTAAATTAAGGCAAGATGGGATTTAGTATTGGAAAGATGGGTAGTTAGTTGAAATTAGGTATAAAAGAGACTTTTCAAGTTCAGCACATTCAGCTGTTTTGATAGAAAGCTGTATTTACCTGAATAATCAGGTTGCCAGATATAAACCTTGGCTCCTTTGATGGGCTTACAGGTATTGAAGTCTACCAAATTTAGGGTTACATTAAGACGTATTCCGATTCTGTCTTCGACAATATTACTCCGTATGATATCCTCTTCGATGAAATATGGACCTTCACCAACTTCAGGACTTAACGAACACTCAGTAAATCTGGTAACAAATGATTGCTTAACGCTTTCTTGGGAGCACTGACCTTCTTCAGGTGATGGAACTACTTCTTCCTTAGACGCACAAGAGTTACACAAGGAAGAAGTAATCAACAGGCTATGAATTAAAAAAACGTAGAAACCTAGTTTAATGGACATGATTAACCTCCTCCTGGAAACACCACTTGCAATATGATGGGTACCTATCACAGTTTCAACGTTGCTCTCAATTGAAATGATGACATTTCCAGGTACAGTTTTATTAGCGAACCAAAACATTGAAAACTGGTTTGAGGGTAAAAACAGATTGAGATCACCAATTGATACTTAAAATATCATCTCACTTGAAAGTAATTGTTATTGTTTCGACTGACTGGATACTCGCGAACATTTGTACATTATATGTGTGAAAAGAAAATAGATAATGTAAATTAAATTCAATTTAATGACAATTATAGATTTGACTTGATCATTTTGATACTCATGAAATGGAGGGCTGTTACTAAAAAGACACAATCAACACAATTGTCAAATTTATACACAAATTGATTTTATATTTACAGTATAAGAATGCCCAATTTAACTGGAATGATTTCAAAAGATTATTAATGAAATATCCGAATCTCAAACATCTTTCGTTGAGGAATATTCACTGCATGAAAGATGAACATGTCGAGAAATTGGTTCGCATTTTACCCAATTTAGTGCTACTTAATATTGATACTTACCCTACAATAACTAAAAGAGCTGTTGATATCGTTGATGATTATTGTAAAAGAAATGGACAATCAAATGTTACGCCGAAAAGAATTACGATGAAATTAAATCAGATTGGCCTCAGTTATCAACTAAAGAAGAAAAAATAAGCCGAGGCTTTGATTTCATGAAACATTGTTTTCTTAAAGAAAGTTATCACTTTCCCCATTTCTTGGTTCCTTTTGATTATTGAAACCATTATTCTTATTTAAATATGCTTCACTCTATTCGGAGCGCTTGAATTCAATTTCTATTATTTAATCGTTTTATTTCGCCATCTATTTTCTTAATGGATATTATCTATTGTCTAACCTAAAGAGATATCGACATGACCAAAACTAACTAATTTTGTGAACTTACAACTTTACATGAAACCAAATTCACGTTAATTCACTGCTGACATCTATGTAAACTAAAAAGAAAAAAAAGCTAATTTAAGTCAAATCATTAAACGGTTCACAGTTAAATCTTTTAGCCCTTACTTAACAATCACCAGATTTTAGGAAAAGCTTCTTGTTCTCTTTATTTTTTATTATACTATTTTATTTATCAATTATTTTCCAATGTTGATCAACGAACTTCCCGATGATTGTTTGCTCGCCGTTTTCGATCAGATTAGTTACCTGGATGATTTAATAAACTGCTACAAAGGTAATTACAAATCATATTTATTGTGTCTCAATTGTACCAAGTTTGAAAAGGATATGGTTAGACGTTCTTGTGTTACATCGACGCAATTGTTGACCAGGAGGAAATTTAACAGTTCCTAGTCAGTTTGCGAGAAACCAGCAAACATTGTTTCAACTTTAAAGTGTGATTGTGGCCCAACCCGATATCTTACTCAACATTTGATGTCAAGTAATGTTTTCTTGGTTCTGAAGGCAATTGAATAATGATTGGAAAAACAACTAAATTTTTTAATTAAATATTTCATTACAGTGTGTGTTAGATGGAACTATTTAATTCCTGAGCGAACTAAAAAAGTTAAATATCTGATCGGTAAGATTTCAATCTTCATTTGTCCTAATTCTCATTGTGATCAATTTATTTATCGTTCCAATTTATGTTTGCAGTGCAAGGTGGAGATTATGAAGTCCGTGGTTATTCATCGGATTGTGTTTATTATAAAGAAGCAGATGAGGTTTATGGCACCTGTCTGAGCAAATTATTTCCAAATTTAATAGTAAGTAAAAGAAATTTAATAGTGATATTAACAAAATTTGTAATTTTCTTATAATACATCTTATCCACTTAGATATTTGAATTTTGTACGCTCAGATGCCCAGATAGAGAATTTTGCAAGTGTATTGTTTCATTTGTCAGAAATCAGGGAACTTTGAAAGGCTTAATCCATTCATATTCCGATCCAATGGAAGAATATTGTGAAACACTCGAAATGCTATCTACCAGCTCAAAGCAACCCAGAATATCAAATGGTTCCAGAATGAAACAATTGGAAACTGGAGGTCAGGATTCTCTTGAGGCTGTCCAAAGATATTCACATGATTTTCCAAATCTTGAAATGCTGCAAACATCTATTGTTAATAATGGTAACTATAAAGTACAATTATTTTTCTGAGAAATGTTTGCTCATAAAAATTCTATCGTTCATCTGCAGACCATCGCGATAGATTACGAGTCCCACTATTTGAAAAGCTTAAAATACTGGCACTATATTCCGATGACACGAGAGGCATTTTTTATGGTTTTCAGTTGATGGATTCATGTCCGAGTTTACAGAGTGCCCACATTTGCATACAAGCGGACCGCTTTTTTGTTGATGAAACAGTAAAACACGAATGTTTGCAGGACTTAGCGATAGAATTTGTAAGTATTCGATTTGAAATGTAGTTACTTTTTTAGAAGATAAATATTTATTCAGATACAATTCAAATTAAAATAAACAAGGTTAAGTTTTTCAACATACCTTGGTTATCTAAATTCAAAATTAATCATATAAACTAATTTATTTTATATTTGCAGTGCAACGGTGAACAAATCAACTGGAATGATTTAAAAAGATTGCTAATGAAATACCCGAATCTCCGACATCTTAGGTTGCAGGGATTGAACATGAAACATGGGCAGATCAAGCAATTGGTTCACATTTTATCAAATTTAGTTCTACTTGATGTTCGTGAATGTCATAAAGTCACTCAAAAAACTGCTGATTATGTTCAAAATTATTGTAAAAGAAATGGAAGATCAATCAAATTTTACTTCGATGGAAATCCTGATTCAATCAAAGCAGATTGGCCGCAGTCATCAAATAAAGAAATACAGTTTGTAGCTTTTAGTCGAGGCTTTGATTTCATGAAGCATTGCTTTTTTGCAAATATTTTTTCCATTCCACGTTTCTTGATTCCTATTGATTATTGATACCACAATTTGTTTCAATTATATTATTCTGTTGCTATTAAAATCACAAGGCTAGACTAAGTCAACATTAAAGGGTCATCTTTTAAAAATTTATTCAAAAAGATCAGTTGATCAAGTTTAAATCTGTAATTTGAGATGGTTGAACTTATGAACAATTTCAATTTTGCAATCTATTGAAACAATATTATCTTGTTGTCTTAATTTTGTTGAAACTGAAAGAAATGATTTTCCATTTGTTTTTGTTTTTTTCAATCATATAAATCTAGTCCGAAAATGCCATAATTTTGAACTTATCTCATATTTACCATTCAATGAAACAGTTTCATTGAAATGCTTGTAAAAATTTCCCATTTATCAAAGCTCGTAATATTTTTATCGATACAATCGAAGGTTATTATCGTATCGAATATCTAGATCTTAAATGATCCGATATAGACTCAAATGAAAAATCCTTCAACAACTTATTGTATCTCTTGAAAACAAACAAATTATGAAAATTAGATTTACATTTCATTACAATGAGTAAATTTCATTTTATGGTGACTATTTTTAAATTTGTTGTGATTTAAATGAATAATCAGACATCAACCACTTGTTTGGTGGTCCACACTGGTTTTCTTATCAACTTATATCTTCGTTATTCTTCAAGAAAAAACATATTTCTAAAACAAGTGAATAATAAAAGTGGTTAAAGATAATTGTTTGTGAAAATGAATGGTTTCTCTGATAGCCTGTCGAGTTCACCTGATGAATGGTCACTCGAAAATGTATCTCAATGGTTAGAATCAAACAATTTCGACTCCTACACTGAAATTTTCTTTCAACACAAGATTGATGGGAAAGCCCTTCTCATTCTCACTGAAGATGATCTCCGTAAAGCTCCGCTTTCCATCAAAGTCCTTGGTGACATCAAACGCCTTTCTTTGGCCATTAAACGTCTTCAAGCATCTAATATGGAAACTGTAAAATCTCTAATATCAACTTCATCTGTGAATTCAAGCCACTCTCACACCTCCAGTCATTTTACAACCTCAAACAGCCATACTTACAATCGCCGAGGTCATCATCATCATCACCATCACCATCATCATCATGGCGGCAACAATGGCAACTTCCATCCTCTTAATTCACATAACCTCAGAGAAAGTGATGCCTCAGCTTTATCGTCAACCTCAATTTCATCTGATGGTACTTTCTATTCTTCCTCGGATGAAGATACTATTAAAACATCTAGACCCGAAACTCGAAATAGCTCTTCCATTCATAAAGCTAGACCCGAAGCTTGGAAAGCCTTAGTGGCTATGGGTTATTTCTTCATGGTCACATGGATCACAGCTTTTGTTATGGTTATTGTCCATGACCGAGTTCCTGATATGCAAACCTACCCTCCATTACCTGATATTTTTCTTGACAATGTACCTCTCATACCGTGGGCTTTCCAAATGTGTGAGCTATGTGGTGTAGCATTGTTCCTTATCTGGTCTTTTATACTCATATTTCACAAGCATAGGTAAATATTTAAGGCTATTTACTCTCTTTTTTCTTTCCATTCATATAAGTGCTGTATTAATGTCAGATGTTGATCATGCCCATGGAAATTCCATCACTCATTCCATTTGTTTTCTTTATGAGTATGTTTAGCAGTTATTCATAAAGTATATTTTAGAGAGTAACACTTTATTTGTGTTATCGTATATTGATTACACTCAATTAAATGGGATCATTAGAATAGTAATGCTAAACAATGACGTTTTCATTTGGAGCTTCACAATGCTGCATTCAATTTGCATACTGAATCATTAACACTTGAAGATAAATAAGTTGAGCTTATCTTTATCTTTTAGTTAAATATAAAATTCTACTAAACAGAACCTTATTAGTAATCAGTTTTAACACTACTATCATTGCTTTATTTCCGTCAAATATGTTTGATCGAAATATTTAGGCAAATAGACGATAGAATGAAATAGTCATCTCAGAATTATCAATAACAAATTCTCATTGTTTTTAACGTATTGATCTAAACCCGTTACGTGTCAGTTCACTTGGTCTATCCATCTGATTCCATGAATTCTTTCTGATTGATCTGAATGTTGAAAAAAACAAGATAATTATTTTCGAGGTGTTCAACTCTTATTTCTTATTTGCTCCTACTTACTTTGTATAATTTTTTGTTACTAAAAGCATTTGGTTACAAAAAAAGCTCTGCAACTCTTTTTCCTATCAACAAGATCACCTTGACACATGTATTTTTTATTGAGTTAAATTTCTTGAATACATGCTTGACCAAAGTGAAAATCACTCTATCCAATTACAAAAATAACGAAGGTCAATAATGTTCCACTTATCAAGGCAAATCTGTTACACAATTTTCAAAGTTAACTTCTACTTGTAATATATGAATTGTTCAGTAAAAAGCCAATTAAATTCTATGACATCAAATAATGATAAAGCAACAATCACACGGGCAAACAATGAAATGATTAATTAACTGTTTCACTTTCCATTTCAATAATTATTTATTCTTTCTTTCCTTCCGTCCTTCCGTTGCATCGATATTCTGCTAACAGGTTTATTCTGCTTCGACGGATGTTCTCACTTTTTGGATCAGTATTTCTATTGCGATGTGTGACCATGCTTATAACCTCTCTATCCGTCCCAGGTCGACATCTTAAATGCACTGCTCGTGTGAGTACCTGTTAAACCTTTCAGCCAACCATATCACCTTAATCATAATGAATTCTATAATTACTCAATTATTCATATTGTTACTTTTTCTTTTAGCCTTATGGAAGTTGGATCGAAAGGTTGCACCAAGCTTATTTGATTTGGGCTGGTGGAGGAATGTCCATTAAAGGAGTACGAACTTGCGGAGATTACATGTTTAGTGGTCACACCGTTACTTTGACGTTGCTCAATTTTTTCATCACTGAATGTAGGATACATTTTGATAAATTTTTGTCTCATTTCCCATATTCACAGAAGTCACAGATTTACATCAAATTGATTATTTATTTTTAAAGACTAGCTTCACCTCGACTGTTGGATGTTTTACTTTGCGTCTTAGTCTCATTGATCTAAGTCAGTTGCATTCAATTGATACATTTTTCTAGCTTTAGATTCCAAGAAGCAATAACTTGTTAGTTCAAACATTTCTGCTCCTGAACTTGATTCCAAATCATATGAAGGCTAATAATAGAAGCATGTTTAGTTATTTCCTTGAAAAGAGTTGACATTTTAAAGATAATCAGTTTACTAAGTACTTGATCTTGATTTTGCTGTTTCCGGTTATCTTTCGATTTAACACTGAATGAGCAAAATGATTGATTTCTATAAGATTAGCTTAATTACTCAACACAGCATTTGTTGAAATTCAAGATTGGCTTTTGTTATGGTTTCAAAACATTAGTTCATTTTATTAGATTAAATCTAAATCTGATTATGTTTACATTATTTCTTTTACTCTCACTCGCTAATTAAAACGTTTTATATCCATTTTTGCTATACACATCCTGAACTATCAGTTTCTAATATTCTACTTTATTTTTCTCTTATTTTCAGATACTCCTTCACGAATGTATTATATTCATACATTGTCCTGGGTTTTGAATCTTTTTGGGGTATTTTTCATTCTTGCTGCCCACGAACATTACTCCATTGATGTATTCATCGCTTTTTATATATCAACTCGACTTTTTCTTTATTACCACACTCTTGCCAATAATCGAGCATTATACCAAAGAGATCGAAAGCGAACACGGATTTGGTTTCCACTTTTCTATTTCTTTGAATCAGGTGTCAATGGAATTGTACCTAACCACTTCGAACAACCATTCAGATTGGATTCCATCAAAAATTGGGTTCAAAAAATGAGAAAATCAAAAGAATCTTGAATTTGACTGAAAATACGAAAAAACGATTAACTACAATCAAATTCAGCATTCGTTAAGTTAAATTTCTAAAAGCTTCAAGTTTATTTTTGTCATCATAAAGCTTATTACATAGTTTATTTTTGTTTCAATCAGTAATTTTGGTGTTCTAGGATAATCTCATTTGATTTTTCTTGTCATAATTTTGATTTATTTTTTGCTCTTTACCGTATAGAAACTTCTTCAATTCATCTTGTCATCTATTTGATTGTTTCAAAACTATGCATAGAAATTTATCTTTACTATTAATATTATCTCATTGTTTTTTCGCTGTAATATACTATTCCTATGTAATTTCTGGTAAATTTCATTCAATTACATGTAAAAGTTAGTGTAATCTAAATGATTCAGTGTACACTCTAACATCCATTTAAGGAAACTTTTGGTTCATCCATTTAAGAAATCATACATCAACTGAATAAGCCATCATAAAGTAACCTACGGTCACAGTAACATTAATGTGTTGGTGAATTGTTTTTTTTGTAATTTCATCATTCATATCGTGTATTCGGAGTTATTCGGTGTAACCGAAGTTGGTTAATAAAATGTTTCATTTATAATTTATGTACCTGGGACGTAACTTTAATGCTAGGCGTAACTACTATCAGTTACGTCTGCAGCGAAGAGTAGCAAGAGATAGCACGAAAAGGTATGTCAATAATTCAATATTTTGAGAATCCAAAAATCATTATTTTTTGACCAAACACTAGATTTCATCTTGAGAGAGATATTAGAGATATTTATTACTAAGCATTTTGACGAAGTTATCATATTTATAATCAGACAGTGCTTAGCTGCCTCAGTAACCGCTGATTACTTGGTTAGTATCAACGAGTAAAGTAAACTTACAACGTTGTTAGTCGATAATGGAGAGCCTGGAGTACCAGTCCGCTCTTTACGGTTACGAAGGATCTGAGTCAGATGAATTATCTTTCAAAACAGGTATTTACGTAGTTACCAATATTAACATATAACATGGTTACTAACTTTCATTTTTCATTGTGTTTATCTTTTAGGAGACATTTTTGAAAAACTAGAAGATGATCAAGGCTGGTGCAAAGGACGCAAAGATGGTCGAGTTGGCCTTTACCAGCAAACTATGTAACTCCAATCGTTAAGTGATGGGCCATTCTTCCTAGCATCAACATCATCATTCCATAATTGTGTATGAACTGATGCCATTAGAAGAGTGGTGCTGAATAAAGCAACAAATCAAACAATGTCTCGGCGCGTAGAAGGGGAAAAGGCCCCTTGCACCAGAAACTTTCCGACCACTCTGTATGACACTGATATCAATACTGTCTACACCGTCATTATGGTCAAATTCAAGCTATATCGATAAAACACCTCACCAACCAATTTTAAACTATTTATTAACTACCAAATTCATTTACTGGATTAACTTTCTTCTTTTGAATAGTAACATAACTATTCATTTTATCTCCAATTCTTGAATATTCTCGGTTAAATTCTGATTTAGATTTATTTACCTTTTATTGTTATATATTTTATTCCAACCGATGTCATAATGATATATTGTAGCTAACAAGGCAATATCACATTTCTCTCTTCTTTTCTATTTTGTGAATTTCATTCCAGAATCAGTCTTTTTTGTTGAATAACAGAATCAGATCATCCAATTAAGTCTTACCAATTGTCATTACAAAAAAATCGTCCATACAACAAATACAATTTACGAGCAACAGATGACGCTGCACTCATTTTTGCTTCAATTTATTTTGGTTGTTCCCGCTTCAATTTAAAAATGTCAGTTAAAGTTATCTTTACATCTTTTTAATGGGATTTGTTTGCATCTTATTTAATTATTTAATTATTGTGTTTTTAGTTTAAAATGTGTGAAGCCATCAAAACTCTTCAATCACTGCCTGAATTAACTCTTAAAAAGAATGAGCTTCAAAACCAATACAACAATATAACGAAGGACTGTTACTCGTTGCTTTGTGATTATCTCGGGATAGAGAATGATGGAGAAAATCCTGAACAGAAAATTGCAAATGAAATTGAAAAATACAAAGAGTTGACAGCCGCTACAAAAGCTGAGATTGTTAAAATAGAGAAAGAGAAAGTCAAAGCTAAGGCGAAATTTCTTGCCACGAAAGAAAAATCGGCCGAATTTGAAAGCTTGGTCGCCAATACTGAAGGTGCAGTTGATGCTCAATCCAAATTAAATTTTAAAGAGTTCAGTAGACGAATGGCAGCGACTTATAAAACTGGTGAAAACAGCAAAGCTTATTTAGGTAAGTTTTCTAAAACTTAACTATATCCATAATTTTATGATTATATTCTTAATGATTTTACTTGCATTTGCAGTATATTTCAAAACTGGAATTGAAGACCAAGCAAGAGGCATCAAGATTGACGATCCAACTAAAACTAAAGAACAGAAGATGGCCGAATTTTGGAAATTGTTTGAATACATCGATAAACAAAATACAAATGTTAAGATAATACCTAACTAATCAATAAATAAATAACAGATTTATGCTAATTTATGATACCTCTGGTTTCAAAGCTTTTAAATGTTAATTACCTAAACGTTAACTACCAAAATCGGTGACTCATAAGTAAATATGTTCCCTTGTTAGGTCCTAAGTGAAAACTTGACTACTTTGAAAGTACTTGTCTCATGTTATTGTTAGGATTAACGTTTACATTTTCAAGTGGATTTCTCATTTATGTGGTATCCATTTTCTCAATTAAATCTTTGATTCATTATTTTGTGATTGTTTGTATTCATATTCATCCATTGTTGATAAACATTTATGTACAAAAAATCTCCAAAATTATTACATCAACCCAAATTCAAGCAATATGAGATAACCTAAACCCGAAGCTTGGAAAGCCTTAGTGGCTATGGGTTATTTTTTCATGGTCACATGGATTACAGCTTTTGTTATGGTTATTGTCCATGACCGAGTTCCTGATATGCAAACCTACCCTCCATTACCTGATATTTTTCTTGACAATGTACCTCTCATACCGTGGGCTTTCCAAATGTGTGAGCTATGTGGTGTAGCATTGTTCCTTATCTGGTCTTTTATACTCATATTTCACAAACATAGGTAAATATTTAAGGATATTTATACGAGTTAAGATTGTATTCGTCTCATATACAGTACTCTTTTCAATAGTACAGTGCAGTATAAGTTGCATAAATGTCAGATGTTGCTCATTTACATCCATTCCATTGATAAATTTCATCGATATTCTACTAACAGATTTATTCTGCTTCGACGGATGTTCTCACTTTTTGGATCAGTATTTCTATTGCGATGTGTGACCATGCTTATAACCTCTCTATCCGTCCCAGGTCGACATCTTAAATGCACTGCTCGTGTAAGTACCTGTTAAACCTTTCAGCCAACCATATCACCTTAATCATAATAAATGCTATAATTAATCAATTATTCATATTGTTACTTTTTCTTTTAGCCTTATGGAAGTTGGATCGAAAGGTTACACCAAGCTTATTTGATTTGGGCTGGTGGGGAATGTCCATTAAAGGAGTTCGAACTTGCGGAGATTACATGTTCAGTGGTCACACCGTTACTTTGACGTTGCTCAATTTTTTCATCACTGAATGTAGGATACATTTTGATAAATTTTTGTTTCATTTTCCATAATTCACAGATTTGCATTAAGTTAATTTTTATAGTTGAAGAGTAATGTTTACATCATTTAATTTACTCTCACTCTCTAATTAAAACGTTTTATATCCATTTTTGCTATAAACATCCTGAACTATCAATTTCTAATATTCTTCTTTATTTTTCTCTTCTTTTCAGATACTCCTTCACGAATGTATTATATTCATACATTGTCCTGGGTTTTGAATCTTTTTGGGGTATTTTTCATTCTTGCTGCCCACGAACATTACTCCATTGATGTATTCATCGCTTTTTATATATCAACTCGACTTTTTCTTTATTACCACACTCTTGCCAATAATCGAGCATTATACCAAAGAGATCGAAAGCGAACACGGATTTGGTTTCCACTTTTCTATTTCTTTGAATCAGGTGTCAATGGAATTGTACCTAACCACTTCGAACAACCATTCAGATTGGATTCCATCAAAAATTGGGTTCAAAAAATGAGAAAATCAAAAGAATCTTGAATTTGACTGAAAATACCAAAAAACGATTAACTACAATCAAATTCAGCATTTTTACTAATTTATGATAACTCTAGTTTCAAAGTTTTTTAATGTTAATATAAGTCAATTATAATATGCAAAGTTGAGATCAGTCATGATCATATTTTCCCTCTTTTTCTTGGATTAACAGCACAGTTGATGATAATAATAATGAATCCAATCTTGAGCATAATCAATTTAAAGCACTTGGTGCATCATCAATATAATAGTAGCATAAGCGAATGAGAAGAAGGTATGACAAATGTAGATAGTCCAAAGATACGATGAATAGCCGAGACCAAATTCAGTTTCTTTTATACACAAGCCAATCATGATTCCAATCTCAAGCAACATGAACATTCCAAATCCGAAAGGAATAAAAAAATTTTCAATGGTTCGCCCAAAGATCGCCATAAATAATACTCCAAGGCAGGCAGCCATATAAACATATAAAGGTATTTTCATCTTGTGTTTAACCCAACTAACGTAGTTTGAGCTTATTGTCACATCACTAGGAAGGACAATCAATGGAACAGCTGGTATAATTTCAGAAATCGAGGAAGAATTGATAAAGCCAATTGTATATGGTGTGGTTACTGAGGAGGTTTCATTGGCTGAATGGGTCTCATTGGTTCCAGAAGCGTCGGTTATTGAATCAGTTTTAAGTTGATTAATATCACAGAGAGTGATAACACCTGAAGCTACAACGAAAACAACAAAAGCATATTTCAGCGTTAAAAATGTAAGGCTTCGTCGCTGTAATTGGGAATGTTTATTGTAACCATGATTCTTCTTGATTAATGGACGTCGTTGAGGTTGACCAATTATTGGTGAAAAAGTTAACAGCTCAGTCTCTTGATACACTTGAGGATTCATCTTGTTAATTGGTCGGATACGATCACAGCTAATATCAAAGGATCCCATCTGAGTGGATCAAAATTAGTCCGGATAGCAGCTATCTGTACACTGGTGACTAAAATTGATTCCGATTAAAAGCAATTTGAAATAATTTGTTCGGACGGATGAGTTGAAGTTCAATCCATAACTGGACAGACCAGTAGAGTATCATATCGGCTAATCCTGTCTACCTCTTGTGTCAAGTTCAATTCTTTACACAACAAGTCTCGACATTACCATTTTATGCTGATTGATTGTTTGGATGACAATGAATCAAGATATGGAAAATAAAAAGCAATCAAATGTTAATTGAAAGCAATAGTGGGATAAACAGGAGGAAAAAGAAATACAGATCACATGAAAAACGAAAAAAAAGATTTCCTTTTTACCTCTTGAATTTGACTTTTTGTTAACACAGATTTATAAAAAGTAACCAATTTTTTTTTTCTCATTCAATGTTTCATGATGAACATGGAAATGAAACAAAAAATAGAAGCAAAGGGGAAAGGAAGGAAAGAGAGGCTAAAGAATGGTTATCGACTGAACTAGTAACAGTGATCGATAATCTGAGTTAGCATGGTTTCCTAAAGATGTCATCCTAAAGTTGACTACTTTACTCATGATAGATTACATTTTAACGTGAACTATGTAAATTGTGATCTCATTTTCTGGTTACACTTTTAAAAAACCAGAAAAACTCATTTTATAATTAAACCAATTCATATTGGTGTAAATATTAGCAACTATTTGGCTGACCAATATAGCAACTGAACTATTAAACAAAATAAAGAAAATGCATTGATTAATTAGCAAAATGAACAATTGTAATATACGATAAAATGAATAATAAAAAGTAAATTCGATGTTTTTGCACCCAAGATCAGTGAATAAAATTATATGCCGTATTATTGATTAGTGAAACTGAGAAAGTACCAGTTTAGGCATTTGTCTCATTTCCCATAATTCACAGATTTGCATTAAGTTAATTTTTATAGTTGAAGAGTAATGTTTACATCATTTAATTTACTCTCACTCTCTAATTAAAACGTTTTATATCCATTTTTGCTATAAACATCCTGAACTATCAATTTCTAATATTCTTCTTTATTTTTCTCTTCTTTTCAGATACTCCTTCACGAATGTATTATATTCATACATTGTCCTGGGTTTTGAATCTTTTTGGGGTATTTTTCATTCTTGCTGCCCACGAACATTACTCCATTGATGTATTCATCGCTTTTTATATATCAACTCGACTTTTTCTTTATTACCACACTCTTGCCAATAATCGAGCATTATACCAAAGAGATCGAAAGCGAACACGGATTTGGTTTCCACTTTTCTATTTCTTTGAATCAGGTGTCAATGGAATTGTACCTAACCACTTCGAACAACCATTCAGATTGGATTCCATCAAAAATTGGGTTCAAAGAATGAGAAAATCAAAAGAATCTTGAATTTGACTGAAAATACGAAAAAACGATTAACTACAATCAAATTCAGCATTTTTACTAATTTATGATAACTCTAGTTTCAAAGTTTTTTAATGTTAATATAAGTCAATTATAATATTGAAATGTATTCGCAAAAACACAGTTCATTTTCATTCAGCTTGAATAACTAAAGCTACACCGGTTTATTGGTCGAGAAACCCGATATTGAAAATCTGATTTGGCTGGTACTATTAAAAGGCCATTAAAGCCATAAAAACAAAAATCCAACAATAATAACCAAAATATTTTATCTATTACTAGGGCGCTATCTGGTGATTACTGATTATACTAACCACCATAGCTCTGCTCTTTGGGTTTTATTAAAGCAAATTGTACGCCTCTTATCCAGGGGATTGTATGAAAATTGAAACCCATTACCTGAATGTTTACAGAATGAAAGTACCAATATTTTATAATTTTGGTGTATAGCTGTATTCATCTGGGCTGCAATTATCTTTCTTCTCTTTCATTACCTTCCCCTTCCTTTTATTTTTTCAATGAATTGATTAAATGTTTATTCCAATTATTCCATCTGTGTTAACTTTTGACTTGTTACCTTTTTCTCTCTTTGCCATCCATTATCACCATCTTCCTATTACCATTTCAGTGACCAGATTGTTGATACATCATTAAATAATGACTATATTATACATTTGAAGGACTAACATTTTCTGTCATTTCTCACATTTGTCAATTTTGAGGTAAATAACAGGCCAACTCATTTTGATCCTGAAAGCTCTTGATTTTCTTTTTCTTGTTTATATTGTGTGCTTTTTACAATGTAACTGTCGCTATTCAATGTTAATATTCTTGTTTCATTGTTTTATTCGGTAACTTTGATGTTAGCTCAGTGCAATAAGTAGACAAAATATTTGTTTATATCATTTTATTTTGTCATAAATACTTTAGTCCTGCCTAGCTGCAATTTTTCAATCATTGTCAATATAATTATTTGTATCTAAAAAAATCATTGATAAAATTTGATGTTTTTCATATCGTACTTCATCATGGAAATGCTTCTGGCTGATATGCTATACATTTAAACTCGATATATCAGGTAGGATATCTTCCTTGTGCGTCATAAAATCAAAATGTAAGTGAAATTTTGTTTTCTGTTTGATTTTTTGCTGTTTCATTTTTATCTCTCATGCTTTATTTCTCATATTTTTACAGGCTTCATCGGTCAAACTCACTCAATTTATACGATAGTAAAGGAAGGAACGGAGAAGCAAAAATGCTGACAGATGAGGTATATGCCAAGCCAAATGTTGAAGATGCTTTTTATTTACTTTATTTTTTATTTTGACTTGCATTTGCAGCTGGAAAGAACGAAGGAAAGGCTGCGTAAACCATGTGAAATGTGCTTAAACTACGAATTGCAATTACAGTCAATGCAAAAGAAAGAATCTGAGTTGTTGAAACAACTAAATGATAGTGAGGCAGTTTTAAAAAGTCGTAGAGATGATCTACGGCGTGAAGAAGCATTCCGAGCCGAACTGGAGGAGAAATTTGCTGAAGAAGCTAAAGAAATTGAGCTGCAAATCAATCAACTAAGAGAAAGGTTCGACTCATCAGCTACAGAACTAGCTGAAATTAGAAGTAAGAGTGCAATATTTCATATATCCTATCATGATCACTAATATTATTTGATTTCTAAATAATTTCAGATATTCTTACAAACTACTATGCAGAAGCAAGTGAAAAAATAATCAGTCTTACCAGTAGCAAGGAGGAAATGAATCGTCAGATTGAAAAACTTGCTGCTGAGAATGAATTGCTTCTGGGTAAACATATTGCCAAAAGTGACGAGCTTCAATCTGAGGTAATAGATTTGCCTGAAAAAATGGAGGATATGCAATTTTATTGTTTAAAGCTTCGTGAAGACTTGATCACAGCTTTGGTTGCGAAAGAAAGAAAAGAAGAAACTTATCGAAGTGAAATTCTCTTTCTTAAAGGTTAGTCCAGAGAATTTTTGATAATTATAGATTTCAACGAATTAAGCTTTTTCATTTCTTATCCAATAGAGCAAAATAGATCGGAGCAACAATCCAAAGAAACAATGATTCAAGATTTAACTGAAGATTATGACCGATTAAGAGAAAGTATGGAGCAGCTTACCATTAAATACAAAAATCTTAAAGAGCAGCTTGCGAGCGCTTCTAGTAAATTGTCCGATAGTGAAACATTAATAAGTGAAAATCAGAGAATTATTTCAAATCTCGAACAAGAAGTCCTCGAACTTAACAGTCTCAAGGTTGGTTTAAAATGATTGTCAATCTAAACACCGTATTTTATTGTCATAATCTCTATAATTACAGGTTAAACTGGAAGAAGAAAATTTAACATTCAAAAGTAAAATCCAAAGTTTACAAAATGACCTCCATAATAGTGAACAAGTTCAAAAAGATTTTGTCAAGTTGTCCCAATCACTTCAGGTAACTCTGAATTTACAATTATTCTTAAGCTTTGATTTTATTCAAATTTGTTGTTTTTACAATTTTGAGTATTTAAAATTTGTGCATAATGTTTAAATTTTTCAAAATTCATAGATTCAATTAGAAAAAATAAGACAAGCTGATACCGAGGTTAGATGGCAACACGAAGAAGATATTAATGAATGCAATAATTGCAAAAAGAAATTCCATTCTCGCAAAGAAAAGGTATTTTATTTTGATCAAAATTCCGAATGTACTTAACTCATTTGTTTCATTTCTCATCTTATTCAGCATCATTGTTCTCATTGTGGTAAAATATTTTGTTTTGATTGTAACAACAAAACCGTTTACGGTGGACCAAAGAATCGTAGTTTTAAAGTCTGTAATGTTTGCCATACTCTTCTCGATCGAGAGACTGCTCCATATTTCAGCAATGAGCCACCTCAAAGTCCAACATGATTATTTTGATTGATATAATTGTTAACCAAGAGTTTCTCAATCAATTTCTTGAAAAAGTATCAATCAAACATTAACATTTTCAATCAAACTTCCATTTGAATATTTTATTGATGTTATTACTATGGTTTTGGTCCTAATAAAAACCATCTTAAGGATGTAAGTGATACACTCTGAGAAACTAAATAATATTTATAAAGAATTACAATTGTTACATTCTAATTTAAATTTCTTTTTCTTGTAATGCTTAGATTAAAACCAGATTTGTTCATCCACCAATACAATTATTATATACCAATTGATCCACCTCATCAAAAAAGCTTGCCAACTGAGAAAACACGAGAATTAGCTGAACAAGAAATCAGTAGCAGCAAAAATTAACAATTTTAAACTTTCGTTTGCTAGCAAAGACGATTTTCATTCATCCAAAATTTTCTTAATGATAAATTTTGAAAACAACCGAGTTAACATGGAAACGATAAATTCAACTCAAAACAGACTAGTCTATTATGAAGATAAAAATGAAAATAAATAAAAACATCTGTTTTAAAAATTCTGGGAAATCATTTAAAAACAGTAAATGACTGGCTAAAGAAACAAAAGAACCTGCTTGGAGGAAGTACTTCTGCAACTTATTAAATAATTATTCGGATTAATCCAGATTATAAATTTGAAACATTCTCATTTTCGTTGTTTTAGTCGTAACAGCTCTTGGTTTTAAATATTTTCACGAAAACTATCGCATTATTGTGATGGAATACAAATCAGAAATAAATCAATTCAGTTTTAGCTAATAGATGAAAATTTAGTTTACCAAAAGATTTATCGTTAAAATACATTGGTACATTATATGGTAGAAAGCTTTTAGCTATGCTAATGAGTTAAAAAGCAAAAATTGTTAAGAAACAACTTATAAAGATTGCACAGTAATAGAATAGGATTATGTCAATTTCAATTTACCGTATAAAATAGAAATTAATAATCCTCTAATTGTTTGATAGTATCGTTTATCCTGGTGACAAATTTTGTGCAATGACGATTACTTGAAATTTCTAATGAAAATTCTTGAAATAATGCCATTCTCATTGAACATTGTTTTGAGTTTCAACCTTTCAGGCGTAAATTTCAACTTTCATCGACCTGCTGTTTCTTTCGACGGAAAAAGTTGGATGGACCTTTACGATTTTTGGCATCAGGACCTTTAGCCTTGCCACTGCAGCCAAGTTTATTGAAAAACGATGGACCTTTGCGATTTGAAGCTTCTGGTCCATAGCGGTTCTTAGAGTCTGCACCTCTCCATGGCATGTAAGATTTACTGTAAAAGGAATGGTTTTGAGTCGATTATATTTTCTCATTGATCATTTGATTGAGGAAAGAATTGGCCTGACTGATGCCTTGATTTAAAATGACTTACATTAAATTAAATATGTTTGAGCCTTTACGATTTGATGGATCAGGACCTTTAGCTACTGGCTTCTTTTTATCCTCGATAATGATTCCGTCTTCCCTTGTACTTGTTCCAATATTCAGCCTGAATAGACAGATATTTATTTGGTAAAAATATAGTGATTATTGCCAAGAATTATTAGCATGAAACTGAGAGCAAAAAATAAAACCAATATAAATAAATCGAAAACTGTAAAAACGAGAAAAAATAAAATAAGTAAAATAAATAAAAAAATGATATACAAAAATAAATGTATACAGTTAAAGTTAATGTTACGTTTTTTCTGGGTTAGTTTTTCTTTTGATGATTGGTGTTCCCAACATTGAAGCAATGAAAGCACCAGTTTGGGTAGATTTTGTATTGAGTGTTGTCAAAGTTGCCTGACTATCGGTCCAATCTTTTGGTAAATATTTTTCGGAATCTTGAGGAGTCATTGAATTTAAAAACAGGCGAGCTCGATCCTCATTAAAAGACGAACTTTCCAAGGCCATATTGATAAGGACTCTATCAGCATTCGGAAATTCCGTTTGCAAACTTTCAAACACTAAACAGAATGAAAGAAAATTATGGAATAACGAATTACTTATCATGATTTCAAACAAGAAGAGTAAATGTTAATAAGAATTACTTTTTTGCTTTTCAAATATGTTTGGTGGAAACTGTGTTTGCTTCGGTCCATGGGATGACTTTGGACGGGAAATTTTACTTTCGGTGTTTAAAAAAGTCGGTCTTATTGGCCCTTCCTTCTTTTTGTAGCCCATTTTCTCGATTCTTTCCATAACATCGCTAACATTATGATCACAATTGTAAAGAAGATCAAACAATACGATCTCATCAACATCAGGGTAGAGGATTTTGATGTAACGTAACTTCATCTTTGGTGAACCCAATGACTGGTATCGACCCACATGAGGGGCAAGAGTTGCAATAATCCCGGATATAACATCATGTTCACTATTATTATATCTGTAAAATCATTAAATTTATCAGGTTGATTAATTGATACTTAAATAACCAAACCGAAACTCAAAATATCAAAACTTTCAACAGCTGATAGCACTGACATTTCAATGATTAATACATGTTATCTAATTTACAAATGTAAACGATAAATTTAGTGCGGCAGAAATAAAATATCCTATGAATATGTAATTATCTGAAAGCTCAGCCTAAACCATTTTATCGATTTATTTCTGTCTGGTAAAGTGATACTCTTAAAGACATGACAAGCTTCAGCAGTATATTTAATTGTCTTGTTTTGATAGTTCAAGGGCAGTAATTTCGTCTGATTACTTACTTGCACAAAAGTTGCCTTATGGTTGTTGGGTCAACTGTAGGAAATTTAGCCTTCAATTTGTAGAATAGAGCTTCATCGGGTTGAGTTTGATATGTTTTAGCGTAACTTTCATTTTTCAAAATATTGGTGACCACGTATTCTCGATTAGCATTTCTTAATGAACGAAAGAAAGAAAGAATTAGTAAATTGTTCCAATCAAAATGTAAAAAATGAATCATATATGAAATATGTAAACATTAACACTAATTACTTTCGCAGCAGCTGAGCTATATAAGTTTCATCAACATCAGGAAACATCTTGTTAATACGCTGAACCGTTGAATCATTTGCTTTGTAACGGGCTGAAAAGGGCTGTAAGATGAGACAAGATCAGAAACGATCATGAATATTAAGTTATCAATTGATATTGGAGAAGAGCAAATCAGTTACCTGGTAATGACTTCTAATAGTGTAAGTGTGTGAAGGGGATGATGATCTCGATGACTGACAAGATCCTTGTTGTCCCTGTTGAAAGGATTGAAAAGACAAAACATTATTATAACTTAGGATTTTTGATAAATGATATCAACAATAATTTCTAAAATTAAGAAATACTTACAGTTCGGAAGAAATCCCATGCATTTGAAGCATATTCATTGAAAAAATAGCTACAAAACAAGTTGAGAAAACGTTTTTACAATTTTCATGAAAAAGGTTCACTAATAAAAAACAGCAGACTTACTACTTATTGGTCTTGGGGTCATATTTACATTGCCATCCAATGGGTAAAATATGATCATGTACCGAAATAGCGTATGATGGCGGTAAAGATGATTGTGATGAGCAGGATGGAGTTGACGGAATAGGACGAACAGTGGCCATTATAATTATCTAATTGTAAAAGCAAGATTTGTCATACGGCTTACTTGTTATGCTAAAAAGGTACAAACTGGAAAAAGGATAAGGATTAAAGGGGAAGGGATGAATTGGTTTATCTAATTAAATCAGACCATTTTAATCACAAGCAGATGAACTGTTCATTTCATTTATGAAATAGAAAAATCAGCCTCATCATGTTGACTGAAGAAGTCGAGGAAATTTCAACTATATACGCTTGCCTGGAATGATATCGATCTAAAAAGTATTGATTTTCGCGTTTCAACTTTCAATGAATTGCGCATTTTAACATTAGACAGACTCACTTGTTCATTTTGTTATCTGTTTTTATAAAATCTAAAATGATAACCATTAGCTAACAATCATGAAAGAACAAGCTTATTAATTTGATTTCCATTATGATCGACTTTGACAATCATTAACCATGAGAATCTATAATGAACTATTAACAGAGCAATAACAATTTATGTAGCTTTGAAAGATTGACAAAATGTAGTCTACATTGAGTTTAATAAAATTGTACAGCTGACTAGATTAGGTTTTGATATTAATTTAGTTTGACTTTTTATTGCATATTCGCCACTTTTTCAAATACAAAAAACATGTTATTTAATTTGTTACCTTTTATAGACAAGCGATAATACAATGAAAGACTCTGTAATGATAAATTACCTTTGCTTTTTTATGAAGTGACTTTTGTTTTGAGTGCATAAGATTACATTTGAGAGGGTTTGAGCAAGAAAAATGGGAAACTTGCGGTGCTTTTAAGTAAAAATTCACTGTTATAGCTTTTTATTAACAATAAAGTAATATGTTTTGACCAGAAAACGGTAAAATGTAGAACAATTTTCACTTTAATGAATTTAATTTATCTAAATTATCTTTCTTATGTTTACTATCTCCTTTCCATGGAAACTTTTTGAAAACATTTTTAAACTGTTTGGACTTTGTTCGAAGATGCTCCGTTGTTGTACTTGATGACATCTTAGATTCATAACTAGCAGCTTTTACAACTGGATGAATATCATTTAATCCAAGAACTGAAAATGATGTTATGGGACTGAAAGAAACAAGGGAACAAAGAGAAAAAATTAAAATCGAAATTAAAATTTTTTGCAAAATCATTTCGAACGTTCGATTTGAATATTTTTCGAAACTAATACCTAAAATATAAAATAAGACAAAGTAAAAAGAATCTAAAACAGAAAATTACTTTTCGAAAAATATTGATAACTTGAGGTTCATGCAGTTCAAATTCAAGACTTCTCTTTGTAAAATAATCTGGTTATCATGCAAATACCGATAGGGAATAAAAAACAAGAATGTTAGTTCTAGAAGATGGCATGTAAAAAATAACATACGTTGCATCTGCGAAGCTACCCGTGTCGTCACTAGCCTCAACCATGGCCAAGGTTCGGAATTCATATTTTTCCACTATATCATCGGGGTTGAGAGCAGGAAAATCAGTATCTATTTCTCCATTGTCTTCAGCTATTCTAAGACAGTATTTGTTCACATTTGGTTCCAGCTTAGGATCATTTATTTCATTGGTATATAACCAACAAGTCAATCCAATAAGGTCACGTACTCGAGCATTGGTAAATATTACAACTTGTAACGTCTTAAGTCTTGTTTCGCAGGAAAAAGAGTGCAAAATAATCTCATAATTTCGAGTCCTTCGTCTATCTCCAACTCGAGCATCAAATTTAGCATATTCCTTGAAGGGATTGTCGGGGGATTTTTCCACCAAAAATGAAAGAACAGATTTTTTAGGAACACTAGCTTCTAGAGAAGCTTCTCTCATTTTTTCTGGCGATTTTCTAGGAAACAATTCAGAGAGTTCATCGTCTAGTTGAAAACAAAAGATGAGAAGAAAAAGTAAAAATCTTGATAAAAAATGGGCAATAATTGACTTTATATGTGTGGGTTTGATCTCATTTTGAGATAATATATAAATTAATAAAGATCAATATCCACAAATCGCAAAAATAAAATTAATACCAACCTGTAATATTGACTTCAACATCCCTCCAATGGATATATTTAGTTTTTGCTGCTGCTCTCTTTTCTTCTTTTAATCTTTCTAATCTTTGAGCTGTGTTTGATCGCCCTCGATGAGCACCAATCATCTCGATGTCCGAAACAATTTCACAAGATTGCGTAGCATCAAGCAATTCAGATTTGGCTTCAACCTCCACAGCTAAATTCATAAAACGATAAACATACAAAAAATAAATACACAATAGAGGCGTCAAAACAACCCACTTTTTAACAATTTAATAGATCGTTAAAGAACCAATGTGATTAAGAACATGGACGAAAAGAATTGACAAACTAAACTCACATTGCAATATGCGAATATCAGACTCGGAGCCGAAATAATGCGGCATTGGTTCATGTAACATTACCATTTCACACATTTCTGTAGGATCACAGGTAATGAAAGAATGTCTTATATGGGAAAGAAGAAATCGTTTATCGTCGAAAAATGCCATACCAAGCTTGAAAATGATCTACAACTAGTAATTATGTTCATTAGCAAATAGAAAGAAAGAGAGAATAAACAATATAAATTAGACAATGAAATAGTATCCAGACCAAAAAATATTCAAAAACAAACACCAGTTCAGAAGAAAACAATTCAACATATGTTCAAGTAAAAAGAAATACTTTTGTACTCAATTATGCAATAGATGGCGCAATATGTTGTACTAAAATCTGTCAAATTTTGAGGCGGGAACTCGTTCTTATTTAATTTTAGGTTGTTCTGGTTCAACCAGAATCATATTGTCCATTTTATTGCCTCTAATGACCATTAAATCATAATTGTAACATTTTTCGTCCAAAAAGATGTGATTATTAGAAATAACGTTATTTATGAGTGATTCTCCTATTAGGTCTACTTTCTTGAGAAGCAAATTTTTCAAAGCCACCAAAGATGAAAATTTTTCTGTCTCTTTCTATTTCTCTGTCTGGTATAGTTTCTCTCTTTCTCTCATCTGGTCCTCGTCTGGTTAATTAATCAATGTTAATTTTGTCCGTCAGAATTTAGATAATATCGTTGCTGATTTATTGGAAATGTCTTTTAAAGTGAATCTTCAACTTTGAAGGGAAAAGCAAGTCAAAAATTTATGGTAATCACTTGATGTTCACTGTTGTTTAAGTCTTTAAAAATGTCCAACTGTTAACTGTTTTTTCTTTTGTCACCAGGAGGGCAACAAAGAAAGAGAGAATTGTCTCGCTCTAACAACCAATAAATACCTTGGTCTGGTTCTTTTGGTTTACCTGATAAGTTAAAAATGTGTTAAGTCTAAATTTGGTTATCATAAACTCGGCTCGTTCGTTTAAATAGCTGCGGTTACCGTACCATACCAAATAGGATAAGAAACGTTTGTACCAATTACCTAAGACAACTTTAAAAGTGTTTTTTGTTCATCCTAAAAAGTGAGGTAACTTTAAGTAACCAAAGAATTGCTGTTATTATGTTTAAGCCATTCACCTGGAAAGCCTTTCTATCTGTAAAGTATTTATTTGGATTCGGAATACTTAACTGTTAGGAATTAAAGAATTGATATAAACCTCTTTGGATAGGAGCAGCTCGGTGTTAACTCTACATAAAGGTTTATGAAATATGGCTGACTTTTTTGGTTACATGCGTAATTAATAATGTGATTAGTTAACCTGCATAAATTGAGTCACTTGTGTAGCAAAATGGTATTGATACCTTGACCAAGATGGAGGGCTGATGGATCGTTAATTGGAACCAAATATTAGATTTGTAAGTTCACCATGGCTTACATAATAATGTAAATTTTGCTTTTTTTGCCATTGAAAGACTTGTTTTAAAACAATCAATCAAATCACCTTCAGAATAGCTTTTTGTAACTTTTAGAACAACCAAATTAAATAATGACACGTTTTCTTAATCAAATTCATTTATTCTTTAACAGATCTAAATCAAGTTATGGCTGAATGGAATCAAGTATTTTTAATTACAGACACTGGAAGCTATGCTCATTGGAAACTGCCATTGGAAATTTGATCAACTAATTTGTATTTTACAGAAAACAATTTGCTTGGAAGCAAACATTTTCATGTTCACATATATCATCGTATATTGATTTTTCAAACCATGAACGACTCAGTTGATATTCTGGATTCTAACAGTGAAGCGATACAATTAAATAAAATAAATCATGATCATCAGGATACAATCATCTTTTTACTGTATTTTAATAGATGTATCAACATGGATGGGTAAAAGCTGATATTTTATACCACTTTGAACAACAACAGTAACGACAAATCAAAATGTAGAGAAATAATTTTTGATAAAAAAGATGAAAATGAAAATGATAAATGTTTTCAGGTCAACAAACATTGATGCCCATTATCAGCCGTAAAGGTTGGGTCAGTTTATTGTTGATTTCATTCTGAGGTAATAAAAATAAACCCCATAATCAATTAATTTTTGCACTACTTGGCCTCAAACAATAAACAATAAATATAGTTCATTTCATCAGCCAATCGTCTTCAATGAGAAGCATCATGATTAAATTTAGCCTAAATCACAACCGCATATCTTAATCACAGTTGAAGCAGAAAACCAAACAAATAAACTTGAAAGTCCAATCTCAAGTTTGACCATTCAAAATATTCACAAATATTTTCCGTTCAAGACAATTGCAAGATTATTTTCAACCATTTCTTGATATTGGAATTAATTCCTTGTTGTTATTTTTACAATCAAATAAAATGGAAACCTTGAATGATTATAAATAACTGTTTATAACATAATCTCAGTTGATTTTCAAGGTAATAAATTATTAACTGTAGGTTAAATGGATGAAGTTTGGAAGTTAATAAATTATTAAATGAAACAATAATTTGGTTAGCATTGAAATACTGGACTATAAGTCAAGTGATAATCTAAACGGAGGCAAATTTTCACGAAACTAGAGTTAAATGTAGGAAAAACATGAAACTGTTGGTTAATCAAACAAAGCTGCTTTCAATGATAAATGATTGCACCAAATCAATGCTGACTAACAGCCTAACTAGACCTTAAGCAGTGACATCAACTTAACCCAACCAACTTGACCATACTTTGCCTAAACCAATCAACTTGACTGATCTCTTGCATTAAGATTATCAAACAAACCTAATTACGTTTCTAACAACTATAGAACTGATCTTATCCATTTACTACGACCAAGTTACTAGTCAATCAATCCATGTAACCACGCTATTTGAAAATCCAGTTCAAAAAAGACTTCGAACTGACGAAACTATTCCAAAATACTTCGGTTAAACTTGCAAAGTAAAAGACTCAACAATGTATTAAAGTATTTCGATTTCCATAGATGAGCTTTTTAAGAACGAATTTACTATGAGAATTCTGTTTTTCCATGTAAGAACCTTCTTTCATGATTTTCTCATGCGTCTTAACTCTTATATCAAACTGTTTTGCAAGATCGTAATTCAATGTCAACTTATATTTGAGTCAAAAGTTGCCTTCAAGTCTTTCCACTTCGAGATGATCTCAAGATTTCGGGTTTGTTTGCATTAATAATTATGTATTTTTTATTCATGGATAATTGATGGAGTCAAAGAGACGAATTAAACTAAATGAATTGAGTGTGGCAACTGAAAATCAGTGAAATAGGAAAATGCGCTTTTATTAATTTACAGACTTTTATTGAATCAAGTTTGATTAAGTAATAACAGGAAAGCAAATCTTCTGAAGATGGTCAAAAGATGAAAATTTTGCTGCTAATGGTGGAAACGATAATGATGATTATGTTGATGATGGTGATGCAGGAAGAAGCGACATTTCATTAAAGCCTGAGGGAGTGAAAAATAGATTTTACTTGATTCATCGAATATGACCAAACCCAAGGTTTGATCAAAGGCCATTATTTAGTTTAATGACATGAAATTCTAGATTCTTTAATTTTCTAGCCACATGAAACAATTTGGAGGCTCTTTTAGGGTTTACTCCCTCTCGTCATCATCATCATCTGTTTCTTTTCAATGGACAATCAATCAAGCTAATATTTCGCCTGAAAGAAGAAGCACATATTAATACCGATGGAATGGCCCAGTGGTCAGTGTGTACAAAATTGTTAAGAATCTTTTTATCCAATTCTTCATTCTGGCTTTTTTCCCTTCCAAGAGAGTTCTGGTTCACTTGATAAAACTCCATGGGATTCTGATTATGAAACAAGTGGACAGAAAGAGAGAGAGAGAAAAGGAAGAAAAAAAGAAGAAAATGAGAAGAAAAATAGGAAGAGAAGAAAGTAACAAAAAAATATCCCAAAACACTGATAAACATTGAGAATAGAAAAGTGAAAACATAGTTCGAAGGAAAGAGAAAAATGATGATGATGATGGCGAAAGGAGAAAAAACGGGATAAAAAATTATTAGGATGTCAAGTGGAAGATATAATTTGACATCAGATACAAGGGAGAGTTGGGTGACATTTGATTTCATTGGATTCCAAGTTTGATATTTCATTTGATATCATGAGAAGCAGAAGAAAAGTTGCCAGGAAAAAATCGAACCAAGTTGACCTTAAGAACAAGTAAAAATGACCTGATCCAGGCCTTTTTTACACCAACATTCACCCTTCATCATCATCATCTCTTGTTCCTTTTCTTTGCCCTCTTCCACCATTATCACCATCATCAACATTTTCAGGCTCAATGAAAGTTTCAATATTTCTTCATTTGTCAATAATATTTCATTATTTCAACCCAAAAGACTGATTGTGAACCATTTACAGTAAATTTTTGTTAACAACATCAACTAGACGTCCAAAGACGTCTAATTAAATATAATCAAGTTGATGCTCTTAATTTTGGTTAACTTTTTTTTAAACTGATACTTTATGATATCATCTAATTGATTCCACTCAACAATACGATTTATCAGATAAATAATAGCTTAATAAATCATTGTATTGCCTTTTACGAGTAACTTAATATTTTGAGTTCATCTTCACTGACTCCAAACCTTCAATCAACAGTCCAACTATGATATTATGATAGAGGCTGAATTAGGACCAATCGCAATGTTAAACTTGTAAATAACCGAGTAAAATGTGGTTTTTTCCCGCTTTCATCGGTTTGACCATCAAAATGAGCAATTAATTTGATTAATACTGTTAATAAAAAAGAAATAACCAACAAAATAAAAAACTAGTTCAAATTAAATTGTTAATAGTTCCAAGAAGAGGTTGAAATGGGTAATCATTTGAAATGAATTACACATTTCAATGGTGATCATCATTTTGCATTGAAAATCGTTAATTGGGTTACAGGTTAACTACTGAGTCAATGATCCTCAATATCTCAAAATATGATAAATTGAAAAGAAACATGATTATTATGGAATGGAAAGAATGACCAAACTAACGAAGTAATTTCTAGAGACAGAAATATTTTAACCTGAGGTTGATTACAAGCTGAAACCTACGAGAATTATCAGATTTTTACATATTCAGAGATGTTAATGATTATCATGGAAAAGGGTGAAAAGGAGAAAAGTTGTAGATGTTATTGATGATGATGATGATACAGGCAAAGATAAACTAATGATTATGATAAGGAGAAATTTTATTTCCTGAATTTGAGCAAGCTGAACCTGTGAAAGCTGTGAATGGATTTGACTTGGATAGATGACAGACTTCCCATGTTTTCACCTTGCAGATTACTTTTGAGAAATAGATGATGATGATGATAATGATACTGATGAGTTGGAAGATGAAGGAGAGAGAAGAAGAGAAAATCCTCAAACAGATCGTTTCTTATTTGGCTTACGAAGGCAAAAAAAATCTGAAGGAAAAAAAAGAAATATTTCAGTGTACAAAAGAAACAGATTTACCATAAAAATGAGATGAAAAACTAGGCACAAGGTAAAATATATTTAGCTTACAGCAAAAGTATCAACCTTTCAAATGAAATTTTGCGTGATTTAGTGTCTCATTTGGATAAGACGAAGATGATTATGATGATGAAGATGAAAAACTGGGAATGAGACAAAATTTTGATCCAAGAAGAGGAGTAATTGCAAGAAGAGAATGATCCTAAATAGGAGAGATTTTTCATCGCCATCATCCTTTATAATACGCAATACTGATAGTAGTTAACGTGTGTTCCTGATAAATCCGAAGGAAATTATATTATCCAAAGATGCTACCATTTTCATGAACGGGAAATGAGTTGACCTAAAGTGACAAGAGATTGTATTGAGAGGAAAGAAGAAAAAAAAGTTTAGTTTGACAGTTTTTGTTATAAAAGGCAAAAGGGAAAAAAATCAAATAAGAAATGGTTGCAAAAATAAAGGTAAAGAGATGATAAAGATGATTTCACTCCTTTTTTTGCCATGGAAGAGACATGTTAAGTTGAATAAATGGTTTCAATTGAATCTAAGAAAGTCATTCCCTCCGGCTATTATACAATATCTATCAAGTAACAGGAGGAGTTATATGAAGTTTCATCTTATCTGACATGTCACCAATCAAATAAATTCAGATAGGAAATATTATTCTCTTACAGACTGTGTGTTCAGCTTTACTATACTATCATGATGACAAGGTAAAGGTTCATCTATTCAATTACTCGATAGAAAAAAAAGTTTTTGGTTAACATTAATCTTTTAACAGTAATGTAAATCAGGATGAACGAAAAATGAACCAGAAAAAAGATGTGTTCAATGTAAACATTACATTGTTCACATATTGTTCATCCATTGTAATCTTGGCTGTTTCACTTTTTACATTTGGATTTAATGGTCAAAATCTTGGACAAGATTATACTGATTATCATTATTAATCAAGTGATTTGCTGGGCTAAACCTATGACCTGAAGCGACTATGCAATAATGAACGTTCATTTTTACAACAGCAACTCGTTAGCCAATTAATGTTGTGATAATCACTTTGTGATTAATGATGATCCTCTATCATAAAATGTGCCTTTCAATCTTTTTAATCATCAATTAACAACCTTGGTAACATGTATTATTGTATCTATGTATGTGTATTAGTAGATTAATTTAATAATAACTTAACTCTTCCATCCCTTTGACCAGAAAAGGGAAAAAAATTTCAACCTTAACTGTACTCTTTGCCTTAGTCTAGTTTTTTTAGTCATTCATTAATGGGCAAAGTTAACATTTGAATAATTTTGGATATTCGTAATTTAAGTATTGTTTAGCTCAAAATTTAATTTGAATTGAAATAATTAAATTATATGCAACTGGAAGCACACAATTTTCCAGTAGAGCCTTTTGATTTTAATCTAAAAATTACAGTAGAAAGGCCTCAACATTTACTATGATGGTCACAACTCAATTTACCAAATCGATTATAGCTTACATTGTTAGATAATAGATAACGTTGACCAGAAAACTGTTCAATTACTTTAAAATCCCAATTGTTATATTTACTTACTTGATGTTGCAGCTGAAAACAGAAGATAAGCTCAGAAGATATTCATTGTTCTTGCATAACTGTTGTATGCAAGAAACAACCAGTGACTAATTTTCACATCATGAACAAGTGTTGAAGATGAAAGCTGTAAAAAATAAGGCACAAAAAACACACAAAGATGATTATTGTTTTGATGAAGACATTTTCCTTTGATAGGACTCCTAAGATGAACTATTCAGTGTGGTCTTCAAAAAAATCACTTTTACGATTAACTGTCATTTAACAGTAGCATATAATTTACAATAAAAAAATTGTAGGACAAACGAAATGAAAAAATGAAATAATTTTTAAGTAACAAGTCAATGTATCCATTATTAATATCAGATACTATGAGATATCATTATCTATTAACAAAATCCGATTGATCGATGTCTAAAGGCTTATTATCGGTATTTTTAGTCGGACATTATTTTGGTTTTAATTATCAATACCTTAACAATTAATCCATTAATTTATTATTAGTTTTTTAATAATTTTACAAATTCTTGTCAATTTTCCATTGTTGTGTTAATTGTTCCGTTGGTTGTCATTAAGTTTGTATTAATTGTGTTTAATTTTGATAACATTGTACATCAGCCTGTTACACTTATTACAGTCTTTTGTTGTTACCAGATTCTTGGCTCGTTTCACTGTTTACATATCTGTGATTACTTTACAAAATCTTGATCAAGTGTTGCTTTTGTTTATTGTGTTTAATTAAATAGGCAAAAAAGCAAAAAAAATGAGACAACTTTGTTATGAACTTGATTTGATAAAGAAATAACCTTAAAAAAGTTGAATAAAAGAGATGTTTTTTTAACAGTTTTGAAAGCAGCTAAAAAACAAGCAACATTTATGTAATTAATCATGAGTTGGATCAACGCTTTTTCATCCTGCGAGCTTCTTCCTCTCCCTTTCACCCCCTTTTCATGTGATTATCTTAAAAACACAAGACCAATGTTACATATTATTGTTGAGCTCATATCAAATTATCATTATTTACTTCCGTTGCTTCTTGTATCAAAGCTTCTTGTTGTTCTCATCATCACCATCACCATCTCACCATTTTTCAAGATTATTTGTTTTCTTGTTCTTTATCTTGTTCGTCTTGATGCTCGGTCTTTCTCTCCTTCGTTGATGATAAATGTAATTTTATAAACATGTTACCACCATATCAACTCCCTCAATGCAAAAACGTTGACCCAAAACAACATTTAACAACAAAACTGAGCAAATTCAAATGATACTTGGCGAGTTAATTGACGCACATCATTCATCAACAGTCAACTAGAATCATCAGGTTAGTCTGTCCTCTCAATTGATCACCAGTTAATGGGTTAACTAACTGTTACAAACCACCAACATGACGAGAAAACTGAATTTTAAATTCACAAAGCCATTTACAACAAAAGTCAAACAGTCAGACCAAGATTAATTAATCAACAATTAAATTGTTAACAAAAGAAAGCCACAAATTCAATGGTAAAACCAATGTCTAACCAATAGCTATCAATTGCAACTGTCAACCAGAAGACTAAATAATCATGCAAAATAATCCAAAGTTGACATCAAAAATTCAACAAAATAATTTCAATAACACCATTAATGATAATAATTTGCCTTTAAATTATCTTTCCACCAACAATTTTGAAGAGGATAATTTGAGAAATGCAATTTTCTGCACAAAATAATAAACTAATATCATCATTAATAATCAAATCAAGTCGGTAAAGCAAGGAATGGTTGCAACTAAAAAAAAGAGATACAAAATTGTACAATTAATATGGTTATTAACATTATTAGTATGTTAATAGATGCAGAAAGAAGAAAGTTTAATGATAATGATAAAAAATAAGCCATGGTTTTGTAATAAAAAAAAGGTATGAGAGTTACCAGTAAGCTTGGAATGAAGGTGATCACTTTCATATCGTTTTTTTACAGGTAAATAAAAAAAGAGACTAGGAAAAGAGCTCCTTGAAGATAATGATGATGAGAGGAAGGAGGGAGTCAGGTTGCAAGAGATAGACAGAGGGAGTCAATCTTGTTTGACAAGACATCACCATGTCAAGGTAAATAAACCCATGATTATTTTAGCCTTTTTCACTGTGCTTTAGCCATTCCCATTTAGCCAAAACTTTCCAGCCCATTTTTTAACAATCATCATGTAATCATGACTGTTAATGACTTTTTCAATGTAATCATCTTCATATGAGCTTGTCTCTCCCTCTCTCAGCCTCTCTCTCTCTCTCTTGCTGCTTTCACAAAATTACATATAAATGTAGGACTGATAGTAAGGCTCATTAGTGAGGAGCTAAAAATGAGATGAATAAAAATGATGATGATGAGAGGGAAGAACAGGTAGATAAATTAGTGGGCCAATCAGACTTTTTCATTTGACATTTCCCGTGACTTAGATCAACCTATCAAAAAGCGTCCAATAGATGATAAGAGTCTAGCGAAAATATGACGAGTTGAGGAGTTGAGTAAGCGTGTCCAGTTTTTTGTTTGGTAATGGGAAATGGGGAAAACATGGATTGACCGTGTTATCTTCCTTTCTGTCAAATTTACGTGTCCAGATTACCAGGGAAGATGAAGATGGTGATGACGATGACGATGATGAGAAAGTAAATGAAAGAGAGTAAAAGTCGCGTGACCTTGCATTATAACCAGAGAGGAGAAGGAAAAAAAACCAGAAAAAAATGACTTAAAAATATCCAAATTTTTATGTTGCGTAAAAAAAATCTGGTTATCTGGACAAGCTTACACAAACATTATTGACTTATTCTGATCAAATAGATATGGCGATTAAAACATGAAGCATAACACCTTTGATCAAACAACGATTACAGTTTAACAATTTATAAAACCATTCAACTGTGGATTGTGGGTTTCATTTGATCCTCTTAGAGATGAGGAGACGACGAATTAATGACAAGAAAATGAACTTTATATAAGCCAAATCCATCTCATTCAATTTGATATTACACTGATTAAGGTTGATCAATAAAAAATGTTTACTTGCTACTTGGGTAACAAATTGATTTGTAAAATAAATTATTAAAGATTGTGACCGATAGACAATTTAAAACAAAATATTGATCGTCTTTCCCGAAACCCGTTTGTCCAAGAAAAATTACAGGCAAAACGGAAATCCATGAGTATTTAAAGGAATGAAAAATGAAAAATATGAACTTGTAAAGGCGTTTGGGAAGAAGTCATTAACAGGGAGAAGATATTGGTCAAGGTTTAAATCTATTGACCTCATCATCCAAGACAAGCCGGAGGAAGGACGACCATTGATAGTTTTGAAAGGCGACTTGAAGGCCAATCTCGAAGGAAACGTAACTTGTAGGAAACTAGAGCTCGGAGTAACTGTAGCTCAATAGAGTTTACATGTCACAACGGATACAAGAAATACATGAAAATGTTTGTCGTCAACGCAATGGCTCTTTTTATTGACAGATTGATCACCAGTAATGAAAAATGGGTCTTTTATGACAATTTCACAAGGTCATATGCTTGGTGACCCGGTGAACCTTCGAGGTTAACCCCTAAACCAGGACTACACCAAAAGAAGCTCTTATTGCTCTTATTCACTACACAACAACACTAGTTGTATCTAAAAGCAAACGAGTCCAAAAATTCACCAACATTAAGTTTAATCAACCTTTAAATATTTTACTAATCCTAGGACATTAATGCAATGGACAATCAGAATAAACCAGAAATTCTACCTACTCTCAAAATACCTGATACACAGACTTTACCATGGTCTAATCATTGCCAAAAGCTGAAAAAAATGCTATTGAGTCACGCTCATTCAAACCCGACCTGCTCTGGTTTGTTCAGATAAACAAGAGACCTGATTGACTTGATCCCAAATACATAAAAACCTTTACCCTCAACATTTCCCTCTTTTTTATGCTCTTTCATACTTTATTATTTTCTCAACTTGACTCACCTCCTTAAATTCATGAAAACTCAAATTTCCACTTATGTGATTACATAAAGCTATCATGATTCGGTGAAGCGCCTACAAGCTCATCCTGTAAACCCCCTTTAAGCTAATAAAAGTTACCGGCGTTTTGACATATTGTATTGTCTTATAATTTATCATCTTTTGATTGGTTCCGCATTTTACAGTCAATTCTGATTTTTTATTTATTCATGTATCATTTATCATCACTAAGACTGTCTGGGATATCCTATCAAAGTGACTCTTGTCTCATCTAATTGATACTATTGGTTATCCGGTTAGTTGGTGACTTGGAAATGGTTACATTGACTGGAAATGTGTCACACATAATTTATGGAAATGAAAGATTTGAGAAAACACAAGTGGTTTTATAACAAGTTATCAGCGCAACATCCAATTTAGTTTACTTGTGTCCCAGTCATGATAATGTACCTGGATTACACTTGTAACCAGATTTACCTTCTTCTCCATCCTTACTCATTTAATTTGCATTCCTCAGCTAATGTTTTCTTTTTTTATATTTTCCCTTAGCTTCGAAATGATGGGAATTTTCGTTTGACTTGAAAAGTTTCCTTTACTTGGACATCAAATACCAAAGGCTGAACACTAAAAGTATCATTTGTTTTCAAAGATTTTCATGCAGAAGAACTGGCAACCCAAGAATGATAATTTCCATTGATTACCATTTAGAGGAAGGATTGATCAACTTTCAATGTAATCTGTTTCCCAAATTGAATTACGCGAAAAGGCCCTCTCGGCAAATGCATTAGTCATTTGAAAATATTTAGCTAATAAGGAACCAGAAAAAAGTTATTCCTTCACTAATGTAAAGTAACATTATGTTTCCAATTCAAGCTGAGCCTCTCCACACAATTCAATGTCTTCCAATCCTTGGAACCTCTCAAGATAATCCTTTTGTTATCTAACTTTTAAAATGATCTAATCACACAGTTTGATGATATTGATTGACAATTATGAAAAATGGCGAGCAACTTATTGATATTTGATACAACTAAGCTTAATCAGTGTAACTGAAACCTTCATGGTCAAGATGATGTTATAATGGAGATAAAATTTCATTTTATAACATAATATTGACACAATACAAGCATATAATAATTTAATAACGTAATACAAGTTACACCATAAATAATTATAATAACAATAATCTACCTTTAGAAGAAGATGAAAAGCAAACAATTTATTTATCGTTAAATATTACCTGGTCAAAGTAAACTTGAAATAAATTTGATTGTCGATTGAAACAGTTGATAATAAGTTTACAAACCAATGGACAAATTGCTATTGGAATAACTGAATCCAATGAATACCATTTTCAATAGACATTTAGATTTTCCTGATATTCAATAATTAACAATGATAATTGGAGAGGAATGAGAAAAATAAATTGAAATTTTTCGTCTAAAGTAATCTTTCGCTAACAATCCAGTGATAATCACAACTAAAATGGTTAACAAAACAACAATTTATGAAATGCCTTTTGCCTTTTCAATCCCCTTTAACCATACCAATCTGATAATGTATTTGATTGAAAAGCGTACCAAAGCGTTTATTATTAAATTCAATTTAAAAACTCTTAAACCAACAACAATAACACTGATAATGATGATGATGATTTTGATAGCGCGATGAGGAAGAAGAAGAAGATTTAGAGGTTTTCCTTTCAAATGGGAAACATTAAACATCTATTGAGATTTAATTCAACAAGAGAGTAACATCTTTCATAATGGCCATAATTAAATGAGGCTACTTTCTGTGTGTCAATTGAATGGCCAGTTAATCGCAATTGGACTGTTAACATGGTCAAGAAAAGGTAGAGAGAAAAAAAAGAGACAAATTTTGTTTCGTTTCTGCCTTAATCTTGTTCAGGTAAACAGTGTAATGTCTTAACCAGAGGGAGGCTGAAATAATTTAGCTAAAACTCATAATGATCAACATATGGGGTCTTTCAATTTGAACAACTGAGAGTGAAAGAGAGAAAGAGAAGAAGAGTGGATAAATAAAGGTGAAAGAAAAAGGTGAAGAAAAAAGGTAAAGGTAGAAAAGACTAGACTGAAGTGAACTCAATTCAATGAGCAACAACAAGTATTATTGAGAATGGCGAGGGAAAGAAAAGTGAAGAAGCAAAAGTGTAACTAGCAAAAAAAAAGGAGATCGAAGAAGAGAAGAAGAAGAAGAAGAAGAGAAAGAAGAAGAAGAATAAGAAGATTATGATGATGAGAGAAAAAAATGTTTGTGAAATGAAGAAAAGAAGAGAAATAATCGTGTTGCCCTAAAGGTACAAACCATTTTAAGATAACCACAAGGATTCCTGGGCTATTTCAGCCCTACTAGTGACTGGTTTTACTAACAGATTCTTTATGCTTCTTCTTTCTCTCCTTCATCTTCATCTTCATCATCATCATCTTTCCTTATCTCCCATTGTGATAGCCTTTCGTCTTCCCCAATTCCAGTGAACATCTTTCTTCTCTCTCAAGCCAGGGTTGAACAAAATAATCCTCAGTATCACCAATTTTACTTTTAATAACAGGTTTAAAAAAAAGGCAACCAAGAAGATGATGAAGAAGCATTGATTGGGCGACTCTTTTTTTTTACTCCCAGGCAGTCTTATATCTCTTCTCTTCAGATGCTCTTCTCATCTTCTCTGTCAATTTTGCCTCTTTCCTCTTTTGTCTGATACTTTTTATCCTCAGCCTGACCTTTCCTAACTTTTTGCCTTTGCTCTTTTCCCTCTATGTGTTGGCTTTTGCTTGTACCTTTCCTTGACCAACTCTTGAAACTCTCTCATCGACATTAATGATGATCAGGAAAAAAAAGTTTGTCTTGGGCTATTTATAGGGAGTTTCAGCGAGATTCAACTCTCCGATTGTAACCATGTTTGAAACCATGGAATCAGAAAGCAAAACAAAAGTAACACTGAACAACAACGAACAAGATGATGAACAAGACTCACTTTTCCCCTTTTTTTTCTTCTTCTCATCATTTCTTTCACTTTCTATAATATCCTATAAAACTCTGAATATAGATTCAGTTTAAAACTTAATGTGGTTTAGCCAATGGTCAAGTAAAATAAAATGAAATGAAATGAAAAAAAGAGAGAAGATAAAATAAAATAATCTCTTTTTTCGTTATCATCATTTTCATCATGCAACTTGCAACCAACTTTCAATTGAATGAAAATGATCAACAAATCGTCTTCATTTTCCTCCTTCATCCTCATCCTCATCTTCCTCCTGATCATCTGTTTTCCTTCATTTTCATCCTTTTTTTTCTTGACAAAACAAATTTATATTCATGTAAAAACCATAATTCATTGATGTTACTCAAACGGACCAGAAGAATGACAAAAAGGAATCAACTTTTTGTCTCACTCATTTTGGGTCAACTTTCAAATCGTTTTACCTGTTCATTGGCACCTAATTGAACACCAACAGTTAACGGATGAAACAGGATGACGATGATGATGATAACAAAGAGCAAAGAGAGAAAAGTGAAAGTAAAAAAAAGATGATTGATTGCTTTTTACTCAGTGAATTACCTTATAAATATTAGGTAGTTCAGTTAAGTGCGAATCAAATGTATTTACATAGGTTTCCGCTAATCGGCGATAGCAAAAATCGAATTTTCGAACTTTTTTAGTCCAGATTCTTTATCATTTTTGGGTGTAAGCTTTTTCTAAAATTTTCTATTCCTGTTCGAACAAAATGTCAACTACTAATGAGCGAGCGTTTAGGAGGTTACTCATATAAAAAAGAAAAGATTATTCCCTTAATTGCGTCCTGTAAACATTCCACGTATATTGACCCA